TGGACAGTTGGCGCCAATATAGATCTGGTGGGCTATGATTCCGGTAATCCGGTCGGGCCTTCATTGGTAGTAGCTAGTCTTGGGCTTGGTTTCTTGCATGGATTCATTCGTAAACTATCCGTCCACTTCCATACCGTTCCAAGTAAAAGAAGTCCATTTACAGTTTCTACGAAGCCCATTACAGTAATGGAAAAAGCTCATAGACATTGTTATTCATTGAATTTTTTTTCCAACAAGATATCGTTGTTTATTGGCTTGAGTCTATCTCATTTTTATAGTACTCGATCATAAACATGTTTAATTTTGAAGATCTTACAAAAATACTCAATTTCACTTCAAAATATGTCTTATCAGTTTGAATTGATTTTTTTTTAAATTATGAACCATAAATATCTTCTGTGCTCTCTGTCTATATGGAATTTGTCTAAAGGATTACCAATATCTCAATTAATAAACAAATTTAAATGCAATCATTGTTACTTTTGCATGGACCCTCCTCAATCCAAATAATTTGCAAGTTGTGCTACCTTTAGCAAAAGCTAATAAGGATCTTTCATTGATTTTCTTTTGTGGGTGGGATTGGATATTTCGTTGAGTGATAGATACAGCCTGACTGGTAGCTGTTGGTACTACTTGTAACTTGTGGCAGCCAGGTGCTCAGCGACAATAATACAACTTTCTCATCTCATCCGACGGTGCTGGCAGCGAGCCATTTCTAATCCAACGGCCATTAATTTTATCATCCTGTACACGTAACTGTACTGTATTCGTAGTTTCGTACAGCATACGAGGAAAGGGAAACTACCGTATTCATAACGGACGGGAGTCACATGATGCGCGCCATTTTCTTCCTCTTTGTCACCACTCCGTTTGTCGTTTTCCGTAACAGGCGGATTCACGAGTCTGACTGGACAGCTGACTCACCCGACCCAATGCAGCCACAAAATGGACACGTCACCGCACTGAGTCCCCGGGAATTGCTCTCCACCGTCCGACCTCTATCTCCTCCTCAGATATTTTTCTTTCCCACTCACACTCTCACATTGTCACTCTCCCCCACCATGCACTCCAACTGTTTGTATAAATCCCCCTGTGAACTCTCATCGCCATCACCGAAAACCTTCGCCTCATAGTAAAATCTAAAGCTTTCTCAAACCCCAATTCGATCCCCATGGCGGCCACCATCACCTCGACCTTCAAAACCCCTTTCCTCGACACCAAATCGGCCTTCCATGGCGCTCCGATCCCGGCCTCCTCCGCCCGCTTCACAACCATCAAATCTGCAGCGAGCGTCACCATGTCCATGTCCAGCCCGCCCCCTTACGACCTGAACTCCTTCAAATTCGCGCCGATCAAGGAATCCATCGTCTCCCGTGAAATGACCCGCCGATACATGACCGACATGCTCACCTACGCCGACACCGACGTCGTCATCGTCGGCGCCGGGTCCGCCGGACTCTCCTGCGCGTACGAGCTCAGCAAGAACCCCGACATCCGGATCGCCATCATCGAGCAGTCCGTCAGCCCCGGCGGCGGCGCGTGGCTGGGCGGCCAGCTGTTCTCCGCCATGGTCGTCCGCAAGCCCGCCCACCTCTTCCTCAACGAGATCGGCGTCGACTACGACGAGCAGGACGACTACGTCGTCATCAAGGTAGTTAAATTTATTAACTACATGCGTCACTTACAACTCAATTAGAAAATGAGGTACCAATTGGTAAATAGACTTTAGAAAAAGGGAATGTACATGACTAAATTACGAATTTACTCCCTCTATTATATTTACTTGACAAATGCATGCTTGACTTGGTTACTGATTAATTACAACCACGGTCCTGAACTTTTGCGATCCCAATTTGGGAAATGAAGCACGCGGCGCTGTTCACCTCGACGATCATGAGCAAGCTGCTGGCCCGGCCGAACGTGAAGCTGTTCAACGCCGTTGCGGCGGAGGATCTGATCGTGAAGGGAGGCAGAGTGGGCGGCGTGGTGACGAACTGGGCATTGGTGTCGATGAACCACGACACACAGTCGTGCATGGACCCTAACGTGATGGAGGCGAAAGTGGTGGTGAGCTCGTGCGGCCACGACGGGCCGTTCGGAGCCACCGGAGTGAAGAGGCTGATGGACATTGGGATGATCGACAAGGTTCCCGGGATGAAGGCCCTCGACATGAACGCGGCCGAGGACGCGATCGTTAGGCTGACTAGGGAAGTTGTCCCCGGGATGATTGTTACGGGGATGGAAGTTGCTGAGATCGATGGAGCTCCAAGAATGGTAAGAAATTTGGGTTGTTTTGCTGTGGGTTGATGATTTAATTCTAATTCTAATTCTAATCGGGGTGAACCGAATTGGGCTGGGTGGGTTGATTTGATTCTTGGTCCTAATTGGGGGTGAATTGATTCTTGCAGGGACCGACATTTGGAGCGATGATGATCTCCGGCCAGAAGGCGGCTCATTTGGCACTGAAGGCACTTGGAGAAGCAAATGCCTTGGACGGTGGAGTCAACGGGAAGGTGAAGCAGCCGGAGTTTGTTATTGCTGATGCAGAAACTGCCGTAGAGACTGTGGATGCTTAATGATGAATGTGTAAAAGTAATTAATAAATGAATGTTGAGTTAAGAATAATAAAGAGGAGGGGAAGGGAAGAAGGAGAAGAAGAAGAGCTAGTGTGTGAATGAGGTGTTTGCTAGTTCTTTTGGGTGTTTTTTCTTCGTTCTTTTGGCTTTTTGGAAGAGTGTCGTAGACAAGCTTTAGTTAACTTGGGGAAGTGCTAATCCGTGTTTGATCTGGATTCCAGTCTGATTGCGTGTGTGAGCTGAGCCATTTCGGTCCAATCAAGCAAGCTTTATGGGCTTGAAGCCTCTATCTGTAAACATGGGCCGATGTCTTGAAGTAATGTCGTGGTGGGTTATGATTCTGTCTTCGACTTTCAATCTCCTGCATGGGTTCATCAAATTGTCCCTTAACTCCTTCGCTCCTTAAAAACGTTAGAAGTACAAGTCCATTTACTTAGGAAAGCCCATGAGTGTAAATGATTTATGAACTTCCATCCATTTTTTGTTTATATATTTTGTAGATGTTCTACATCATTCATGTATAATTGTCTAAGTCGGGCTCGGTTGGTCACTTCGTCAGCTTCCTCGCTCACGAACTTGTTGTGCGTTCGAGTTCGTTAGGAGTCAATCCATGGACTTGTTGTGCGTTCGAGTTCGTTAGGAGTCAATCCATGGCGTGCATAGCCATTAAGTCGAGCATCCGAGCTTGTAAGATGTCAACCTCTTAGTTTAGAAGCTCGTTAGCTTCTTCATCCTCGAGCTTGTCAGATGTCAACCTCGCGGGTGTATAGTCATCAAGCCACGGTCATCTAAGCTTTGCTAATTAATAATACTAAAATCAACTTATGTTGGACACTTGATTAAGAAATTGCTTCATAAGGATCCAGTGACATTGTAAACCAATTTAATGGTGGCTTATTCAACGCTTCCCCCCGTGATTTCTGTAAATGATAAGATTGAGCCAAGAAAGGGCACTCCACACGTACCCCAAAATGATGTAATACAGGATAATTTGGTGCATCAAAGCCTTGTTTTATCAAAACACACTGAATAATGCACAAAATTTTGAGAACTTTGAGTAGATACTATTAATTATAATTATGAAACCCATGTTGGGTTAAACAGCCCAAAAGCTTTCTGCAACCCTTTCTCCATTTAGGTGTAAACAGTTCTTAACTATCTTAATCAACGAAGATGATAAGATAAGTACATGCATCAACGGGGGGTAGTTGTTTGTGCTCTCTAGTCTCTAATGAATCTTTGAATTCCTTTTTCTTAATTATTTTGATTGGGGGCAGAATTATGAAGCTAATATGAAACCACACATCCATCATTTGCCTAAATTCAATCAATACCTCCACTTTCAGGGGCTTATCACCACCTAATCTCCATCTAACCTTTTGTGATCGATTAAGATGTGGATTTGAGTGACTGACTATCTTAATTGCAACTTGATTTTTTTTTAAATCATCATGTGACCAACAAGTAATGACTATTTTAATGATATATTTGTTACGTTCGTTAACAGGATTTAAATTAGTGGACAATCACAAGAAGTAAAATTTCAAATAGAGAACCTCGATCGTGAACAAAAATCGAAGTCGATAAAACCATCCGAAAAGAAAGTGGTTTCATTTTGTACAAAAAAGAAAGTGGTTTCGAAAAGAAAGTATTGGCATACATGGCCCCCGAGCCCATGGTTACTAAAGCCATTGATATAAGAGGCCCATGCGGCCATGCCCAAAAGCAAGAAGTCTCGGACGCGGTCTTGAGTCACACCTGGAGACCGCCCGACATAACGGTTTAACGGACACCTGACTATCTTAGTATGGATACGGAACACCTCATGTGCTCGAGCCTCGAAGCATAGCACCACCCCACCACAATAGCTAATCAAGCACATCAGATGTAGCAGTTTAGATGCAATTAAAAATTGAATGCAGTCACAGAGAGAGGAATGAAACTTATGAAAGGGAGATTTGATACTGCCGCCATTTGCCGGCGGAGGATGAGATCGGAACCAAACCCCACATTCCATATGGTCCAATTGGTTGCTTCCAAACCCAGCCTAACTTTCTTCTTCCTTATTTCTGCTGTCTTCCATTTCCTTCTTTCTTTCGTTAGCAGCAATCTGACTTCTGACCCAAAAGCCACGCGGTGGCAGCTGCTCTGCTTGACTACGGGCCCTGCTTCCTTCCGGCTCAGCATGAGACCACGATAGGGGACATGAACGTGGCAATTCCTCTATGGTTGGCAACTCTTACACTTCGAGGGAGTTGGTAATTTGCCACCCAACCTTTTCCCTTATTTTAATGTCTTCAAGCAGTCAGTCACACGTGTAAATCCAAAAGCATCTTTTGGCCTTTACATTTTGACTTCCTATCCCTACCACCACAGGTTTTTCACATTCCACTTCTTCCAAATTCCTTCCTAAACACAGAATTTATGCGATTCTGTGCAGTGTTCTCACTAACAACCCGTCTTCTTCTGCTCCTCTGCACAAGTCTATAAAGTGCAACGCTAAAAGAGCTTCCCTTCCATTTTAGAAAAAGGAAAAACAGAGCAGCCAAATTTAGGCATGGAGGAGAAGATGGAGTTGCCTGCAGGGTTCCGGTTCCATCCAACAGACGAAGAGCTCATAACCCACTACTTATCCCCCAAAGTTAGGAACGATTCCTTCTGTGCTATTGCGATTGGTGAAGTCGACTTGAACAAGTGCGAGCCTTGGGATTTGCCTTGTGAGTGATTCATTGATTTTCCTTATTTCCCCCCTGCTCTGTTTTTCATGTCTCTCTGTTTCTGAAGCTTCTTTGTTGTTTGTGGGTGATTGAAGGGAGAGCTAAAATGGGTGAGAAAGAATGGTACTTTTTCTGCGTTCGGGACAGAAAGTACCCAACTGGGTTGAGGACAAACCGAGCTACTGAAGCTGGGTACTGGAAAGCAACGGGGAAAGACAAAGAGATTTACAGAGCTAAAGTACTTGTGGGGATGAAGAAGACATTGGTTTTCTACAAGGGGAGAGCTCCAAAGGGTGTAAAAACAAATTGGGTTATGCACGAGTACAGACTCGAAGGAAGATTGTCAGCTTACAATCTTCCCAAAACTGCCAAGGTCCCAACTTTCTTGCTCATCCCCTGCTTTTCCCCACACCCTGGTTTTAACTTCTTTCGCACTCACCCTGTTTTCCCCCCCTTACTTTGTTCGATTTTTTCCGCAGAACGAGTGGGTGATCTGTAGGGTCTTCCACAAGAGTGATGGAGGCAAGAAGGTACACATTTCTGGGCTGGTAAGAATGACCTCCAACAGGGAAGAAAAGAGGCCATCGGAGTTACCTCCGCCGATGGATTCTTCTTGTTCTTCTTCTCGTGACGAGACCAGGAATTCTACGTACAATACCCACGTGCCCTGCTTCTCCAACCCAACGCAAGATCCTAGTACCCAACAAGATTTGGCCTATGGTTCCGACGCTACTACTCAGTTTTCAAAATCCTCGGTTCCAATGATATCCTCAATCTCTCCAATGGGGACGTCAAATTTCCATTACCAAGACTCTCTGTTGATGCCCGAACAGTCACTTTTGAGGATGCTGGTGGAAAACAATGGATGGCAGACGCCGGAAAGCTTGAAACCAGAGGAGATTTCTGCTGAAACCGGACATAATAGTGATATGTCTTCAACCCATGATCAACTGCTTCGCAGATCCTATGAGGTTTCAGAGGACCCGTCATTAACTTCTGCAGGAATATTAGACCTTGATTGTCTTTGGAGTTACTGAAAACAGAGTATACAGACGAATCTTCTTAGAGGTAGAGATTTATCTAGCAACATTGGGTCTGTTTGTATTTGTATAGATGACTACCCTTTCTCGTTTAAGTAAACTGAAAGATTTGGAATCGAAAATAACACTAGTTTAAGGATTTTTGTACCATATGAATCGTGAAGTGTAGTACTTTTATCAGTGATTTGTATCTCTAGACTATTGTTTTCTTAGGTAAGAGGTTTGGGGTTATTGAGCTTTGTTTGATGTTAGGAATAGATCCCTGAATTTCATACATCTTCATACATGTACTGTTTCATTAGAAATATACCAAGTTTGGTTTGGCCATCGACTATGTAAAAGATGTAATCACGTTATTATACGCCTCAATCACCTGATTCGCGACTTGATGATCGTGGCACTAGTAAAACGTGAATGAACGATAATCCTTCATTTAGTCGGATTCAATACATTAAAGCGGTCATGTCTACCAAATTTCACACGTGGCTATTGTTAATTGAGTTAATCAACATCAACCTTATTACTTGAGGGAGTTGCAATGTCAAACTATTGGATCTATCTCCCAATCCCATCCTTTATCCCTTCTGCTCTCTGGCTTTAAAGCAGTTTGAGGTTCATATGTTAGGCTACCAACCAGAAGTCCAGAAGTTGATCAATGATTGATATTAATAGCAAAGCACGCATTAGAGCACCTTGCGTGTCAAACATCCGCAGCATAAATGCCCGTCTCTTTCAACCCCATAATTGTTTTTTGTTTGGATTGAAGAACGTTTTCAACTCTGCTTTCAGGGCTTGGGATCAGGTGGCACATAACTCAACCAATCACAGTCCCTAGATGATTAGATGTGCCAATGATGAAAAAATCCTTTTAACACTTACACTCTATTTGGAAAGAGGGGTAAATGGGAGGAGGGTGCAAATGTGAGTAATAAACACAGTTTTCAACACATTTGTACCTGTTTGGATAATTTGGAATAGTAGGGGATGGGCAATGGATCTACCCCTTCGGGTTTCTGATCCAATTGTGTCGATTCGTATGGGTACCGGGTTCAATCTTATAGGGGTATAGTGGTTAAGTTATGTCTTCAAAGTTTATTAGTCAATCACATAATCGACTTTCCATCGAGTAAGGATTAGAACTAGACATTAATGACGCGTGATAGCCTCACGCGTCGGGAACTTGAAATACGAAAACTAAAAGAAGCTAAAAATACTAGGGTTTATTCTTCTTCGATAATTAAAAACGTAAGGGTTAAGTACATATTTATAGGAGAGCTCCCATAAACCTCTTTCCCCCTAAACAAGGAAACCCAATCCCACTCCAACTCCTATTCGACTTACTTCCTAAACAAGAAAAATAATCCGATAGTAAACGAATAAACCGAGAAATATCCAGATAAATATAACAACGAATAAACCGACGCTACCCTTCCGCGGCCCTAGCCGTGCGAATGCATCAATTAACATCGTGACAAATCCATACCTGCACATTAACTATAATATCGAGTTAAAATTTCCTACCATTGAACGTTGGAGGTTGAAACTTAGAATGGTTGCAGGGCTATGAAGAATGAATCAGTTAATTACGGTCGACAAATTAATCTGTATTTTGTGTCCATCCTTGTTTTCCACAAATTTTTATAGTAACTTTTGCAAGTGAAGAAACCTCGTATTCTTGTTTTGAACCACATGAGCGACATAATATCCTAGCTCATTCTTCAAAAAAATGTAACTCATTTCCTTCAAAATCTTGAGGATTAAACTTTTCAACAAGTTTGTAAATATTTTCTTCATCAAAAGACCGGAAAGAACTTGTAGAATCCGGTGCACCACACAACCGAAAAGATCTAATTGATGACTTGTTGAATCTTGAATTCAATGTTCCCAATTGTGAATATATGCACTGATTAAAGTATTCAAAATGGTAGGCGGTTCTCAAGAGTTGTTTGCTTCTCACCACGTCCAACTGTAGCATTCAGATTAGGCACCTCTATGGCATCTTTGAGCAAAAAGATTTTACCTTCTTCGAGTAGTTTGTCCCACCCTTCATCTCGTAGATGTTGAAGTTGAACTTTTGCTATGGAAACAAATTGAACTGCAGCTACAATGTCAATAGATTCTTGTTGAAATGCTTGACATAGAAAATCTATTATCCCCATACACTACAAAAAATAGGGTAATTAGCATCGATTTTTTCATTGCTTTGGTGGCAGTTCTCAAAACCGACACTAAATAAGCTTTTGTCGCGGTTTTTCCTTTTCGGTTCTCGATTTGGTCATATTTTGAAAAGACCATTTTCAGAGGGTATTTTTATAATTGTTGGCCATTTTTTGAAAAGACCATTTTCCTTGAATTTTGAAGGCCACATATTACATATTTATCTTAAGGCTATTTTTCACCGATGATTAAGTCTAATAAGCACCGATATGGATAGATTTTATTTGGGTCCATTTTTGGCAAATTCTAAAGAGGTACCATCACAGATTTCATGTCATTTATTCGAAAGGTAATTTTCCTTGGATTTTTAAGGCTATAGATCATGGATGCTGCCAGAGGCTATTCTCCAACGATAATGAAGTCTATTAATCGCCGATTTGGACGGATTTGATCATAGAGCATTTTCGTATTTTTTTGGACAATTTTTTCGAAAGACCATTTTTCTTGGATTTTGAAAGCTACATATCACGGATTCCAATTGATGCTATTCTTCACCGATGATTAAGTCTATTAAGCACCGATTTCGGGCAATTTCTTCGAAAGAACAATTTTCTTGGATTTTGAAGGCTACAGATAACAAACTCGGACTGAGACTAGGGGTGGAAATCGGTACGGTATCGGTATCCCAATACCAAATACCGAAATCCCGAATACCGAATTACACCCTAAAATCAATCTCAATCCCAATCCCTAAATAATTTCGGTATCCCAATCCCAATCCCTAAATAATTTCGGTATCCCAATCGGTACCTCGGTATCCCAATCGGTATTATCGAATGCATAATTAATTACCTTTGCAATTAATAATTAAATATATAAATTATATTTTATTGTTTAATTTTCAGCGAAGAGACTAAGCAAATAGTCTTGAGTTGCCTAGAGCTAACATCTCAAGTTATTGTAATTGGTAATCTTTAATTTGATGAATTTGAGGTTGAGAGACGACTAATAATAGTGTGAAATAGTGATGTAATGATCTATGTATAATTAAATGATACTTTTGGTGGTTGATGGTCGCGTAGTAGAGAATGAGAGAGTTTAGTTGAGAGGATAAAATACACACTAGCTTATATTTCGGTATTGATCGGTATTTCGGTATATACCGATCCCAATCCCGTAATCCCTAATACCGAATAACAATTGAAATTCAATCCCAATCCCAATCCCACAAAATAATACATGTATTCGGTAATACCAAATATAGACAAATTCGGTATGGTATTCGGTATATCCCAAATACCGGTACCAAACTTCCAGCCCTAACTGAGACTATTCTTCTTCAATATTGAAGTCTATTAATCGCCGATTTGAACGTATTTTTTCGAAGGACATTTTCATATTTTTTTGGCAATATTTTCGAAATACTCGAAAAAGTCCAGGACTCGCCCCCGAGGCCCTTGATAGACCATGTGCCCCTCCGATGATAATATCAAGTCGTCGAACAGCTCGAACGTCTCGAGAGGTGGCTGTAGAAGGGCCATCAATATCATGCCTTCCATCAAATGGACAAAGTTTTCTATGGATTTCACTATGTGGTAGGTCGTAGAGCTATCGAGCCCAGTAGATACTTCGTCCATGAAAAGAGTCTTCTTAGGACCAACTATCATTTCTCCTGCACCAATAATCATACATTAAATGAAGATCAGGGTTTAGGGTTCAAGATTTAGGATTTAAGAAATCTTGTCCTCAAGTCCTCGAATGAGTGAGTTGATTTCTACGTATGCATATCTAAATTAAATATGAAAGATCGAGAGATGGCGATACCTGTTGTGACCCTTTATTCTGACCTTCGGAAGTGCATTTCTGCATGTGATCACCAACTTTCGTGTCCGCGCATGCATCGGTTCCTAGGACTTTCAGGATATAGTCTGCTGAAACATTGTGCTTTCCACCGTGAACGGATGATGCCTACTCCGTGTTCAGATTAAAGAAGGAGAAGACCAGTACGATCAAGGTTAAAAAAAAAGAGCCGAAAATGAGAAGAAAATAGTTGGTGGTACTGTAGTATAAACCTTCATGAATGCACCAATCTGGATTCGGAAGAATATTTCTTTCCTTTTCTTGTCGCATCATGTCCTTCAAGTAACCTAAAAGGATATCAAACACACTCAGTTGAACGTAGTAATTGACTCACTCATTCTCATGAACGGTTGATGGAAATTACTGACGGTTATGTAAAATTGAGTTACTGGTCGGATCTGCTCCGAATGAAGGCTAAACCCTAGCATATGAATAGAAAATGTGTACAATTAAGTAAAGAAACGAACCTGCGACGTCTTTATTGGTTCCCTGCCAACGGGCAGCAATGTCCAGAGTTTCTCTCACGGCGAGCTCAGCGATATGTGTATCTGTTTGGCTTATGTACGCCGATGTCCGTTGCACACAAAAGGAATCGAGGTTCTCCCCATTATACGTGACAATCCCATTAACCTTTAAGTTTTTGTCGAGTTTTCCGGCGAGAGCTTTGAGCAAATTTGATTTGCCCGACCCTGGGAGTCCAAGGAGCAAGCACATTCTGCATCGATCCAAAGACGTTGGATTCAGAAACTGTTGCACTACTGTCGAATTCAAGCGCAATTGATTCATGATAGAATCAAACAACTAAATAAATTAAAACAGAAGAAGAAAATATAATATTTATTAACTTAGGCATTCATTTTTACACACCTGGTATATTCCTAGTAAAATATGTAACTATCATTAAATTAAGCTTGAGGTATGATAGTAAATCCTTATGTCTAATGGATCAATCCATACTCTAATTTTCTAAACTTAAATCATAAAATCAATTAAAAAAATGATGATTCTAATTTGTCGAAGTATATCTAACAAACATATTACTTGGAGCACAATATACTACAGAAGCATGCTAGTTGTTACTAGTAGAATAAACATACAAACACAAACCTTAATGTGATTTATAAATAATAATCTGGTAAAATGCCAATAGTTTTATTATGATGACAAAAAAAAAACAAAAATAATACAACTATATGCACAATGTAACCTTATTGTGATTCATATGATGTACACGAGTTCAAATATAAGATTATGTCATTGGAGCGAGTTTTATGTTGTTGACTTCTTATTTATATGGTGGTTATTTTCGGATAGGACGCTATTAATTCTCAGTTTGGTGGCACTAAATGGCTTCATTTTGACCACATTTCACGTTGTTGATTTAGTTTTTCTTTAGAGAAATTACCCAGAATTTACAATTTGTTCACCAAAGAACTTAACTTTGATACAAGGGCAAAAAAAAAAAAAAAAAAGAATTCAACCCCACCTTCCTGGTCCCAGAATACCTCTGACGTTGTTCAAAATGGTCAGAGAATGCTTCTGGGGTTGGTATACGTGTAATTTCGTTAATAACCCTGTAAGACATTGAAACAAGAAAAGAGGAATTAGGGTGGAAGTACTTATTTTTTGCTTTCCGTTCAAGACAAAAAAAAAAAGGAAGTACTTCTCATTATTCCCCAAACAAAATTCATGGTACGAGCAGATTGTTTGTGGTCTTCTCGTTACAAAATCAAAATGAGCGAAAACCGTAACACATACACATTGTGGAAGGCAACACACCACCACTTGGCATTCCTTGAACCGGTGATCGACAACCAATCCTCGATCTTGTTCTTCCTCTAATCTTCGTCCTCCTGTCAAATAAATCATCATCATCATCGCACAATTAATCCACTAAACCACATATTAGCATCGTCCTAGGTACATGCATACGCAGGAATCAATTTTCGTGTGCACGCAACTAGATCGGCCAATGCTTACTACATTTCTATGGTAAACCATATGCTGCAAGGGAGCTGCCAAGAAATTTGGGGGGGGGGGGGGGGGGGGGGGGGAGGGGGAACGGCGATCAGTTATTATCCGATATTAAAGGAAAAATGGGTCTCGATTCTCGAAAGAAGATTGAATTGAAAGCTTACAAAGTATGTCGTTGGAGCAAAAGCGAATCCTCTAAAGAAATCGCGATTTGGTAAGTCAACTTGATATTCTTGCAATTCTCACAGGCCAGGTTATATATCTTCTGTAATGATTTGTCACTCTTCACCTTGTACATTTTATCTACTCCAACTTCGCAGATGGGTTGTTGTGGTACAACAATGTATAGTCCTAGATTCTCGCCAGGGGCTTGCTGGCCAAGCTCGAGGCATCGATCGATTCGCTTCCTGAGAATCATCTCCTGCATCTTCACCATATGCCATAGTGTGTAGAGAGTGATCACCCATGAGCGAACCAGGACCACTATTCCTGGTTCCCTGCCAAAAAAATCACATTTCGATTCTCAGTAACATATTGATGATGACATTGTATATTGGTCCGAAAATAGAGCGAACTGTAATAACTTTTTGTGATGTATGTGTGAGCATCCAATTACACTCAAGGCAGTTGGACTATAAACTCCATTTCGAGATTGTAAATATGAAAAATATAACATACTAAATTACACAACTTTTTTATAATTGGATCATCAAATTACATCAAAATTAAACAATACTGATCACAGTGAACAAACTCGCAAAAGAATCATAAGATTTTGATTGATGCTTATGATATGATTAACTCAGAAACTACTTAACTTACCATCTAATGTGAAACATACCACATGAAAGACTGAGAACACCAGCTCCAACCATGGCAGTAATTTTGGAACGCAACCATGCATGGCAGTAATTTATATATAGGTATCATTTGTGAGATCTCAAGGGTGGCAGATTACTTTTTCTTTTTTTACTTTTTACCAATTACCCGGCCTGCCATGAGGGTAGGCATGATTCTCGAGTAGCTATAATAAACAGTTAGATAAGCAGTGGTGAAAACTGAAAAACTCTTTGTTGTCGAAAAGGGTGGAAAACCAAGTCAGCGGTAAATGACTAAATGAGGATCCCATAACTCCAACTAATTTGTAGAGTAAATAAAAGAATCTCAACCTTTGAATTTTAACGGATCGGTTTTAGGTTTCGATATTTTACGTTAATAAAATCAATTACAGTCTCTTTTCTATTAATTCTACACCACATACTCATAGAATATATATTCAAGATAAATTATTTCTAGTTATTAGATAATTTTATATCATTAGATTAATTATTTTTACTTTTTTATAACTGATCTCCCATTAGATGAATTATTTTTAGTTATAAGATAAATTTCTATCATTAGATTAATCTAAAAACTTCTATAGTTCAATTGTTTGTGTTCCAACAGTTTCGACTATGGTTCATCTGAGTGTAAGTTTTTTTTTTTTTTACAGTAATCTGAGTGTAAGTTGCTGGGAATAATTGGAAGTTTATGTCCAGTTAAATGCACAGATGCCATTGACTTGAGGACTGAATCCAGTGTGTATGCGAAACTATTGAATGTTCAGAAAGCAAAAGATGGAACTTTCTAGCTGAAATGGAACATAAATTGGTAGTCCAAATAATGTCTTACTGCTTATGAAACTATCATCTCAATGAATTGTAACACATAAACTTGCACGCAGAGAAGGCAAGTTTCAAGAAAGTAGAAAAGCATAACAACCTGTCACAAGCAGTAAATCTTCTTCATCACACTCACACAGCACATTACACACAACAAACGTACAACCACAATTCATATTTGCATCTTGGAAAGTAAACAATGCTTGTTCTCTCTAATTTAGCGGCGAGCAAGGGCTGAAGCGGACAGCAGTATCAGGACTATGAACACGGTGACTCCAACATAAGATCCTATCAAGGATCCCGAGATGCGCTCGCAGAAGGAGTTGAACTGTTGGCAGATGGCTAGCCAGTTTGCCTTTGTATTCCCTCGGTGTGCCAAGTACACAATGGCTGCCCCAGCTGAAGACCCTGCTGTCAGTAAAGCCAGCATCCCCTACAATTTGGTAAACTCTCAGTCCTCTTGCATTTCTGTAGGTACAAATCTATAAAACCAACTTAAGGTGTAGTATAATTACCGTATCAAATATGATAAGGATGATTCTACTGTTCTTTGCAGAGCTCCTCAGGATGTTGAAGATTGAAAGTGGAAGCGATAATAGAAAATAGGCGCTCACGGCAGCGTTGGCTACCACAAAGAACCTGGCCAGCAACCCAGAGGTCATCCAGATATGTTTATTCCCAGTTTAAGCGAACGGTGGAAATGGTCAAATACGATGAATAGATAGACGATAATATGCTTACGTGAATGTTGGAAGGTCATTGTACTCGGCCCTGAAACGAATGAACTGAGTGAAGAAGGGAAGAGTTTCGTTTGTGGTCGCCATCATAATTGCACTACTCAAGGTACCGATGAAGCCAACAAGCCTCAAGATGAAGTCTAGAATGGCAATCCCTCGTTTCACACCAGCTTTCTGCGCGGTATAGCCCTTTGGCTCGCCAAGCACCACTGGAGCATCTCCCTTCATCTTGCTAGCTGATGGTCTCTCTAAGGGTTTTCTTTAGAGGTTATAGGATTAAAGCAGGTGTTGTTGTGCTAGTGAAGTTTGAATGAATGTGCATGGCAGTGAAGACTTGGCATGGGTATTTATACATTTCACAGCAGCATACGTTGAGTGGAGATTATGGGAATGACATTTCGGCGATCCTTTTCTTTATTCTCTTTTCCCTTTTGTGGAACAGTCTTACCTCAACAATAACTAAGCCAATTTAAGAAAACCCTACTTTATAACGACTCCAAGAGTTTCATATATCACAAAGATATGGGATCATATGCCCAACTGCAGCATTAACAACTCCACTCGAACATAACCCATACCACCAAAAAATAGGTTATCATTTTAAGCTACTTCAATTTTCCAAAAAAGGTTTAAATTCTGTGTTGTTTAGGTCAGGAGGTATTATTGAGATTCCCAAATTGAACAAATCCAAACACCTCCCCTACTTACTGAACCAACCAATCCCATTTGGTTCCAGGACACGGTTTGTACCTGGCAACTGCACCAGCTGGTAGTTGCTGAAATAAAACAAAAAGGGCAGGAAAAGCTTCCAGGCCGAAATTGATCCAACTATCATGTCAAAGTCTCTGAAATTAATATTCATAAATGGGATATTAGTTATCGAGCTATGGTCATTAACAGAGACTCAACTTATCAAACATTTACAGAGGTTTATTAATCCTATTAGAGTTGCTTCTAGTTCTGACAGGATGGCCACTGCCAAACAGAAGCCCAGTTAAGAACCCACCACTTGTCTTATCATTATCAGCCTCTTTCACCATGGAACTGGTGCTCAAGTTGCTGATCAAAGACCAGTGAGACTCAAAATCTGGATCATATCCACTTCTCTGCATCATTCCCATCACCTTGGAAGCATTTCGTAGATTGTTCTCTGAACGGTAACTCTCAATCACGCAAGAGTACATCTCTCTCCCGGGGATTTCTCCAGCTGCAAGCATGGCATGGAGAAGCTCTTCTGCTTCTGAGGCTCTTCCTTCCTGGCACAGCTTGTGAGCCAACAAACTCCATGTCTCAATGCTCGGCTTACCATCATCTCTATCCAACAGCTCAGCATGGAAATCAAGAGCTTCGTTCACTTTATTGTGTTTGCAAAGACTTTGAATTATGTAGTCGTAGCTCCTCGAGTTTGGGAGGTTTCTTTTTTTCAGCATTATGTTCAGAAGATCAATAGCTTTGCTTGTTCTTCCATAACAGCAAAATAGCTTGATTAGACGGTCATAATTAATGGTATCTGGAGCTAAACCTTTATCCACAACCCTATCCAGGAAATTCTCTGCGTCTTCGAACTTATTTTGGACAAGTAACTGCTCTGCAACTGCGTTTTGAAGGATGGAACCATGAACCCAGCCTTTTGATTCCATTTCTCGACTCAAGTCCAAGACCTTACTAGAATCGTCTTGCTTGAGTAGACAGGATACTAAGCTTCTCAAGCTGCTGGAGCTTGGCTGAAGGTCCATTGAAACCATGGCAGACATGTAGTAAATAGAGCTAGAAACATCTTTGCATTTGGCAAACCCATCTATAAGAAAGTTATAAGTGGCATCATTGAAGGGTAAGTGCTTTGCCTCCATTTCATTCAGAACGCTCCTCGTAAGATCTCTGTTACCTGCTGAGAGTAGATAGAAAACTAGAATGTTATAGTAAATCACAAGGATATCAGACTCTGTCTCTCTTGCTGTTACTAGGTCCTTAATGTTTAATGCCATATCGTACCCACTCTCTCTACACATCAATCGGACCCAATTTCGATAGCTGGGTATTGAAAGGGTTAAACTTTTCCGCATCAAGATACCAAGCAACTCTTTGGCTTTCCTCAGGTTACCTGCTTTGCAATATCCTTGGAAAAAAATTTCACAAATTTCTGGATTTGGAAGTAGCCCATTTGACAGTATACCCTGTAGCAGACTGGCTGCTTCTTTAATCTTTCCTCTCACACCGAATCTTCTATGTAGAGCTCCAACAAAAGAAAATGAAGAGGATGAATCTTTTCCTAGTTCAGTCTCTTCCAGTAAATTAGCTTTCGGAACACTAACAATACACAGCTGAGGAATCAGAATAACAGAAACATCCGAGCCGAGGACTAAGCTTCTAGCTAAAACATGGTTGAATATTTTGTACGCATCTGCATATTTCCTCTCTTTGTATAGCCCTGCTACAAGATTACTGTAAGTAGTGTCATCCACAATAAATCCATGTTTCTCTAGCTCTTCCAAAACCAAATAAGCAATTGATGCCAAGCCGGTAACTGAAAGCTTCTCCAGGAAAATACAATAAATTTCTGGCCTCGAGTTAGGATGCAAGACTAACAATTTTTCTAGAAGCTCTACTGCTTCCATCAGCATTCCCCGGTAGACGATACCTTCAATAATACGGCTGAAGTCCTTCAACTGTGGCAGCCATTTGCTGTTCTGAGCAATATCCCAGCACTCATGCAGATTATCAGACAAATTTCCCTTCTTGCATAATGCAGTAATCAGAGCAGTAAAGCTTGAACTGTCAATCCTCATATTTCTTTGAATCATTTGACCAAAAATTATCCTTGCTGTCTCTGCCAATCCAATTTTACAGTATGCCTGAACAAGATAATTGAGGACCTCTTCATTTAGCAGATTTGAAAACTTGGGCACTTTTTCAATGAGGAAGTTGCACAATCTTATTTGGGATCGGGATCCACAAAGCCCCTTTACCAATCTAGTAAAGACATCTGGAGTTGGCTCCTGGCCCCATCGAACCATTTCATCTACAATGGAGAAAGCATCTCTGAAGTTTCCATCATCAAGTTCCTCCCTTAAAAGCACATTGAAATCAGGAATCAGGGAATCTTCCAGGATTTGCTTGACTTTTTTTCTAAACTCCTTTATATCTGCATCCAAATACAGTCCATTTCCAAGTTGGTCGAGAAATTCTGTCTTCAGAAAACTCGACCCATTGTCCCTTTTAAACCTCACAGAGGCTGGATTGAATCCCAAGATAAGAAAAGCTTTAGAAAGTGGGTCTTCAATCGGAGATGGGGCAACTAAGCCGATCTCCCTCATCTTATGAACTATTTTCTTTGCTTCTTCAAATTGTCTGGCTTTAAAGTATCCCGCAAGGAGAATTCTAAAAGTTGATAATCCAGGAGTTATTCCAGAATCCATCATCTCATCAAGAATAATGCCGGCTTGATCCCACATGCCCTCCTTCAGCATACCACCAATAAGAGCATTGTAAGACCAAGTCCCAGGTTTTAAACCTCTTGAAACCATCTCAGAAAAATGCAAGAAAGCATCCCTTAAATTCCTTTCCTTGCAGCATTGACCGATCAAAATCCCAAAACTTTTATCATCAGGAATGAAGCCCAGCTGCTCCATTTCGAGCCTAAACAAATTTGCACTCTCAGCATCGAAATTGTGGCACAAGCTCCATATAATTTTGTTCCCTGTCAGAACACTTGGTGCACACTTCATCTTGGCGAAGAACTGGAGAGAATCTTCATAGTCATGTTTGGAACAATAGCCACAAGCTATCTCATTCACAAGGAAGCTGCTAGGATTAAATCCTAAACCCATTGCCTTCTTCAAAAGCCTCCTTGCCTCCTTAATCATTCCATCCACACAAAGTAATCTACAAACGTTCTCCAAACCAGCATTCAACCCATCATCTAAAACAACCTGAAGTTCGACCATGTCTACACACACCCGAAAGGCCAATTCGCTTCTCTTCATCCTCACCAAAAGATTCAAAAGACCATGATAACACATTGATGATGGGACCAAGCCTTGCTCCCTCATCTTCTCATACACTAAACCAGCTCTCTCTGGCTTACTAGCTTCAACATACCCTCTAATCAACCCATCATAAATCTCATTCCCATCCAACGAAATCCCTTGTCTCTCCACTTCCAAAAGCAACAACTGGACCTCTGTAAACATCCCAGACTGAAGGAGTAAAGAGGCCATTGCCTCACAAGACTTGGGCAAGTGCTTAAACCATATACCCTGCTTACTCGCAAAATTGAATATCCCCCACAAAGATTCAACCTTTTCCTTCTTAACATTAACCATTCGAGATTCAAATTGAAAACCCAGCAACATTTCAAGCACATGTTCGGGTTGCAAACAATGGAATCGACGAAACCTACGCGCGACATCAGGTACTGTATCGGAGATATCCCAAAGTAGGTGCTTGACAGAAGGGCCAGAGCTTAAGTTGTGAACTTTACCTTTATTACTGTTGGGGAATAGAGAAGAAGCCTTGCAGATTACCGATTGCGCAATGCCAACACAGTCTATATCCGAAGGAGCAGTGGCGGAGAAGTTGGATTTGGCAGAGACGAGAAGTTTAAGCAGTGAGAATCGTCGGGGTTTTCTTATGGAATTGCCAGTGCGAATAATTCGGAGCATGTGAATGTGAGTGCCAACAGGAGATACTGAAGATCGCCAGCCAATTCTCACTTCTCACACTCAACTCAAGTCCTGTTTTCTTATTCCATCGAACTTCCTTCTGTTAATCTGTTTCGACCTTTTTGTGTCTTTCAGTTTGATGCAATTCTTCATTCAGCCCCTCTACTATGTTTTCATACCAAACAAGTCCATCTACTAAGTCTTTTTTCAGTTTTTGCTATTATAGTGATCAACCTTATCAAATCATAAATATATTGGATGATTGTTATTCGGTTTTCAATGATTTGATTGACCTGAATCAAATTAACTATGTCTTTTACCAAATAAATCTATTTACCAAGTTTTTTTTGGTTATTTATACAATGATTTGATTGACCTGAATCAAATCAAAAAATATTGTTGTATAATTATGATTCGATTTTCATTTCATGAAAAAATATTGATATGATTGTGGTCCTCAATTTACATTTCCCAAGTTTCACCTTTATAAGGCTATTTTCATATTGAAGTGGACTATTGGACACCTCAGCCTACTATGATTTGTAATATTCTTCATTATAACATTTTTATTATGCTTTCATTGAACCGTTCAAATCACCAAAATCAAATTTAGATGTGTGAAAAAGAGATGATTAATGATTTAGCATATTGGTTAGGACGTGCTAAAATGGCAAGTCGCAATTTACAATTGTCATGTGCATGCTACGACAACTACTTACAAAATTTTTATTACAAACAATTGTTTAAAAAAAACAAAATACAAGATAGAACATTATGAATCACACTTGACTAGAACGTCCTATTCCAATGAACGTCAATACCGTAGATGGTTTTGTTGGGTATTACACTAAACATTCAAAGCTGTCCAGTGATTAGTTTCTAATATAAATGGAAGTATTATAATAAATGCAATTAACGAATAAACTATTTAAACTAAGTGAGTTCATTCAACCTTTCGGGGAAGCCATGGGGCGCCGGCAAAGGATCAGTTGACTTCCATTATTATCGGCATATCGAGTTGTTATACATTTTCGTCAATGGTTAATTACTAAATACATACATGGGTTCTGAAACCTGAAAATAGATCTATCCATCCCTCTATCTCTCTACCTATCCCCATTATTAGCTTGAGAAAAAAGCTTGTAAGCTTTGAAGTCAAAGAGGGCAGGAATCAAGGAGGATGAACGAGAAGATGACCGCGGCGGTGATCGGAGTGATAGGGGCGGTGATGACGCTGGGAGCTTATTCGCAGAGCATGGTGTCCCCAAGCAGCTGCATCGGAGCTGCTCTTTGTGTTCTCATGTATGGCTTGCTTGTCGGTGAAGGCTTCATCCCTAATCCTCTCGAAACCAAGTCCATCGACTCAGCAACAACAACCACCGTCGTCAAACCCAAGGCTAACTGATCTCATTGCTTTTTGCTAAGTCATACGTTAATCGTTGTCTCTTCTTTACTAATTACTTCGCCTGTACCATGCATGACAAGTCTCTGTTTACTAGTTTCCAACGGCCTTCTGTTAAGCTTCCAATTTGCTTCCATATTTCCTGCTTGTGTATTGCTGCAATTCTTAGAAGATGGATGGATCGTCTTTGTAGCATCCAATTTTCAGCTTCGTGACTTATTGACTTGGACAATGGAGTCCTTGATCTCCTGCAAGATCAAAATCAGTATAGTGTCCTTCAGTAAGATATATATACGAGCAACAGATTAAGAGGAGCTGAGTGCCGTACGTACGTGCATGCCTATGTAAGCATGAAAACAGAGGATCTGCGTTGTTTGTTTGTTCCTGTTTAGGCATGGATGAATGATATGCAGATGGCAGCAATGTAATGATTATAAATCGAGGAGTATGAACGGCCATCGGAGAAACTAGCATGAGAGAACAAGGGAGTGGTGTAGCCAGAGACGGCTTGCCGGCCGGTCTTCATTTCCCGACTAATGCATATATGATATATATGTACTGCCGGCAAGTCATCCTTGGCTGCACCACATGGATAAAACTCCCTCATTCCCACATGCAAGCATCTACGATGATTATGATGATTGGAAGCAAAAACGGGTAGAGGGCCATTTAGATGAATGAATGTGTATGTGCATGAATGGTTACCTTCAGCTCAGCTCAGTCTACTTATAAGGAAGCCAAACCGATTGCCCGAAATGCTCTCTTCTCTTCTCTTCTCTTCTCTTCTCTTCTGGTTGGTCCTCATTTATGAAAACTGTGGAAAGAGAAAGAGCTAATAAGACAGTTGATACAGTGGATGGAAGACAGAGAGACATTAATGTGGAGGGACTTTCCTTTTCTGTAACAGTATGCTTCTTAAGATTGGCGTCATTTGTCCATTAGGATTTGCCCCCTGGAAGCTGTGGAGGGCTCATATAAAAGCATAAGCATCAACTTTTGACGTAGAAGTGACAGTTCCCAGCCTTCTGGAGTAGCAGGCACTTACTATCTTACATCAACACAGTCGAGCTATAGCTCAAAAGTAAAGACTGAAATGAAAGGGCCTCGAAGGCAAATCACCATCTCAAACTTCCATTTATTGTTGTCTCTGTGCCAAATCCTTTCATTTCGAGGATTGTTACCAAATTCGTCAAATCATAGGTAGGGGTATGGCCATTGAGCGAGCAGCTATCTGGATTTCTAGTTTTCTACAGTCCTCTTGAGGACAAGTCGACATGTAGTAACATATGATTCGAGACAAAATTGCTAATGAAGGTATTCAAAAAAGACGGGAGGCTTCAATTGATCATTTACATAAATTTAGTCAAGAACTAAGATAACGAAAACGACGACTAGTGAAATAAGTGTTGAACAGCTGCTTTCCCACACACAAAAAGAAGAGGTGCGTACAGCAGAGAGTTAGGTGGCCAAATTTACTCTTCAATACTCAAAAGGCAGCCCTGCGTACACATATAAAGCCTATGAATGACAAAGACTGACCGACTGTATTTCTAGACCAGCTGGACGGCTGGATATTGGCAGCAAGTGCAACTACACCTCTAGTGTTGTTACACATACACCATGTACTAAGTCTTAACTAAGACTCATGGTAACTCGCTTTCACTTTGACCTCAAAAGCAAGTCCATATCTACTACAGCAGTTGATGCCTGCAAATTGGAACTCATCCCTCTAACAAAGACAAGAGAGAGATCAACGGACCTAGTTGAGTAGTCCTCCTCAGTCCTCAGCTTTCTCATATTCCTTGTTATTTATAAGACTCGTCTGATACCAACGACCAAGCATCCAAAAAGGGATCCACCTTCGGAGCAAGCTATCTCACACCCCCCAAGCCTCCTATATAATGATGTTCAAGTCCTCCATCGTGGGAAAGACAAAGCAAAGAGCAATGAAATACCCATAAACAACTCCACACCATCCTTCCATTCTTTGTATGAAGCGAGAGAAGGTTGTTATCTACTACCCCTTCGACTTGGAAATTTCAGCATGCATGTATATATCCAGATAACTGGAGACGTCATTAAAACCTGCAAACACACACTCATGGCAGTAAACCAAAATCCAAAAAACTACAGCAGAACAAGTCATGCACAGTTTTCATGCTGTGAACGTCCTGTTCAGGACTTCAGTCATTCTGCACTGATTGACGTAAAAAAAGGTACTTCCCTTACAAAGGATAAGAGAAGATTTCCTCCTGTCTGGAATGGCCAAAACCTGCTCAAGGTACCCAAATATCAGGTAACTGGCATATAATGATATGAACCATGGATCTAAGGAAACACAAAAACCTCCAACCGCAGATCAATAACAACTATCAAATCCCCAGGCTTGCTAAATAACGTTCAGCAATGTGATACAACATGCCTTTCTCCATTGATCAACTTCCCCCTGAAATAACCAAACATAATCCATGCAAGTAACCAAAAAACCTACAGGCATGATCATATTATTCCATCTGATGGAGCAACTAAATGCACCTACAACCCCCAGGTTGTCTAGTGCTAGAGTGTTGCTATTACCAACGGGAACTTTAACCAGAATACATTACAACAAACCACTCGTTCAAATTCTCCATACCAAATCAAACTTCTGTTCATAGACAAACTTCCTAGTTAAATGAAGAAGACTAGCTTACTGAATGATTATGAAGATGAAAGGAAGGATCCATTCTGCAATTCAAGAAAACATTAGATTTACATTGTACTCATAGTAGCAGAACAGTGTACGGGGTAATCCAGCCTATTCAAAGGCCTCGAGGGAATCAGAGGGACGGTCTAGTGCGGTAGAAACAGAGTGCTTTGGAGTACAAGAGCCAAAATGAATAGACTTAGAAGCAACAGGGTTCCAAGATTAAAAACGAACAGTTTGAAAGCAAAAGCAACAGAGGTAAGGCAACTACAGGTTCTTGGAAGCACATCACATATAGCTTGGTTTGTTGTCAGGGAGAAGGCAGATTTGATAAGTTTCAGGATCTTCAACTATGTTTGGTTCCTCTAGGGGAGATCGTCAAGGGCAATGTCCGGGGTCTTCCAGCTTAAGGCTGTAGGCTTCATCAAAAGAGGAAGTAGGTCTGGCATCAGGCTTCAGGATCTCAGCTGTTGTTATGGGACGGAAAAAGGCAAGCACGGTAACATATGAGCATCAGAATCCTCGAACGGTCAACACATGATAGGTTGACCAAATGGAACTAGGGGGTGCTAGGAGTCTGATTGGCCAATATCATAAGATATGAGAACTGCTTTCATAGAAAAGGGGATTAAAAAGAAAAGGAGAATCAATTCTACCTCCATGTGGCTATTGTTGAATTCTAGTAATGGTTTCTACGCCGTGCTGTCGGGGCCTGGTTAGAATACCTGGTAAACAAGAAGTAACCTTCAGGATATATATTCATTTGCCTATGGTTGGAGTAAAAGAATGGAGAACGCAAAAGCAGGGTTGGTCAACACCAATGAATATTGGGAAAAGAAATCATCAAGGATGAAGTGGAAGATTATGGCTCTACTAAGCCTAGCTGTTGCCTCTCATGATGAAGTTTGTGACAGGAGCTTTTAGAGAAATTCAATTAATGGATCAAAATGGGCAAAAGAATATTCTCCTTAAATATAAAAGATAACATTCTATACTACAAACAAATTCTCCTAAATGGCTCCAAATGCTCTGGGTTAATGTTGTAAATCTAGAGACCAAGTTTTCTAGTGTTGGGTCTAGCTAGGCTTCTAGAGCAGAAAAGCTCCACGAAAAGCCAAGCCAAACACATGCTGCAAGAGCATATTCTAGGTCAGAAACTACAGAGTTTTATAATTCCAACGTCAAATCTTACCCAGAAGTGCTTGCACGTGCAGACGAATAACTCCCATAGGGTCCATATGGACCACCACTACCACCGATCTACAAGAAACATTAAAAGAGTAACAAATGATCACATGGGTACATAAATATCAATCACACGGAAAAGAATCAATGTAAAATAGAATGGTTAGATAGCTACAAGTATAAATGACACAAGATACCTGTGAATTACTGTAACTACCATATGTGTCACTGGCAGGATAATCACTCAAGGCATAACCACCAGAATAAGTATGTCCGCGTCCAACCCGTCTACTATCTCTGGCATCATAATGAAAGTCGTCTGACACATCAGTTGAAACAGGGACATAGGGTAGCACTGGCAAATAAGCAGAGGCTGCACCACGATCTCGGTCAAATACATTGTCCCTTAACCTCCGGCTTACTTCTATGAGTGCATCCTTGGCGACATCAAGTTCCCCAGAGATCTGTTCATGAGCATATAACCAAATTCATAATTAGCAGGTTCAGTAAAAACCGAAACCAAAATAATACCCCAAAGACAGATCGGAAAAACTCTTCCATGCATTATTACCTGTACCATCTCATCATCATCCGCTGCAACTTTAGGAACATTGTCCTTTCCAAGGATACGTATGTTAGCATTTGTAACATTCCTCATCTCATTGATAATAGATCCGCCCTTACCGAGAAGGCATCCAATTTGTGAAGAAGGTACAAGCAGCCGGGTTGTAAATGAGAGAAGTCCGGAATCTCTCTCGGTTTTCTCACTACATCTGGGTTGCAACCGCAAGGCTGCTTCAATTGTTGGAGAATGTTGCTCATCAAACACCTAAAGTAAATATTGCCCAATGAGCTATTTTATAAAACAGTATAAAGAGTCGAAAAAATCTATCAAGGAATTTGAATAAATGAATCATACAACTTAAATAAAACACATTAAAAAAACAATGAAGTGAATTATATTTTCGATTCTGAACTTTTGTGTACTCTTTTATCATTTCTTTTCCTTTCCAATTTTCAAACAGATTGGTTAATTACACTTAAGATTGTCCATTACAAATAAAGGTGAATATATTCAAGCTTCCTGACAGGCGAATACTTCAAATATGAAATTCATTACAAAGGAAAGTCTAAGATAACACTAAGTTGTCATACGACTGCTATTTTTTTATGAAGATCAAAAGACTGCTATTTTTCTCAATAGAAAAAGATCATACAAACTTAAGGTATAAGATGATATTTTAACACTTGACTAGAATCAAACATCTCTTAAAAGCATATGAATAGATATCCAGTCCTTCATTATATTTAACAACTAAAACTGAAAGTAGCCATAAGAGTATATCAGTCTTATACCTCCCTGGCTGAAATTGCTATCAAGCAATCATCAGCAGCTGAACTATGAACCTTTATACCGGCTCCAGTCTCTTGTCTAATTTGATTAATGATGGCACCACCTTTTCCAATCACGGCACCTATATAACCACTTGGACAAACCATACGAAGAGAAAATTCTCTAGGTGGAAGTTCCTCTCTGGGTGTCGAGTACAAGGACCGCGACCAATCTCTAGCATCACTTTTATATCCTCCATAAGGACTCATCAATGGAGCCATTCCAACAATTGGTGCCCCACCAGTAGGACCAATCAGTGAACCACCAGAAGGATACATGTTGGGGACAGCAGAAACCAGCAAGTGCTGAGACCGTGATGGATTTTCATGAAGGCGAGCAGCAATCTGATATAGTGCCGTTTTTACTGTTCCAGCTTCACCAGAAATCTAAGACCCACCAAAGGGTAACAATAAGATACCAGACTTAACAGCTTACCAGATAGGAAAACAATCGACAAAGTATGACTACAAAAGATTCGAGCAAAAAGAGAGAAAAACATAAGGCCATTCGGGTTGTTGATCCATCATACCTGTACAAGTTCATCAGAGCTCAGTGCACAGAGTGGCAAATGGTCGTCCTTCAAAATGCGGATCTGTGTGCGAGTTTCAGTACGGATACTCTGCACAATCTGCCCACCTCTCCCGATAATGCAGCCTATCTGATCAGATGGAACAAGAAGCCTCGCAGTCACTTGCTGACCGCCACCTTCTTCAGAGTCTGCATCGACACGCAAATCTTCCCCAACAACTCTATCGTGCACCCTGAATAGAGCATCCTGAGCCGGTGAGATCTTATCATCACCATCTGCATATGGATTAGTCTCGTCACTAGAGCTGTAGATGGTAACCACGCGATCATCACACCCGGGTATGGTGTCACCAATTCTAATCTTGGCGTTGGTGTCTAACCTCAACTGTTTGACAATTTCACCTCCCTTCCCAATGATCGTTCCAATCCTTTTACCGGGGCACAAATACCGGTAAACAGTATCACGAGGGTCAATGACCAAAGGGTCTCTATCTTCACCTGAATTTCTTCTCTTGTTTCTTCCATCATCATAACCCGAGTGAGAATGAGACCGCTTTCCGTAACTGTTTCTCTGACCAGCCATTTCAGCTAAAAGATACGGTATCTGCAACCAATGACGTTCATCAACCATCGTCATATAGCACAAGGAAGTATAAATCAGCCAAGCAAGTTAGAACTAGTCGAACAAAGGTGAATGACGCAGCATACTTCTAGAATATAAGCTCTGCAAGCACTGAATTTGGAAAGGAAAATACCCATAGATGCCAAGCGCAAGCCTAGTTCTAACTTCGGCAAGAAGAAGGTCAAAGATGCGTTCGAGAGATGAGAGCAACAACGCGGGAAAAAGAAACGATTAACAGAGAGAACGAAACTAGGGTGTTAGTGCTTGATTAGACTGGCCACGGTACCTAAATTCAATATTCCGTTGGCCTAAACGATTATGGCCAAATCTGCTCCCCTTTACGATGAGTGTTTCGAAGAAGAAGAAGAAGAAGAAGAAGAAGAAGATCTCTAGGGTTTACGCGGGCGGTCTGTTTCTTCTTTTTCATCAAAAGGCTTTAAGTTTTTTTTCCCCCGAAGTTAATGGCTTTATTAATTTACTTTATTTTTGTAATATTAACAAGTGGAAAAAACTTGCAATCTAAGGTTAGGTACAAATACTCTCTTTCCAGAAACAAAAATATTGCATGAGTGCATTTTTTCTTTGCATTGTAAAATACTTTTATATGATATGTGTTGTTGTGAATAAAAAATGAGTTCAATAATTTCAATTTAAATCGTTTCAATAATCTTCACTGAAAAGTTAGATTGTTCAAACATTCAAGTGAAGTGATAGTTTATTTCAAATCAAGCATTTACGAATTTTAGTACAAAAATATATATTCTAAACAGTATAGGTATTGTAAAATCTCATAAAAATAATATGTGCATATGTATTGAACAATCATAAAACATAATTTACATGTTGTTGACAATTTAATGACTTATCCCATTTGCAATAGGATAGATTACAAATTTATAAATCATGAAATTAGAATTCGGGCATTATCACGATCGAATAATGACAACACAGATGTATAATTTATATGAATAGCTTTATATTTGATGCTATTTGTAATGTGATAGGAAAAACAATTTCAATTACACATTTTATTATGTATTAAAGTATTAAGTTTCCTGCAAAAATTCGACCTTCTATATTAGTCGTCAAATTGAGTACAAATTTAAAGACATTTTTTTTAAACATTATATAAATATTTTTAAAGTTGTTGTAAAATATTTAAGACAAAATGCTTTAAAATGAGACATTTTGCATAATTATTTCGTTAGGAACGAAAAGAAAGTGAATTTTGTTTGGTTCACGATCAAAATTACGTTACTGTTTCCTATAAAAAAAAGAAGGGTTAATATTTTCGTATGGCCTGAACTTTGACCAAAATAAACATCCTGGCCAATCTTTTCGATCTATAACATCCTGGCCCGAACTATACACCAAAATAAACAATTTGACCAAACCCGATATTTGACCGTTAACTTGGACGGTCAAAAGCGTTGACTAACGGTCAACGCGCCACGTCACTGCCAAGTCAGAAGATCTGATAAATATTTAATTTTTTTCGTTTTTTATTTTTGGTTTAACTAAGGTATTAGATGATTTTTTTAAATTTATAATAATTTAAAATTAGGGAATGTGTGGAAATTATGAATTATTTTAAATATTTTATGCTGACTTGGCAGTGACATGGCGCGTTGACTAACGGTCAACGCGTTTGACCGTCCAAGTTAACGGTCAAAAGTCGGATCTGGCCAAATTATTTATTTTGGTGCATAGTTCGGGCCAGGATGTTATAGATCGAAAAGATTGGCCAGGATGTTTATTTTGGTCAAAGTTCAGGCCATACGAAAATATTAACCCAAAAAAGAATGACGTTACTGTTAATTTTATTGAGATTATGTACCCAAATGAGCTAAAATTTTAAATTTCAGTCACAACTCACAACTCAAACTTTACAGAACAGGCTCGGAAACGTTAAGACTGCCAAACCGCTCGGGCCGTAAAGTCCAATCCCGAATATCTTCTTTCTCTTCCGCACCCCAGAGACGTTTCTCTCTCTAAAGCCCTCTTCTTCGCCTTTCATTCTCTGCTCGCGCCAGCCCTAAATCCTGCGAGTCTGGTTCATATGTCAACATCCGGACCTCCACAATTCCGATACACGCAGACCCCATCCAAGGTTTTGCATCTCCGCAACCTGCCATGGGAGTGCTCGGAGGAAGAGCTGGTCGAGCTCTGCAAACCATTTGGGAAGATCGTCAACACCAAGATCAATGTTGGCGCCAATCGCAATCAGGCCTTTGTGGAATTCGTAAGCTTCCCTTTTCACCTCTGCATATATACGCTGTTCAGTTTCGTTTTCCTGCTCTAATTTCTGCTCGTTCTTTGATTATTATCTATTTGCTTGTTTGGTGCTACTGTAAACAGAATAACACCAGGAAACGCTCTTTCCTTTTCTTTTCCACATGAGCTTAGTGTAGCGCTTATAAGCTTTTAGTGGGTCACTTCGGAATGTTTTATTTCATGGTAATGTCCTGTGGTTGAGAAGTTGATTGATTTGGGATGTCATTGCTTGCAGCCCGACCTAAATCAGGCAATTCAAATGGTTTCCTACTATGCATCATCATCTGAGCCGGCACAAGTTCGTGGTAAAACTGTGTATATACAGTACTCGAACAGACACGAGATTGTCAACAACAAGAGTCCAGGCGATAATCCCGGTAATGTATTACTGGTGACTATGGAAGGGGTAGAAGCTGGTGATGTCAGCATTGATGTTATCCACTTGGTAAGTTTACTGTTTCAAAACCTACGTACAGTTTTCGGTTAATGATTAGCTGTCCTGAGGTCGGCTGAAGGTACAAGAATGGATTTCAGTTCAAAGGAGGAATTTGGTATAGAATAATTTATAATTGGGTTTCCGAGCTTGGAGGCCATAGTCACATGTTCAGAGAAGCACTTAAGTGATTCGATGGGGGTGCTGGCGTTGTTATATAACTTGTAAAGGAACATTTTCGGTTGAATGTCGTTGGTCTCTTCATTTGGCCGAAAGGATAAACATAATAGTAGCAATGAACTTTCAGCTGGGTCTGGGAACGATATAGGCTTTAAAACAGGAATGTATCCAGTGTTGTAGTGGCATGTAGGATAGTGACGTTCTGATGATAATTGCAACTCACATGGGAGAGATGTGGAAAGAAAAATGAGAAAAATGTAGAGGATTAGGGGTCCAGCACTAATGAATTCCATGCAGAAAAAGCTATTTTGCTTGTTCAGCGTGGAAGAGGAACAGTTGAGAATGTAATTCCCTGCCATCTAAACAACATATATCGTGCCTTGTTGCAAGGAGTGATTAATATGATGTCCATATGGTTAATGTTGTGGTTATCTTTTCCATTCTATCCCCATAGCCTCTCCTTTCTTTTTTCTCCCTGAAGCAGTCTCCACTGTACATAGAGTTGTAGGTATGTAAATACATTGATATATGAGCCAACACTGAACATGTCAGGTTGAGTATTAGGAATTATTCGGTTTTGTCCAAAAAAAGGCTCTTGTTTGGTGAAGAATGGTTTCTTCATGGTTGTTCTCTTTGTCTTAATCTGAATAATTCCTGTGCTTTCTTTGTCAATCTGAAATATGAATTATACATGAATCAGTTTTTATCCAAATCAGGTTGGCCTCTTATTTAGATTCTTCTGTTGGAGACAGTTTGGAAATATTTCTTGTACGTCATACTCCATTCTATGCTCTGTCTTGACGAATACATGTTCAGGTGTCATTCTACACTTATTACTTATCTATCTGGATTTTACTGGTCATTTATTAGCGTCCTCATTGCTCTTTGCTATATTTCACATATTCATGCTATTTTTACTTATTGTTATCCCTAACTTACTATATTTCAGGTATTTTCGGCTTTTGGCTTTGTGCACAAAATTGCTACCTTTGAAAAAGCAGCTGGCTTTCAGGTTAAGTCCCACAAATTTCTTCTTTTGTGATATAATTTTTATCATCTGAAAAATTACCGTCTTACTCGATTTGTTGCCAGGCTTTAATTCAATTCACTGATTCGGAGACAGCTTCTTCAGCAAGGAATGCATTAGATGGCAGAAGTATACCAAGGCATGTTTTCCTTCTTCCAGTCCTACAATCATCACTGAACTGCGGCTTTTTTGCCCTAGTATAATCTTTTTCATTTTCCGGACTCTGCCTTGTCCTTGAAGTCATTTGGCTTCTCATGTCAATTTGCAGATACTTGCTGCCAGAACATGTTGGTTCATGTAACTTGAGAATCTCATACTCTGCCCACACTGATCTTAATATTAAGTTCCAGTCTCACAGAAGCAGGTAATAGCAACTGAAGAAACCAATACCTGGAATTTTTATGCTTTACTTGATTTATGTTGCCTGAATATTTCCTTATTGTTCTTCTGCATCATTACGGGAAATTTGGAACTTTGCTAATTGGTATGTGTGCTTTTGTCATCTAGGGGGTTAGTGAAGCTTTGTAGCAGGCACACAGATGTGTTTTCATGGCAACTTAGTAATTTCCTACTTCTTTGTTTGTATCTCTTGGATGTGATCAATATTGTTGTGGCTATTACTGCTTCTGAGATGCTTGAAACTTAGTAATCACTTCTTTAGAGAAATTAGTTTAATCATTTATAGAAAGTATTACTTTGCCTTTATGGACTGTTTCAATCAAAATCTGTAATGTTTATTTTTTATATCGTGATTGAAATGCTACCTTGTCATAATTGTTCCACTGGTTAATAGAATGAGTTAGTTTTGGCTTAAGAAGCTGCTACCTAGGCAGTTGCAAGTGCGTATGTAATTCTTTTTCTAATAACGAATTAAGAGCGTGTCAAGAACCTAAGGCCCACCTAGGGTAAGCCAGGAAACTCATGTTCTTCCCTGCTGAAGAGTGAGTACTGTTGAACTTTTCTTGCTGCAATTCTATGAAAGTAGATGTCCTTTTGCAGGATATAATTTATCAATTTCCATACCAGACGTTACTCACTTACTCTAGTGTTCATGATAGCATTATCCAGCCAATTGAAAAGCCACAAAGCTAGCAATAATGTATACTATATGATTTCGGCTACACTGCTGAGTTAACTATGTCTTCAATGTTTGTGTGATACATGTGTCTTTCATGCTCTGCAGGGACTATACAAATCCGTACTTGCCTGTGAATCCTACTGCCATTGATGGGTCTCTGCAGGTAACTCACGGCAATCACTTTAGTAGGATTTATAGCTTCTTTTTAGCACAGCATGTAACAAGCAGTCATCTTCAGCTTGCTGTAGGCCCGGATGGAAGGAAGAAAGAACCTGAGAGTAATGTTCTACTTGCATCAATAGAGAATATGCAGTATGCTGTTACCGTGGATGTTCTTCATACGGTACAGAACCTCCTTTTGAAATCTAGGATATTTCTTAATATAAAATTTCCCTCAGAACCTGAATTCAAAGCACTGGCTGGTTTATTATTGTAGGTGTTTTCAGCTTTTGGTAACGTGCAGAAGATTGCAATATTTGAGAAGAATGGCAGTACTCAGGCACTAATTCAGTATCCTGGTATCACATCACTCGGCTAAACAGAATTTGCTTATCTAATCTGAATCGCTTCTTCTTTCATCTATTCTCCTAGTTTTAGTTCATTCTGGGATTAGATGAGAACCCATGCATTCAATTATAAAACCTTCCTGGTTCAAAGTCATGTAGGTGCGTTTTGTGAATGCCTCCTTTTCTATTCTGTGCTCTAAAGGAATGATGATAACACTTCACTTGAACAAGTTTTTGGTAAACGAGGTTGACTGGTTAAGAAAAAAAACTACTCTCTTACCACATTAGTGGTTGGGTATAATGTGAAGATGAACACTGCTCAACAACTGCCTTAGGCTCTTCTTTGCATGGGATGTTTTCTGCCTTCACTGATATTGCCCCTGCCATATTAAACTCCGAAATGTTTACTTTCTTTCTTGCAGATATTGCAACGGCATCTGTAGCGAAGGAAGCTTTAGAGGGACACTGCATTTATGATGGTGGCTATTGTAAGCTTCATCTATCATACTCTCGTCATACTGATCTCAATGTAAAGGTATAAAATATATGCTTTTGAGTTAATATTCATGGGGGGAATAAGAAGCAAACTGTGAAAAATTGGGCTTAAGTGCGGCTTGGTCGAAAAACGATTTGGTCATAAAAATCGTATGCTTCTCTATACTTCACTTTCCTGTTTTGTGAGATTTCTGAATCTTATTACTAGGAATCTGAATGATTGCTCCTTTGTTTTTTGTTCTATCCTTTGTTATGTTCCATGGGTGGTAGGCTTACAGTGATAAGAGCAGAGACTATACAATCCCAGACGCTAGTTTGCTTGCTGCATCATCACAAATCCCATGGCAGAATCATCAAGCTATGCCAGCATATGGTGGGAATGCATACAATGCTCCCCCAGGTGTGCCCGGTATGCCACATCAAGCTCCCACTGGCCAGTCGCCCGGTCCAGGACCAGGCTATGGCTCAAACCCAGGATCTTATGGTGGTCATACATCATATCAACCACAACCGCCTATGCATCCGTATGGCAATACTGCAGCTGGTCCTCCTCATTCATCCCCTCACATCTCATAGGGCAGCGCAGCTCATCCTGGAGTCCACCTGAATTTGTGATCTGGTGCGGTGCTTCACACTCGAGGTCAGCTTTCCTGTCGTGGGTGGATGATGTATTTTATGTGGTAGATGGGTTTCCTGAGCTTCAATGACAGTGAGTGTGTAATGTTTAATCAGGAAAAATCATATGTTTACCATATTGATAGATGATGCTTATCAAACAATCCTTTTGCATCGAACCATGTCCTTATACTGAGTAATTCTGAGTACTGATTGGTCCCTCAGCAACAAATCCAATTTTAGAATTGTCAGCATTTTCTGGTTTGAGTGTTGTTCTTGTATGTGAAATTGGGTTTGTTTTTGGTATTGTCACACTCTACTCATACAGTTACTGATGAGTTTGTGTTTCTTGATGATAACTTTTGTTACATTATAACATTAATCAAAAATACTAGTGGTAGTCTTTAGAAAACCCGGTAACTATGGACCTGGTAGATCCCAGTTATATACCGTGTTTGTTTTGTGCAGTAAGAAGCCTCGAACCTTAGGTTTAGCATACTGTGAAACAACTTGGCTGCCCAGAGTCGGCCTGAAAGGAACATTGAAAGGCTGTGAGACTGAGACATGAGTCTAAAAATGACTCAACTACTAAACCTGCATTGTCACTGTCGAAATTAAGTGTCGTGTATTTCCTCTGTACTCTGTAAGAGAAACAGAGAATTGATAGCTCCTGATCGTGGAATCCCATGTGTTTAGTGGTGGTGGCCTTGTCTGTCTCACAACAGGCATATGGCTTCAACTACTTTCTGTCTTTGCTTTCCATTACCGTTGTAAACTTCACCGCCTTCAAAACCACACTCTTCAGGCGTAAATCATGAAGTTTCTTGATCGCTGAAAGTTGAGAGGCAAGACCCATATCCGCTAAGACTCAAGTTCAATAGTAGGAAGGAGTCGTATGACATGACGGCTTTGGTCGAAATGAAAACCTATCATGACTCATGAGGGTGAACTTACATTGATACACTATCTGCACTGCCGTCATAAATCGCACGTAACTGTAAAATGGTCGTCACTAAGAATGAGTTGGTTATACAAATTGGGAGTCATGCATATGCTCAACTTTAAACAACTTAACTCTCTGTCTACTTCAATTGCAACAGCACACTACCACCAATGTGGCTCCCTGGCCTTCACCATGTGAGAGGGTTGGTAGGGCTACGTACGTTGTACCTGTCTGCACCATTTAATGAGTTCGTGGGACTAAGGAAAAATCTCAGGAAACTACGGGTACTAACTTGTTAGTATTTTGCCGCTGGCATAAATCGTATTTTGCCCTTTTTGCAGCCTGTTGCCGACAATATCCAAAGCATAGTGATGAAAATGAACTGCTAACCAAATCCAAACCCTTATTTCCTGAAAACTCTCTTCTAATGTTTATGGTTTTAATACCATCTCTCTGCCCAGTTTTCATTTCCTTGCCCGTGAAGGTACACTCCCATTGAAGGACTCAATGGCTAGGCAAACTATAAGTGGTCCGAAAAAACAATGAGTCGACTCAAACTATCACAGATTTCAAGTCCCTGTAATACAAAATCCTCCAAACACTTACGTATATATGAAAATCAGGGAGTGGATCAATTGAGCATTTTGATAAGAAAAAGTCAGGTATTATTAACTTTGATGGATTCTACAATATGAAAAAAATTACAAGATCAGAAAAAACTTTGAATTTCTCTTTTGGGAGTGGAGGTGAGGGGTTGGTTTACCATTAATCCTTTTATTCATACAAATAAAATTTGTGGGGACAATTACGCTTTCACCTCATATGCCACATGTGGGTTTGTCACAAATAGGAGTTATTATATATAAAGGCACTAGTCCTTAAATACATGGAGTGCAAGCAACTAGTAAGGGCCACAAAATTTAAGGACCAGTTTGTAACCAAACGCATACAACATCCACATGCACATATCCTTCATTCAAAAGGTTAATCAACTATATTACATTCCAAATTTTTACAAATTTACATGTGTTCATAACTCTAATTTGGAAGTTTAAGCTCAATCGCCCTAATATACATCTGTCACTGTATATTGTATGCGTCTAAACTTCATATTATTGTGTAATCGTCTCATCTTTTTATCATAATAAATATGTAATATACGTATAATCCACGTAGCTTAATGAATTGACTTTATTGAATAATTTTTTATATTCACTTTTCAATTTTAAATTTATGATATTTAATATTGGGTACAAAACTTTTATGCTTACCATTAAACTAAAAATTATGTATAAAACATGTACGTATTAATACACATCCTTACTAACTATATCATTAATATATAGTCCAACAGATACTACCAACGATGCCACAAACATTAATTTCCTTCCCTTCCCAAATTCACACAAATTGTAAATTACGTCTACTTATGGTTATGAAGAGCAATAATTGATGCTGATTATTTACTACGTAATTTGCAATCCAAGATAATAAAATCTACAAACTCCTCTCCTCTCCTTCCTTCCTTCCTAATCACATCTTAATTATAGCAATTCATTCACAGGAAAAAATCCTTGTAAACAAGAAAGGAAAAGCTAATGAAGAAGAAGCAACTAATTAGAAGTGGTTAGTAATTAGTACACTGCTACAGTCTGCAAGTTGCATGGTCCCCAACTGCAACATGCAGAGAAAAGCTGCTGGTGAAAGGTTTTAATGCTTATACAGCTGACTCACTCACTCCTCTCTCTATTTATTCCCTTGTTGGATCTGCTTTCTCCTTATATTCCCTTCCTCAGAATTATATTCACACCACCCTACTTCAATCTCAAATTGGAACAAACATATAGATTGATACTTCAAGCTCTCGTCATCGTTGTTGCAGCTTCTTCAGTCGGTCTGACATCAGCTCGAGGATGGTACCATAGACATGTTGGAGGAGGAGGAGCTGGTCCTTGGATCAACGCTCACGCCACTTTCTACGGCGGCGGCGATGCTTCCGGCACAATGGGTACGTACGTACGTCGGTCCACCTATTCTCGCACATTCATTATTCGTGCACTCAGTTACGAACTCTTACTAGTCATTTAATCAATCAACCCTAATTCTCTAAATTAAATCCGATTAGCTGAACTAATTAATTAATATTGATCAGTAATTTTGATGTGATTGATTATATGTAGGGGGAGCGTGTGGGTACGGGAACTTGTACAGCCAAGGTTACGGGGTGAACACGGCGGCTCTAAGCACGGCGCTGTTCGACAACGGGCTGAGCTGCGGGGCTTGCTACCAGATCATGTGCGCCAACGACCCGCAGTGGTGCCTCCCTGGCTCCATCGTCGTCACCGCCACCAACTTCTGCCCGCCGGGAGGATGGTGCGACCCTCCCAACCACCACTTCGATCTCTCCCAGCCCATCTTCCAGCACATCGCCCAGTACCGCGCCGGCGTCGTCCCTGTCATGTACAGGAGGTAATTAACGTAACCTTCTCCTCTTATCCCTACATATTTATTAATGTTATAGTGATATACCAATTGCCACATCAGTTTCATATCTTCTGTGTCGCATTGTAATCGAATCGTGAAATGGTAAGATTTTGTTGTCTCATCAAAGTAAGCGTCAATAACTTCGAAAGAATCCGAGCTTTGAATTTTTTGGTACTTATGGACCCAATTGTGTTGAAAAATGATAAATACATGTCCAATAGTTCACATTATCATTAAGAACACATCTATTGGCATAATTATATTGCTTATATGACGGTTTTATAGAGTGCATGTCATAGACTTATTTAGTCAATTCATTGGGGGAAATTTTATTCAATAAAACAAATACGAAGAAAATGGAAGTCGAATTTTTTTATTTATTTTATCTCGTGATGGATGACCACCAATTTTAGGTCGTGTTTCGATTTTGAGGACAATTATGTTGAAAACAGCTAAATATGTGCGAAAGTTGGAAGTATTTTGGATGGATTTACCGGCACCATTAATAAATTGGTTTAGAACATTTACTTAATGGTTATATATATAGAGTGCACTTCACTAGCCAGCTTAATTATTTTAGATTAGAGAACACGATTCGTTATTTTTGTTATTACTTATGAGTAAGTAATCAAAGAATCAACTAGTTTCAAATGACTCATTCAAACGGATGGACTATATGTCTAGATTTTATCTAATTGTATTTTTTTAAAACTAATTTTAGTATCTAAAAACTAGACATTTTAACCACGTGGTAAAAAACCCATAACAACAACTGAATATCTTGTAACTAACACATTAATCCTGTTTGTGGTTTTGTATATGCATTTACAGGGTGAGGTGCAGGAGAAGAGGCGGGATAAGGTTCACGGTCAACGGCCACTCCTACTTCAACCTGGTCCTCGTCACCAACGTCGGAGGCGCCGGCGACGTCCATTCCGTCGCCATCAAGGGCTCCAGAACAGGGTGGCAGCAGATGTCCAGAAACTGGGGACAGAATTGGCAGAGCAATTCCTACCTCAACGGGCAAAGCCTCTCGTTCCTCGTTACCACGAGCGACGGTCGAGCTCTGGCGTCGTACAACGTTGCTCCTCCCAGTTGGTCCTTTGGCCAGACATATACCGGCCGACAGTTTAGGTATTAATTAATCACCGTTGTTCGAGTGGTTATACCATAAAACAATATTACAATATAGTATTTGGGATATCATTATCGTGATGGAAACTCGCTCACATGCTCGACATTAATTTGGTAGTTACGAGTTATGATTCAGAAGTAAAAGGAGTGGGGATAATTGATCGATGTATTAGGCCTAGGAGACAGACTGAAAGCGATTAATTAGTTAATGACGTTGTTGTTGGTCTCTAGGTTTTTTTTCATGAGGGTGACATGTGGTGGAGAATTGAACTCTGGTTCTCCAAGTTTGGGCAATGTATGATTATGTATTCTACACAAAGTTCCATAATATTGGAACGGTAAAAAGAAAGAAGGGGACGTTAGAAAAGAATTATTGTACCTCTAATGAAATTCGATGAGATTATGAGATTCATGTGTTTACGATTTTTTTTTCAATGAGTTTTCGTATTCGGAATGCTCACAGTGAAAAATTATTACGTATTGGTTTGACTACATAATGTATGATAAATTTGTTCGGACTTAAAAGATCATATGTTGGCTTTCATACAAATGAATCATATCAAGTCGTTATTGAGCTATATGCAATATCATGAATAATGGAAATGATTTGGACGTTTTGGGGGGCTAGCTAGTCACATGGTGGAAGGCACTCCAAATCAGATAGCTACATGTCATGTGTGACTGTGAAAGTGACGAGATTTTTGGAGCAACACCTCACTATCCTCCTTTTAAATGAAACATGTGCATGGCAAAATTTTTTTTTTTTTTTTTCTGAACTTGTTTTACAGCCTCGACCGACAATCTGTGATACCCAATGTGAATTCCGTCGGAGAATTAGGGGTGGGCCGGCGGTGTAATTGCATTGAATTGAATTTACTTGCATCTGTTAAACGGTAAAGCTAATCGCTATAATTGAACTCCATCTCGTTCTTTCTCTCCTTAAGCTTTTCGTTCCTCATCTTACTCTCTTTCCCTTGCTTTTCGTTCTCTTTACCGCGCTTTTCGTTGCTTATCTGTTGTTTTTCTATCATCTTTTCTTCTTTCTTGATCTCTTTTTCTTCTTTTCTTTCCAGTTTTGTCTTTTTATCATTGTTTGTTGATGCCATACGTGCCTGAGATATTAGATTTACTGGATATAAAGTTGTTCGAGACTGATATATATTATACTCTCTCTTTCTGTGGATGCACAGTATTCTAGAAGTAGTCATGTGAAAGAGATCAAGAAAGAAGAAAAGATGATAGAAAAACAACAGATAAGCAACGAAAAGCGCGGTAAAGAGAACGAAAAGCAAGGGAAAGAGAGTAAGATGAGGAGCGAAAAGAGCACACAAAAAAATGTTTTTTAATGATTTTACCGCGAAAATCACACCGCAAAATCTGAGCTCGAAATTTTTTGAAAAAAATAATATACTAGTGGATGGTTGGTGGGATACATTTGCTCTACATCAACCTACCTGCTTCTAACGAAACCATAACGACACAAGTGCTCGACCGATTAAATTCTTTCAACATTTGAAAAAGTAGCAACAAACTATTTAAAGGTGAATATCATAATTTACAATGGACATAGAATTCAAGGTTTTCCATTGCTCTCAATTAACGATTCAAGGTTTTCCATTGTTATCAAATTGAAAAGGTTGTATAGAATTGATACTCAGTTAACATAAGATAATTTTGTAATCTACTGATTCATAATTCAGCATTATTTCGATCGTGTCGCGTGCTGTGATATGCGTGGCATATTAGCGTCCCAGCAGCTGTGATAATGGAACGGACCTGCTCCAAGTTAATCTACAGGTGGGCTATTAGCTATATTCTGACCCAGTTAATTTAAGATGGCTCACTTAATGAAACAATACGGAGCCCAGTTTTGTCTCAAGCCCATATAAGTATAACCTGGTCTGAGCCCATCAATGGATTGGATCAATGCCATGCATCTTTTTCACAGAACACGTTCCATTCATTTTGCACCCAGTTCTCCATCATTTTAATTTCATTTCGATCTTCTACTTTCTCTTTGTTCGACTACAAAGATTTCCAATACAAAATAAACCTGAAGAATCCAAATTCCATGTTATTCTTTCGGCGATGGAAGGGACATATACACTATGGATTTTGGATTGTTCGGGTTTTATATGGATAAACAAGGAGGAACAATGATGTTACTGATACCTAACTAAGCTCGCAAAGATAAACAAGGCTTAATTGCAAGTTTGGTCACTCGAATTGCTACAAAATTTCACGTTTGCCACTCAAATTAATTAATTCCATTTATAGTCACTTAAACTAGGTTAACAGTCCAAGTTTGGTCACTGGCCGTTAGTCTCCGTTAACTTTTGCTGATGTGGCGGTCAACTCTTATAGTTGACCGTTAAATGCATGACGTGGCAATTAAAAAAATATAAAAAATAATAATTAATATTTTTATAATTTCCACCTCATTTTCAAAATTATTAAAAAATAAAAATTTTATTTCCTCTGGCCGGCGCCGGCGACCAAGCTGCACCACTTCCGCCTTGTCGTTGAAAACTAAAGTGGAAAAATGATTTTGTGGAGGAGAAGCTCAGCTGTAACCTGAGCCCTCTGTAGCTTTTATAGCTACGTTTGTAATTAACAGAAACAAAGCACGTGTCCTTACAAGATAGGCTAAAGTTTAAACAAACAGTAATCAACAACGGCTAATAACGGCTAATGTATTAAAACGCTACGCCGTCGTTTTCTTCATTCCTCTTCTCTTCATTCTTCTCAAAACGTCACCGTCTTCTTCTCTTCTTCAGTCTGTTTAATATCAAAACGTTGCCGTCTCATTCTTCTACTTCAATCCTCTGGACATCAGGATTCCAGGATCTGCAGCTGACTTCAGGCCATTATCTCTGTCACCCCCCTTCAAGTTGGTGATACCCCTGTTATCCCCAACTTGCACAAAATCTCATTCATTCTAAAACGATCCAGACCCTTAGTAAAGATGTCTGCAAGCTGCTCCACAGTTCCAACATGCTTTAACTTGATTAGTCCTGTTTTAATCCTGTCTCTTGTAACATGCATATCAATTTCGATATGTTTTGTTCTTTCATGGAAAACAGGATTCTCTGCTATGTGTATAGCAGACCTGTTGTCACAATATATAAGAATGGGAAGTTGTACCTGCACTGTCAACTCTGTAAGTAGCCTTTTCAACCACTCTATCTCACAAACCAGATGCGCCAAAGCCCTGTATTCCGCTTCAGATGATGACCTGGAAACCGTTGTTTGCTTCTTGGTTTTCCAGGTGAGAAGTGATGTACCAAGAAATGTACAATATCCTGTGATAGATCTTCGAGTGTCAGGACAACTGGCCCAGTCTGAGTCACTGAATCCAGTCAACTTCTCTTCTGCAGAACTACTGAAGTGGATGCCCTGATCTGGTGATGACTTCAGGTATCTCAATACCCTATATGCTGCTTGCATATGTTCTTCACAGGGATTCCTCTGATACTGACAGAGCTGTTGGACTGCAAAAACAATGTCTGGTCTTGTGATTGTAAGGTAATGCAATCTGCCCACAAGCCTTCTATACACCTCTCTATCCTTTAATAAGTTTCCACTGGAACTCAGCTTTACCTTTGCATCAATAGGGGTTTTGCACCCTTTAGCATCCATATAACCTGTGTCTTTTAACAAATCAACACAGTATTTCCTTTGACAAACATTCATGCCCTTGCTATCTCTACTCACCTCCAGACCAAGAAAATACTTCAATGGTCCCAAAAGCTTCAGTTTGAATTCTTTGCTCAATGCTGTTTTCAACTGATCTATGTCTTTCTGTGCATCTCCCCCAACTAGGATATCATCCACATACACCAGCAAAACAGTGATCCTCCCATGTGTCCATTTGGTAAAAAGTGAGTAATCAGACACTGACTGAGAGTATCCTAACTTCAACAGGAAGCTAGTAAGCTTGGCAAACCATTGCCTTGATGCCTGCTTCAAACCATACAATGACTTCTTCAATCTGCAAGTCATTTTCTGCCCATTTGAATTAACCTTTAGACCAAGAGGAATCTTCATATAAACAACCTCCTCAAGATCTCCATGCAAAAAGGCATTGGACACATCCATCTGCTCAATTGTCCAATTCCTCAAACTTGCAACAGCTAGGAAAGTCTTCACTGTATTAATCTTAGCCACTGGGGAATAAGTGTCTAAGAAGTCTATCCCATAGACTTGAGTGTAGCCTTTGGCTACTAATCTGGCCTTTTCTCTTTCCAAAGAGCCATCTGGCTTAAACTTGTACTTAAACACCCATTTGTTCCCTATCTCTTTGGTGTTTGGTGGCAGTGGGACTACATCCCATGTTTGATTCTCTTCTAAGGCATGCAACTCTGTGTTCACAGCCCTATTCCAAGCATCAGACTTAATAGCCTCATAATAAGACTTAGGTTCTTCAAGATTCATAATGCTCAGCACAAAGGACTTGTCATCACTACTCAAACCATTCACATTCAGAGAGATAGAGTGTTTACTACATGAATTGGATTTTCCATAAGGGCCAAATGTAATGGAAGGATCCAGTTCATAATCATTGTACTTACTTGGAAGGGTGACTTTTCTTCGAGGTGGTTTAGGCTCCTCTGTAGGACCCTGACTATCAAAATCAACATCAGCCTGTACAAGTAGTTCCTGTTCATCTGAATCATAATACTCATATTGACTGTGTTGATTGTGACTGCCAGTGTGAGTGCTTGAAGAACCAGATTCCTCAGTCTGCCCCCCCCTTCATCCATGGATGGATGAAACTGAGGAGGAGAAACAGAAGGCTGAGATAATGGAACATGTAAAGCTGGAGTTGGAGGAGCCATGGAAGGTGATGAAGCAGAAGCAGGTGATGAAGCAGAAGGAACAGAAGTGCCATCTGAACCATGGAAAGGCAATATCTTCTCATAAAACACCACATCTCTGGAAACATAGATGTGCTTGGTATGGATGTCCATAACCTTATACCCTTTAATACCTGCTGGAAACCCCAAGAAGACACACTGACGTGCTCTAGGAGCAAATTTAGTACGTCCATGAGAAAGGGTAGATGCATAACATAAACACCCAAATACCCTTAAATGAGACAGAGCTGTAGGTTTGTTGTAAAGAACTTCAACTGGTGACTTGTTGTGCAAGACAGGAGTGGGAATGCGATTAATCAGATAGACAGCATGTAAAACACACTCACTCCAGTATTGTAAAGGGAGACCAGATTGAAATTTCAGAGCTCTTGCCACATTAAGTATGTGTTGATGCTTTCGTTCAACCCTTCCATTTTGTTCAAGTGTTTCAACGCAAGAAACCTGATGTTCAATACCCTCTTGTGCAAAATAATCACTCATTTCAAACTCCTTGCCCTGATCACTTCGAATTGTTTTAACTGTGGTGTTAAAATGGTTCTTTACCAAGTTACAGAACCCTTGTATTAACCCCCTAACTTCACTTTTATGTCTCATCAGATATATCCACACACAACGAGAGAAATCATCCACGATTGTAAGAAAGTATTGAAAACCATCATGAGAAACTACTGAGAGAGGTCCCCAAATATCCATGTGCAGTAAATAAAACACCTCAGGTGCTGTGTTGGTACTAACAGGGAAAGGTAATTTGTGTTGTTTGGATAAATGACAGACATCACAGTGTACTGGTTTTAACTTAGTTACATCTGGAATGATTTTGGAAAGTAAAGATAATCTATCAAAGCTAGGATGGCCTAATCTCCAGTGCCAGAGATGCAAATCTTGTGACTGGAAGTTGAAAGTTGAGGCTGCTTGATGTGTGGAAGGTGATGAAGGTAATGAAGAAGGGCTCTGGGAAAGGATCAACTGATAAAGGCCTCTACATTCTCTTGCCAAACCAATCCTCCTCTGGCTTAATAGGTCCTGGATTTCACAATGGTCAGATTGAAAATGTAGGGTAAGTGGGTGATCATGGGTAAGTTTGCTTACTGAAATGAGATTAAAGGAGAAAGTAGGCACTAAAAGGACATCAAGAAGGGTTAAACCAGTAGGTAATGTAACTGTGCCTACACAAGTTACAGCAACTTTGGTTTTGTTTGGGAGAAAAACATAGGTGTCTTGAACTACTGTGTATGATGTAAACATGTTAATGGAACATGCTATATGGTCAGATGCTCCTGTGTCTATGATCCAAAGGTTTATATCACAGGCTTTGTCTAAATGAGAAGAGAAAATAACATGTTTACCTGCAAAGTTAGGGAATGGTGTGGGGTATTGGGAGGCTGTAAAGGCTTGGTGGTTGATTGAAGGGGAAGTAGGTGGTGTAGGGTAAGGATTAGTACCAACTTGCAGCAAGCTCCTGAGGCGTGTCATTTCTTCTGCAGTAAAGGCTAATGGAAATTGGCTCATACCTTCACCAGCAGTGTTACCTTCTGTGGAATGATCACCACCTCCACTCCCAGTTCCCTGTGCAACTGAGCCAGCAAATCTTGGTGTGCTAGAACTGGAACTTGAGCTAGAGTTGGAATGTCCCTCCTTCTGTTGATCACCTTGTTTCTTCTTCAGCCACCAGCAACCCTTTTGTGATTGTTGTTGTTGACTCCCTGCAGCCAGAGCCAAGGATTGATTCTTCTTGCCACCTGATACTGCATCTGCCTTCAGTTTTTGTTCATGCTGAAGCAAATCATCAACAGCCTCAGAGACACTTGGTAAGGGCTTTTGCATCAGCAACTGAGTCTTGATAACTTCATACTCCGGATTAATCCCCCTTAAGAAACGGATTAAATAATCTGTCTCCTGTTTTTGAACAAATGCAGTAACAGCAGCACAAGGAAGAGTGGAACCAGGTGCACAAGCACAAGGTACAATTGGACAGAATTCCACATACTCATCCCATAAACCTTTGATCTCTGTATAATACTGATTGATAGACTTAGTACCCTGTTTACAAGCGATAATTTCATCTTCCAAATTTGCTATTCGCATGGCATTTGGTTGTCCAAATCGCCTTTTAAGTTCTTCCCACAGAACCTTAGAATTACTATGATTCAGAACTGCCCTTCTTAGTTCCTTAGTCATCGAGTTCTGGATCCAACACAGAACCACTGTGTTGCAGGCATCCCAAATTCCAAACATATCTGAATCCCTAGCAGGTATAGGAATCGACCCATCTAGAAAACCCAGCTTGTTCTTTGTCTTAAGAACCACTTGCATAGATCTACTCCACATTGTATAGTTTGTACCATCAAACAACTCAGCAACCAAGGATTGAGCCATGTTCTCGTTTGGGTTAAGGTAAAAGGGATTACCAAAGGTGATAACCTCTGACTGTTGTTGATTTGGCTGGTCAAAAGATCCAAATCGAAATCCACTGACTGTGCTGCCTCCAGCAGTGGCATTGTTGTTGTTTGTTCCTCGTCCATGGCTTCCTGGCTGCGGCGTGCTTTGTTCCCCTGACATTGTAGTGCGCAGTCCCAAACCCTAGAGTCTGGGTTGCTCTGATACCATGAAAACTAAAGTGGAAAAATGATTTTGTGGAGGAGAAGCTCAGCTGTAACCTGAGCCCTCTGTAGCTTTTATAGCTACGTTTGTAATTAACAGAAACAAAGCACGTGTCCTTACAAGATAGGCTAAAGTTTAAACAAACAGTAATCAACAACGGCTAATAACGGCTAATGTATTAAAACGCTACGCCGTCGTTTTCTTCATTCCTCTTCTCTTCATTCTTCTCAAAACGTCACCGTCTTCTTCTCTTCTTCAGTCTGTTTAATATCAAAACGTTGCCGTCTCATTCTTCTACTTCAATCCTCTGGACATCAGGATTCCAGGATCTGCAGCTGACTTCAGGCCATTATCTCTGTCAGTCGTCGCTGTCGTCCTCGCTGCTGCGGGCGAGTACTCAGAGGTTCGCAACTTCCATGGCTAAGTACATTCAATATATGTTTCCCCTTGCCAGCCTTCCGCACTACATTATTGATCTGGTTGGTGATGAACTCTTTCGAACCAAAAAGAACACCTGGATCCACGTTTCCCTGGACGGCTACATCTTTCCCCAATCGTCGCCTGCCTTCCGCCAAGTTCACCGGCGGCCAGAGGAACAGACTCATTTCTTGAGATCATGATCGATAGTACCATATGCAATAGGGATCCACATTCCAACAGTCGCCAAATGAAATCTCATGAAATCGGAACGAAAACAGGAACGCTAAAGAGCAATTCAGCTCCACTTCTAGCGGAAAAGTAAGAGGAAGGAAAGCGAATCGACGAATTTGAATACCGCCGATCCACGACGGAGATTGAAAGGGAAAGAAGGGCGGACGGAGGACGAGCTCGAGCGACTGACCTGAGAGCTAGTTAGAACGGTGAGAAGCACGGCGACGAAGTACCATTTCATCGTGCCACAGCGAGGGAGAACAGTCTTTGCGTTTGCTGTTTCTGTCGCTCTATCGCACTCCTTCAGTACTAGTCACTACAGTCCGCCATTAACGTCTGCTGCTTTACAGTTCTGCCTTTCCGCTAGGCGCTAGTAGCAAAGCTTTGGTTTTCACCGCCAGATCTCCAAGAACCGGAGTAATTGTTTTTTTTTTGGTTCAGCGGCGACAAGGCGGCCGAGGCGGAAGTGGTGCAGCTTGGTCGCCGGCGCCGGCCAGAGGAAATAAAAATTTTATTTTTTAATAATTTTGAAAATGAGGTGGAAATTATAAAAATATTAAATATTATTTTTTTATATTTTTTTAATTGCCACGTCATGCATTTAACGGTCAACTATAAGAGTTGACCGCCACATCAGCAAAAGTTAACGGAGACTAACGGCCAGTGACCAAACTTGGACTGTTAACCTATTTTAAGTGACTATAAATGGAATTAATTAATTTGAGTGGCAAACGTGAAATTTTGTAGCAATTCGAGTGACCAAACTTGCAATTAAGCCGATAAACAATGACAACTTGAATCCATTTTTACGTGTTTCCAGAACCTAACTCTTAAACAAACATCAAATGTTTTCTCCAGTTAGATAAGAGTCTATTATCCATTTGTTAAACCAGATGTCCGATCTTAATATCTATGAAGTCTCAATGCTATTCTTTATCAGGTCATCTTCCATATTTCTAAGTTGAAAAAATTGTTTCTAAGTAGGTTATCTAGCGAAACGAAAAAAAGACCAATGTGATAACAACATTTTGATTGTCTAGCCCATGCTCCTAGACCTAGAGCTTAATGAAGCACTTTCTTAGTATATGGTGTTGGAGTCAAAGGCTGTACAATAAGTCAACAACTATTTTAACTCTTAAAAGTACACAACTATTTTAACTCCAAAAAGTACGCATTAGTACATTAGAGAATTTGGGCATGCTGATTGCTGCCCTTGTTATAAGGTTGAACTTATGTTGTTAGATTACACACAATTCATAGTCATTAGAAGCATGGTTGATGATAAATTAATGTAACATTGTCATAATATTGAGAGTTTGAGACCAACTATTCAGCCAAATGGATTAAGTGCTTATGCCAACGCCTACAGCGGTAAGCATGCTCACAAAATGCACATTAGAACAATGCAATCTGCAAGCTACTGATGTGGTTGTTTGTTTTGCAGAGACTAGGAGAGAGATGAGAGATGGCAGGGTGTTAGTGGTGGTGGTGAGGTAATTCTTGCACAGAAAGAGTCAAATTTATTACATCAGTTTTCTTTTCTGACTCTCTAATACATACAAAGTCAGAGGGAAAAATGAAACTGCTTTGTCAGAGGGCGCAGGCCAGATAGCAGGGGAGCAGGCAGAGAAAGGATGAGTACTCGTGTGGATTTCTGTTACAACTTACTGAAACAACAACAAAAAAAAACACCCCACCACCCCTTTTCTTTGCCCAAGTACACTCTTCTTCCCCCATTTCTTTCCTCTATTCACTCTGCTTTCTCCCTCTCCTCCCCCCCTTCTGTTTTTGTTTGCTTTCCCCGTTTTAGAACCATGGAAGTGACCTTCATGTCACAGTTGCATAACACAACAACAAGCACCACCACCAACACCACTGGCTCCAGCTACTGCTGCTGTTGCTGCTGCTGTCATCAAGACAAGGATGGCTGCTGCTTCCCCAATCACATCTCTCCCATTCCTTCCTCTTCCTCAGATACTCATTATCATATACATTCTTCTCCCTCTCAAGCTCAACTCACACCACCGCATACCCTTTTGGCCTCTCCTTCTCCAGACATGGCCAAGTGCAGTAATAATGACAGCAATAACAACAGTGTGGAGAGGCAGAAGAAGAAGAACAAGAGTATTGATGATAGCAGGTGCTTGAAAGTTAGTACTGCTAAAGGGCATTGGAGGCCTGCAGAGGATGCTAAACTCAAGGAACTTGTTGCCCTTTATGGCCCTCAGAACTGGAACCTCATTGCAGAGAAGATGGAAGCAAGATCAGGTGGGTGGTTTGGTAACTGCACTTACCTCTTACTCTTTTTTTCTACTATTTCTCTGTCACTCAGGTTTTTTTTTTGTCTCATTCTTCTGCTTCTTTGACTGATTTTTGAAGGTAAAAGCTGTAGACTGAGGTGGTTCAACCAGCTGGATCCAAGGGTGATCAAGAGAGCCTTCAGTGAAGAAGAGGAAGAGAAACTGATGGCTGCTCACAGAACTTATGGAAACAAATGGGCACTGATTGCCAGGTTTTTCCCAGGGAGAACTGACAATGCGGTTAAGAATCACTGGCATGTTATAATGGCTAGGAAATACAGAGCACAGTCCTGGAATAATTGCAGGTCCAGGAGAGAGATCAACCAGCCTTCCACTGCTAATTGTTTTGTTGGAGAAGAAGAATACACTCCCAGTGGCAGCACCCAGGAATCATTATCACTCCACTGTCCATCTGGAACTTCCAGTGGAGGAGGAAGCACTAATGCTGCTTCTCCTGGAGACACCAAAGGCAAAGGAGGAAAAGAAACACTGGGAAATTGGAAATCATCTTCATGTTCAGTATTGTTTGTTAGGAGCAGCAATCCCAAGCTCAACTCTTTTCAACAACAACAACAATCCCTCATGGCCTATGGTGTCTTTTCTGGTTTGCTCCAAAATGCAGTTTAGAAGTTGCTTTATTTTCCTTCTTATCAGTGTCCACATTGTGCTCCATGGTTCCAATTCTACTACTCATAGTTTTCCCCATCCAGTTGTAGAGAAAGACTTCCACTGCCATATGATAAATGACACCATGGTTCTTCCCCAAAACTTGCAGGTCAGGAGGGCCAGTGGAGTCCCAGTCTGAAGAAGAACCAGAGTAGCATGGTGAAAGATGATGGTACCACCAACACCACCACCTTCACTGCTTTCAGTAGCAAGCAAGCATCTGGAGTCACAGTCATTGAAGCATCAACGTCATCATCATTATTATCACTATCACTAGCAAGGAACCCAGAAACCACAGCAGCAGAAGCAACAACAACAAGGGACCTATTCAACACCAGCAAACCCTCAGCCCCACCACCACCATTTATAGACTTCCTTGGAGTTGGAGCCTGAAGATACAGCAAGATATAAAGTTTCCAAACTAGGTAAAAGGGAGACATGGGGAAAGAAAGAGACACTCGTGTGGGTAGTGGGTTAGGATTATATATGAGATCAGTATGTTATCATGAGTAGGGGAAACGATGCATTTCCCAAGGAGGCAGTGTTTCTGGGTTAGGACTAACTCAAACAGGTTAGCTAGCTAGTAGCCTTTCAAGTTTCAACCTTCGTGTTTGCAACAAACGATCAAGCAATCCTCTTTTGCCTTGTCAATCTACTTCTTTCTGAATTCTGCATGTATTTTCTTTTTTGGGGTAAGTTTACGAAGCCCCAATATTAAGCATAAAAAGGGGTAGCTCTGGAAGCATGGGAATAGCATTAGTCCCATTTCAGTAACAGACTTCCTTAAATCCTGCTGCCTAAAACTGCTGGACAATTAAAATTCCAGCAAGGAAGTGGCCATGTGTTTTGTCATCTCGTTTGTGTCAAACATTCAGAACAGACAAACAACAAACTATTATAATAATACTCATGGACGGTTACCAGAAAATCGCAACATGCAACAGTAAGCAAGTAACAAAACTGGGGAAAAGAGGCTTGTGGTGGGCCTTACAGCAAAAGCAGGACAACAGTAGTAGTTTTCACAATACTGTTTCTTTTCTTCTGTGTGTTGTGTTGTTTACGTTTCACTGTGACCCTGCAGACTTCAGGTGAGAGTTTTATCAATTCCATTGAATACTATAGACCCCTACCCACGAGGGGGTTATTCAATTGACTCTGACTCGCATGAACTTGACAAGCAGGACTGTAAACAATGTGCTTGTGTACTAATAATCCGATGCTGATGAATTGGTCAATTGGTTCAACGGTTCATGTTGAAGATGGAAAAAAGTAACAATATGAACATAACTCCTGAACATTATGAAACTTGGGTTAGCGTTCAGTGTAAACCTGTGGAAGGAGCTCCTTGACATTCGAGGCAAGCTACAACACACTTTCTGTTTGTCGAATCAAATGCTTGCACTCTGAGCTATAGTCCCAGGTTTAGTAGATGAGCAAGCATCCTCAAGTTCTTGCTTCGACAGAAGCCTAGTGGAGTGAGCAAATTTTGCTACCTGACAGGAGCTAACTTCAGATGGGTTTGCTGGTTGCACCAAAAAGTAGTTGTCAAGAGCTTTGATGGTTTTATCTATGAAAGCTGATCTCTGCAAATACTCCCTCATCCGACACACAAATTCTGTATGATCTCTTGCCTGCGACAAAATAAATATACCCTTTCAACAACTAATTGATCAAGTCAAGTCACAAACTACTGCAGTTTTCAACAAAAAGATAAAAACCTGGTAAATGAAAACAATGTTTTACCGATCTGTACTCGGGGGCACGAGAAGGTAGCTTCAAATAAGTCATGTTCCGATCCTCATAGTCCCACAAAAAGGAAGTATGGTGAATCCATCGGTCTTTTGTTATAGATTGGGCATTCCCACCAAACTTGCGATTACCAAATACATAATCTGTTAGCAGGAAGAGAAAAACACACCATGATTTGGAACATTGAAATATAGGCAGTGTGGAATAAGCAAAAAGATAATGAGGTAGACTTGGCAATGTCTCAAAACAGTTTCTAATGGAAAGCTTTTGCTTACCATTCTCCCGCAGTTGAAAATCCCCAATCCCTTGGAACACTTCATCATACAATTTACCACTCCAAGACATGATTGAACGAGGATATGGTTGCACCTTAGGAACAGCATCCTTGTTGCATATGAGAGTGACAAAAATAGTCCCTTCATCGACTATAACCGTACCACCACCTGTAAATCGTTTGATAACAGGAACGTTGTCTCCAATCACAGACTCGAGTTCAAGAAGTTCAGCAGGTTTCCTGCACCAATATCCATATCTATCAGTTTCACGCCTCAACAGCTGCCAAGATTACATTTTGGAAGAACCACATTAGTTCCTTTACCCTGATACTCCCATGACTATGGTAGGAGCATCTGCTCCATCATTCACAATACACCAGTTATCTGAAGTCGTCCGTAGCAACTTTTCCTCCAACTTGAGTTGGTCGAGTATGGGCATTCCCTTGAATCTAACAAGATTCATCAGCGGCAGCCCTAGCTTTTCAGATTGGCGAAGTATACCCATTGTATAGGTTGTTCAAATACAAGTTTAGCCTATAGAATTTGCAGCGGAATGGTCAAAATCCAAATTCAAACCCACAAAAAAGGAAGGAGAAACGGACCAAGTTGGAAGCTTTAATGAAGCTAAGATCATAGTTGATGGTGAAAGCGCGGGAAGAAAAAGGTTCAGGCCAATTGGAAATTACCTCGACAAATAGGTCGCCGGGAAACTGACCGCGAAACTTGATCGGAAGGTACCGAGACGGAGTTCCAAGAAGAAGAAGAGATACTGCCGTGGCCTCCGGTGTATGGTGTATTGATTCTATTCGTCACAGGCAGCAGCCAACTATGAATGAGCACGAAGAGATACAGCGACGACGGAGACTGACGACGACGACTCCAAACGCCGCGCGTGTAACTTTTCTTTTCGTTTATCGGGTGAAAGAAGAAATGCGAATTATTGATATTTGCAAATTACACAAACAGTCACTGAGTTTACGGTCACTAGCCAAATTGGTTGCTGAGCTTTTAATTTTTTTATTGAACATTTTTGTTGAAATTTTGACAGTTTGACATAGTAATCACTTGGTATATTAGTGCGTTAGTTCATCTAACTTAATTATTAAGCATGAATAGTAAATGTTATAGTAAAAGTTTCGAGTGTTAGTGAATTGATTGGAGTTTGAGATGATCATTAGTATGATCTATTTAGTGTTTCTTGGTCGAGACATATAATAACATGCAACTGAAAGCAAGTCATTGCAAGATGAAAATAAGAAGACGACCACCGTAAGTGTAAAGCAAAGAATGGAAGACTATGGTTTTCTCAAACTTATCATCTCATAACGTGACAACTATGGTATTGATATAGAATGACACGATAGATATTATATTGATGAAAATCTTAACTCGCTAAAGTATACGCAATCACCATCGTTAAGTGCTTTTAACCAATGATATTGATACAATATATAGAATTCAAGTGATAATTAACCTTTTCGGATTAATAAAAATAAAAAATTGCCAATTTTTAGCAGGATAAAATCAGTAACTAAATAACCAATTTTCATCAGGATTCCAGGAAGATATCCTCAAAATTCTGATTAGGGATTCGGGGGATTAGATTATATTCCCGTTCGTAGCTCACATGCTATTAAGGAAATTTGTAGAACAGATGGAAATTTTGAATCAACTACATTTGGATTAACTTATTATTGATTTCCCAGGTTTTGGATCTCTCGCCTCTGACGCTGCTGACTGTTGGCAGAGTCCAGAGGGAGATAGAGAGAGCTATGGCGTTGAGAGCCTCCGGTAGAAAACTATCCTTTGAGATCCTAACGAAGACCAATTCTCTGGAAGAAGAGCAATTTCTTCTCCTCAACCAATCAAGCCCCGATACCGCGAGATCGAGCCCGACGAACAACATTCCGAAGAAGAAGCGAAGGAGGAACAAGCACAAGAAGTCGAGCCCCCATGCCGATTCCTACTCCACAATCGCCGAAGATCCATCGGCGGCGGTAAGCAGCGTTGCGGGTTCAAATTCCAATTCCAATTCCGTGATCGAGTCGCCGATATCTGCAACGGGGGAGTTGCAAAATGGAAGCGTGTTCATGGAGGATAGGTTTAGCAGCCGTTATGGTGGAGGAGGCAGCGTGGTTTGTACTACACCGACAATCACTGTCGTCGAGTGTGTGTGCGATAACTCTACCAACAACGGCGGCAACAGCTATGTCGAGTTGAGGCAGCGGAATGTTGTAAGCGTTGGAGGAGAAGGAGGGGGAAGGAATGATGAGGATTTGCCCTCTGTTTTGAGGGTGATTGGAGAGGCTGCCGTGGAGCGCGAGTTGGAGGTTGTTTCTGATGATAAACTGCGGAATGAGCCGCAGCCGATGCCCAATGGTTGTCGCTTGCCGAGGTTGGAGACTGCAGAGTCATTGGATTGGAAGCGACTCATGGCCGAGGATCCTACTTGTAAGTAAATAGTTACTGTTACTAAATTATGTTTTGATGCTTCACAAAGCCATGAAATTTCATGGAAGTGGTGATCTTCTTCTGCTTATTTGAACCTTATTATCACAGGCCAGCTGATCCCATATCAAAAGACTCCATTTTGCTGTTAATGAATGTTTATTTTGTAGGACCTTGTGTCTTATTCCATGATGTTTACGTTTTTCTCTGTTACATGTGCTGCTTCAGATCTCTTTTCAGTGGAGAAGTCACCATTGAATTACTTCATGGATGAAATAGACGAAGGCAACTCATTACGGCGAACAACAACTCTTGGCAGTGAGAAAGAAAGGGAAAGGGTATACGACACTCTATTCCGCTTACCATGGCGATGTGAGCTGGTAATCTGAGTTATCTTTTCTGGTCCCGGGTTTCAGCTTCTGTGAAGTCCTAGGTTACCTGTCTCGTTGATTTATAAACATTTTCATCCTGTCTTGTTTTAACATGAAAAGGAACTACTATTGCAGCTTATTGATGTTGGCTTCTTCGTGTGTTTGGATTCCTTCCTGTCACTGTTGACTGTCATGCCAACAAGGGTTCTGATGACTCTATGGAGGCTTCTGAAGAGAAGGTTAGTCGTACATGTACTTGCACACATACATCAATTCTTGGCCCAGTAAAGCGTGACTTGTTAGGCCAGGGCTTGTTCTATATTGCAATGATCATCATCAGTTTCCTCTGAGTTGACTCCAAATGCTTTCTTTCCCCAGTTCCAAGTTATGCTTTGTCTTTGTTAAAGATAAGGTAAGATCTTTCATCTGACTGTTTAATATAGGGGTATGGTCCCAGTTGTTACATGTCCTGCTAATTTTGAAGATAGGCTAAATGCTCGATTCATTAGCACTTGGTAGTTGTGTTCAGTAAGGATCTTGAACCCTCAAAGAACAATATTTGAAACATAGAAAGTTTTACTATAGGTTACACCTGTGCTGCTGTCAATGGAAGGCCTGAATTGCGAGATTTCTGTTGCTCATTTGAGGGTTTTAAATTTTTTACTTAAGTCGGACTAATCTGTCGAGGGATTTATGTGGCACTAGTCTGTGATTTTGATTGGTTAATGGAAGGCCTGAATTGCGAGATTTTGGGGTCACTTTTTGTTCTGCTTTGGATCCCCTATGATGTTTTTTCCTTTTCCTACTCAATTTAAGCCTCTTTAAGTATCTTCCTGTGATGGGAGAAGACTTGCTGGAACGTATCAGCTAAATTGTGAAGGTATTTGCTGAATCAGTTAGGGATCAGGTCTTAATAACTTGAAGATTGTGTGTCAGCATGTTGATGGATTTAGATGCAACGTTCTGGTTTTAATTTAACATAACTCAGAGATAGGTTCAATATAGTTTATCATGGCATACCTTTTTGTTTGGTGTTCTGGGTCAAAATTAGTGTTTAATTAACCATTTTGTTTATATAATTGTTGATTTTTCTTCCTGGTCCCTGAAGTTTTTCATTTTGTTGAACATGATTATGCTTATCATTTCATGGGTGCACTAGGCATGCAGTAAATAATTCCTGGAAAATGATTTAACTTAAATCCTAATTTTGGGTGGATAAATCTTCTGAAACTAATATTTACAAAATTATCTAACCATGTTTATGGCAGGCAGTTCCAGAAGCTCTCTGCTGCGGACTGGTCAGATTTTGGCTGCTTTATTGTGTTGGCCTCTGGAGTCCTTCTTTTAGACCGAACAGGTACACTACCAGCTGCTATAGGTTTTGGGGGTTCGGTTTTTTTGAAATTGGGAGGGGATGGGGTTGTGCTTTTGTTTGCTTTCTTTTAACTAGTAATGCCAACTGCTGAAATTCTTAATTTTCTTATGTCAGATATCAGCTTAATATATCACATGATTCGTGGTCAAGGAACGATCAAACTATATGTGGTTTACAATGTTTTGGAGGTGAGATTTAAAAATAAGCATTATTTTCAGTTCTCACATACTTCAGAAATTTTGGATTTACTAATGATTTTGAACAGCTTAATGAGTGTTCCCCTCTACATTTCAACAATAAAGGGTAACAAAGATTTCGAAAACCATGTCTCTTTGTCCCAACCTTAGTTCAGTGGGTAGAGCAGAGGACTGCAGTAGACTTTATCTGTCATCATAAGAAACCATGTCTCACAGTTTCAATGGTGGTTATAGTTAGTGTTTCCTTAGTCAGATTTATGGAGAAGTCAATTTTTAAGGAAAATGTGTCACTTGGCATACCATAGAGCTTCACCATCAGTAGCCTAATGATTTATAATTTGGAGCTGATTTTGAGTCGGATCAAGAAAGTCGGAGATGAACTTTTGCCATATGTGCAGATATTTGATAAATTATGCCAAAGTTTTGGAGGAGATGTATTTCAGACATTGTTCAATTCTGCTGAGGGGCTTGCTAGCTGCCCACCAGAAACCAAAAGATTCTGGATTTGGAGATTTCTTGCAGATCAAGCCTTGGCAATGGCATTTTCCAATATCCTTTATTGATGCCTCAGTGTTTTCATTCACAGTTCCGTTTTTTTTAGTTAGTTTTTCTATGAATAGTTCATTTTTTACATTGTTTCCTTGACTATTTTATACTTCTCCATTCTTTCCTTCTATTAGCTCAGGCAATTACTTTATCCACCTGCATTGTTGCTCACAATAATGCCTTATTGGCTTTGCTGGTATCAAATAATTTTTCGGAGATAAAAAGCAATGTCTTCAAGCGTTTCAGCAAAGAGAACATTCACAATATTGTATACGCTGGTGAGTTCCTTTATTATAATCATCTGCATTTTGATATCTTTTTTTGTCGTACCTTTTATTGTCTTCAATCTTTCAAAGTAAAAAGTTCCATTCTAATTGGAAGGCATTACTCCTTTGTGCTGATTATAGCAGTCGAATGTCATCGAACCCAATTTCGCGTTTAAATTTTAAACATTGATGACTTTTCATATGATTGTCTAACTTTACAGTAACATCCTTATTGCTTTCCTCCAGATTCAGTGGAGAGATTCCATATTACAGCATTTCTACTGTTTGTTCTGGCTCAAAACATCCTAGAAGCTGAGGGTCCATGGTTTGAAAGTTTTGTTTATGTGAGTCGCTTCAGAGGTTACATACATAATTAAACTTCCTATATAGAGCTTTCATTATCTAGTATTCTGATCCATTTCCTTCCCCGAACCTTGTTTCTGATTGCAGAATGCACTCTTGGTTTTTGTATGTGAAATGTTAATCGATATCATAAAGCATTCATTCCTTGCAAAGTTCAATGACATAAAACCTATTGCCTACTCCGAATTCTTAGAAGAGCTGTGCAATCAGGTACCCTATGCTTGTATATTGTGGTTTTGTTTCAGAAGCGGAAGTTTAGTCCTTTCACTACTTATTCCCTGCTCAATCCATGTCGTTTGCTTGCAGACTCTAAATATTCAATCTGGGGACAAAAAGAAAATCCTCACTTTTATACCGCTGGCACCAGCATGCGTAGTAAGTCCTGCTAGAAGTTTCCCCTCCTACTATGTTTACAATTGAGTGTTGCTCATATTCTTCAACAAATGGAACAGTTTGTCTTGGTTGCCGGTTGGGTTAAGAGCATTAAGCTGTTTTTTGCAGGTCATCCGGGTGCTCACTCCAGTATATGCAGCTCATCTTCCTTACAGCCCACTCCCTTGGAGACTCTTCTGGGTATTCCTGTTGACTTCTATAACCTTTGTCATGCTCACAAGCCTGAAGATAATGATCGGTATGGGACTGCAAAAGCATGCATCTTGGTATGTAAACAGGTGCCGCAGAAGGAAACACCATCTTCACTCCGAGTAATCCTGGCATGGAATAAGTAGAGAAAACGAAATGGGTGAGATATTAAAACTCCATTCCTTCCAGCTCCACTGCTGTCATGAGTTATAACGGGAGTCACCTCAAGTTTTGCCAGAACAATCTTTCTTCTCCATTATAGCCAGCTCGCTGACTCATTGCTGTCTATGGTCGGAAAGAAGTTATCCTGTCACTCGAGCTTGCCTGTATGGTAAAATTTTGTTTCAATCTCGTGCTTTCATTTTCGACCCGAGAGAGCACGAAATCTTACAATGTAATCATAATGAAGCCTCCTGCATTCTCAAGAACCTCGAGGGTTAACAGAATGATTTCTTAGACCACAGCTAGCTTCCTCTGTTTTTTGTGTTTAATAGTTGGGACTTGGGAGTGTATGAGCTACATTGATAGAATGAACATATGCATAGAAATAGTTCAGCCCTAAAGTGTACAAATTTAGTTTCCACCTTTACGTGTGTTTGGGGTTGGATGGTGGTGCTATAGCTTCTGCAACTCCTTTTATTTTATATCTCTCACATGGGAGTGGCCTATCTTGGGCGAAAGAGATGAACCCATCTTTTTTGCTTGGGACCAAAACGAGCTCAGCTAACCTTTCTTTACGATGACGAGCAGTACGCAACTATACTTTCCGGCTCATGGTCCTTCAAACATTTTCTTCCCCACCGACGATCTTGTCTCAGAGTCAAAGCATAACCAACTATTCTTTCGTATTGGTAAGGTTTAACAATTACATTTACAGAATACACAGATGAAAAGGAGGGGAAAAAACAGGGGAATCGTATTCCCTTTTGAACAAGACCACATAATAAGCAAATGTCAAACCCTCTGCACAAAATTATGGAGGAAGGAGGAGGATCTGGTCTGGAAGCCGCTGGGCTAGGCGGCGCATCTAAACAGGTTGACGACGATGTCGGTGGTGATCTTCTGGCCGTGCTGGACGAGAACCCGGCGGCGCTTCCCGGCGAAGGCGAGCAGGACCAGCACGGTGATCCAAGTGACCATGACGGCCCTGCTGGCGACAACGAGAATCAGCGAAGCGAAGATGAAGCCGGCGGCGAGGACGAGGGAGCTGTTTAAATTCGGGGAGTAGGCAGCAGCAGCAGCCGCGACGATCACGATGACAGCGGAGACAGCGAAGACGATGAGCAAGCAGAGCAGCACAGCTGGCGTGGCTGCTGTGGTCCGAGAGGCTGCTGGTGATGGTTTGGGTAGCGCCGGCGGCGGAGTCATTGAAACGTCAATGGCTAAGTGGAGGATGATTAAGGACTTGAGACTTGAGAGAGGGGAAGAGGGAAGAGGAAGGTTCATGGGCATGGCTGGCTGCTGCTAGGTGGGGATAATTGAGGAGAGGAAATGGAGAGGGAAGCATGTGCGGCCACATGGACAATTTTGATCGTGTGGGGGCTTGGGGTAGCTGAGCAGAATCGATGCAGAATAATAAGTTAGGAATTTAATTTTTTTTAAATAAGGTAATTCTTCGTACCAACTCATCGAAATTTTATATTGTCAATTGAATAAATTTGATCTAATTATTTCAAAATGAGATAATTTGATAAAATTTGTCTATTCGAATTTCTCATGTAAAAGAAGATTTTTTCGATCTACAGATTAAGATACAAAACTAGATTTTTTCCAAAAGAAAATATGAAGTTTTAATAAAATTTATATTTGTTACGGTTTTTATTATAACTTGCAGTTATTTAGGGTTAATTCCACACTTACACTAAAAACTTTCAAAAAAAAAAAAATTGTGAAAACAATGATAAAATTTTCAAAGATATATTTCCCGCGTGAATCATGATCTCTCGTGCATGGAGATATATTTACCGACAACATATAAGTTTATTTTCTCGTTTTCAGTCAGGTGGTGTTCTTATATATTACCGGTTGAATATATTTTTCTAATTAGTATTATTTTGATATCGATATTCTTTCGACATGCTGCGGATTATATCTTATTCATACTAGTAAATATCGTTTAACTTGTTCGATACATTCGGATTTCACACACCATAGCATCAACACTTATTTTGTGATGGCATTGGGTGGCTGCTGGTCTTTGGTAGATAAAATTTGTACATCTGTGATCTAATCTCTAATCAAAACCATCCACAAAGTTTTATCATCATCCACAGGTAAATCTAATCGCTAAACATAGGAATATAGCAAGTGTCACCATACTAGGAGAGTTAGTGACAAAGATATATGCAGTATTCATTCATCACCATAAAATATAGTTTTTGTAAGTTTATGGTTTCAATGACAGAGATATACATTTGCCATGAATATTTCATCCATGCCTTGAATTTAACCGACATACCGACATTTTGATCGGTTTCGAAGCAAGAGCAAAACCATGTAGGTGATTTTTTCATCCACCCATCCATTGAATCTAGCCAAATACAGACTGAGTTCTGTGTTTAAACTTATCATCTTATACATGCACTCAGAAAATCAAAGTACACAGTTTCATGTCCATATATGACCTAGAACAATGAAATTCTAAGTATACGGTTTCTATCTAGGAAACTGTAAGTCTAAACAAACATAAAACTTGTTCATCATGGAACTTCCACATTATATCAATTTTGCACAAACTTGTTCATTTCAAGAAGGCAGCATCAGGTTTAAGCGGGCTTCTCGTAGGAATTCTTGTCTCTGAATTCTGAAATGGCAGCTCGTATCGTACCACCAGAATCGGGCTGCACGAGCAGATGCGTGTCGTCCAGAACATGAATGATGAACTTCTGCGACGGGGGCTTTGAAGCATTCAGGTTGACGATGAATTGTGCCATTGGTATGTCACTGTGAACATAGATGCCAAAACAACAAAGACGAGAGGACACAAGAAACCAGTCACTGGTGGCAATGAAAGGGAAACCTGAACAGAAACTGTGGCATGGAAACCTAATGATTGCTCTATCGTTGTTCTTCACATGCTACACATACGCAATCAAAAGGCCTGTCATATTGCACTGGTTCATCACACATTTTTAGCACCATGGGTGACAGATGCATCATTTAACTCTTCCCAAGCAGGTAAAGGAATCCAGAAGGAACACATTCTAAGCCATTTGTATTCACACAAATTTCATTCACAAGCCATCAATTATGGGTGCTTGTACTAATAAAGCAATCAGCTTTCCACCCCCAAAGCAAAATTGTACACATCACTAGAGTAATATTCGGTTTAGAAATAGAAGTGAACAACAAACTCACCAGGCAATGAACAATCCTTTGGTGGCATTCGCCATCTTGAATCAGAGTAACAACAGCAAGCTCAAGAGCTCCAAACTGCCAGCCAAATTAAGATGGCATGAAATGAAATCAGAATCCACCCATTTATCAGAAATGGAAGATAAAGCATGAACATAAAAGCAACCTGCAAATAGGGTCATCACCATTTATCAGAAGCTCGACAAAACCCCAAATGGAACGCTAAATCCAAACATGATCTATCCTATTAGGCTCAGGATCCAACAGATCCCAGTTAGCAGAAGCAGACTTACTCGAATCAAACTGCAACAAAGGAAGAAGTTACCAAGCTCTGCTCTTCTCTGCCGGCTGCCACTGTTGCCGATTGAAAGAAAAGAAGGAAAGGGGGTGAGATTTCTCTCCGTCAGCTGCATACGAATCCAGATGGGCGGGTTCAACTTCTTGGGCCGAATCTCCATCGGCCCACTTGATGCGGCCCACAGTATCCAGGTCTTGTTCGCAGAGAATTTTCTTTTCGTCTTCGATCGTTCGTTTGTTTCCTGCCGCGACCAGTTTTCCATGGCGATTGATTATTACGAATAAAAATGAAAAAACAAAAGAGAAAATGGAACGAAAAGGGAATTGCTGATACGCAAAGAGGGCTGGGCAGGGAAAGGCAGGCGGAGATAGATAAAAAGGCTGGAAGCTAAATCTTCCCCGCTGCAAAATCCATTCATTCGTCACAGTCCCCTTGTCAAAATTGAGTATTTGCCTCTTCGTCACTTACCGTAAAGCTTTTGTTTAAGGTCCCGTGGTCTCCCGCGATTGAAGTAAACCCTAGAGATGAACTCATCCGACTCGAATTGGGTCGACATCTCCGAGATTTACCTGCGTTACTGTGGTAAAGCTTCATTACTTCATTGATTCCTTCTCGCGATAACCTTGTTTTTTAAAAGGATCTGTTGTTGATTTAGTTTGATTCTCAACTCCCTTGTTCTTAGCTTTCGCGTCTTGGATGTTGCTATGGCTGTGTCTGGGAAGCAGTAATTCAAGACTTTAACTTCAAAATTAGTGTCTGTGTTCTGAAAATCAATGGGATTATGTGCTTTGTGTTAGCTGTGCGTGTCTTTATTTTTCTTAAGTTGGCTTCTTTTGGTAATAACATTTGAACCTGAGTCTTGGGCTTTTGCTTGTAGCTATTAGAGCAGGGAATGCGTACCTGGAAGGCAGCAGTTGTCCGGACCAGGATGAGCTACAGAAACTCAAATGTTCCCGGGATGAGTTAGCTGAGCTATTAAAGGTTGTTCAGAAGAGAGTGCAGAAGGACCAAGGGTATTGCTCTTTTTTTGTTAAGTTTCTAATGCGGTTGGAAAATCCAGAGGAATGCTAGATGGAAGATGAATAATATGGATACGGAGTTACTGCTTTGATGTGATCATTCGTCTTTGCGCTTTTGTGTAATGTGTGCGGGTATGTGCTGTGCGTCTATGTGACTGCTCACTATCAATTAAGTTGCTTTAAAGCCTTGATGGTGTGGGTGGGGTACGTCTATGTGTCTCGTACTCGCTATCAAATTATGTTGTTCTAGAGCCTTTATGGGATTTTGATTCGAGCCCATAGTTTGACTGATGCAGTCTATATACTTCAAATGCAATCGATGGAAAGCATCAGCTCAGCTTCAACATTGAATTAGAGTGCCCTTCCTGGAAACCTTTGTGGCTCATTTTGTGCTCACTATCTGCTCGAATGCAGTTGTTTCGTGATTAACATATAAAATTTAAGAGAAGAGTTGAATATCTAGTTAACTATTGCTTTTCTGGATTTCCCACGTGTCAAAAATCTTTTTTTTCCTCTTAGCAGAACTATGGAATCTTTTATTTGCCTTTTGTTAACTGAAGTAAGTTTATTTTGACAGGTTTTCTATTTTTGATGAACTTCGCAAGCTCATGTCAAATTCAAGATTGATGGTTAGTTAGTAGTTATTTTGCATTGTAACCAGAAGTTTCAAGATTGAAGTTCCCCTTGCTCAATAGTCCGTGGTTAATGCTTTTGCCTTTGTTCTCTTATTGTAGAAGGATGTCCGCGACTTTTCGTGCTTCTATGATTTTGTATTCTTTATCTCTCGCGAGAATGGTCAAAAGAACATTAGTAAGTTCTGGGCTCATATTTTTATGGACAGAAAGTTGATAGATGTCTGTATTAATTTAATGGAGAATCTTTTGGATTGTTAACATACTTACTATCTCTTTGGGATCTCTTTGGGATCAGCTGTAAACAAGGCGGTTACTGCATGGAGATTGGTTTTGGCTGGGAGGTTTAGGTTGCTAAACCAATGGTGTGACTTTGTAGAGGTGCGCATTATAATAAGCTGTCATCAGTATTTTGGCTTCCTTGATCATGGCCTTTTAGGGCATGATTGGTAGCATGGTGCTTGTTCCTTTGGGCATCATGCTCTCTCTGCATGCCTATATGTTGTGAAACTTTAAAATGACTGATGGCCTGCAGAGGTCATAAAGCCTCGGTATATGTTTACGGTTCTTTCTGTGGCTTCTTTAGAAAGACTCTGACTCTTTAACATGTCTCTGTAGAAAAATCAGCGATACAATATTTCGGAGGATACATGGCAGCAAGTTCTGGCTTTTAGTCGCTGTGTACATGGAAATTTTGAAGGCTATGATCCTGAAGGTAGACGATAAAATCAGCTTCAAGTTGACCTGCCTCATTCATATGATGGTGTTTGCCTCTGTGATTATTTGTTGCCCTTCAGCTGTATGGAGGAATAAAATTGCATCTATAGTTTTGCTTTAGAACAGCTTAAGGGCAACAAATGAATGAAATGATCACAGAAGCATTCATTGTTATGCAATATATAGTCTACTGCACTACTTGACTCGTTATTGATTTATTAAAGTGTGTTACTGTTTCACCTCCCCACTTATCATCTTTTTCGTCTTGTTCACTGGTTGCTTTCTTCTTTATTAATTTTTCTTTTTCTTCCTTCGCTTCCTCCACCTTCCTAGTAGCTCTTTCTTCTGAATAAGCTTCTCTCTGTTTGTCAACAAGTGAAAGCAATTCTGTCTTGCTAAATACGGTTTCACTTTGCAGGTGCTTGGCCTGTCCTTATAGATGAATTTGTGGAGCATATGTACAGGTACTGGTTTACAATATATTATTGTAATATCACTTGAGAGCTTTGGAGTTTCCTTAAAATCTAACTAGTTAACATTCTGATAACTTGTGTGACAATGAATATAAATTTCTTCTTTCTAACTATAAATGACTAAGAAGGGTCTCTATTGACGTCAACTCATTGTGCCCAAAAATTGTCTTGCAGAACATCTGGGTCTAAGAATAAGTGCAACTGTAAATCCTATGATAGCGGTGAGTTGGAATCTCATCCATGTGCTTTTGAAGACCCTCTTCCCGGTGAGCGTTTGGCTGTCTTTCTCCTTATGTCTGATGTATCCATCCTCCTGTATGTTGCCAAAACTAAAAAATATGTTTTCTATGCTTTGTCCTTTGCCTTGGTTTTCCAGGGTTGAAGGTAACTCCTGTTTTGAAGAGGAAGTTCGCCAACTTGGGATTAGATGAAGAAATGGAGCTCTGTGATTCGCCAGAACCGAATCTTTCTTCAAAGTCGAAACGAAATAGGCTAGTCTACCACCAGAAGAGTTTTATGGTGGATAATCCGCCAGGTGGCGACTCAGCTGATGATGGCATGGAAGTAACGAAACAGAATAGTCCAGTTGGGTGTGCAGTTGAGAATTGCTTGTCCAGAGGGATTGCAGGGCTGTTTTCTGGGGGTTCATATTTGCAGCTGGATAAAGAGAGGAGAGTTTCATATATATAGAGGTCTGGCCGAGCCAGAAAATAGGCTTTGAATCAAGAGGAATCGGCCTGTACATGCCAATGTGGTAGTTCTATATCGAAGCTCGTGTTGGTATTCTGTTTCTGGCAATTGGAATTAGGTATTGACGGGTTGTTTTGCAATGATGGCAAGATAGATTGGATTTGTGTCACTACAGAATAATGGAGCAGTTTTTGTATAGGCCGCTTGCATGCATAGTTGTGGTGTGTATAACAATTTAAACTTAGAGCCATTAATATTCTTTAGGCTGCAACTACGCACTATGTGGCCTGGGTTACACTCAGAAGGTGAAGGTATTCTATGATTGCTTGCCCTTTGTAAAAGGGGAAGAAATATGTGAGATGGAATTCGCTTGATTAATGGTGTCTCTAACTTGATCGCAGAGTGTTTTCGAGGCTTGACTAGTTGACTACCTGGACAAGGATCCTTTTTGCAGATCCAGGAGCTTTTTGTCCAGTTTCCATTCGACATCTTAAAGTTCATTAACAACATGACATTTACATCTCCCTAAGGAAAAGAAAGCAAAACAAAGTGTGAAAGAGCTGGTTTGTAAACAAATTCTTACAATGGCTTGACATCTGAAACCCAAGTTGCTCGTGATTAGGAATGGCATACAAGTGTCGCATTATTATTGATCAGATGATAGCAGAATCAACAAAGATTACCCATTAAATTTTGCCTAATCAAGTCTTTGCTTCGGCAACTGGATACCGACTTCCTTGCCTCTTACTCCTACTCTTATTTTTTTACCACGGTAAAAACTGAGATCTCAAAGAAGAAAGAAACCCAATTTACCCAAATGATCACCATTGATACTTAGCAGCAACTAGAACCTCCTCGTACAACTCCGCAGCATGATCCCAGCTCAAATCCTGCTCCATTCCACGCCTCTGCAACCCTTCCCAACTCTCCTTGAACTCTCTATAGGTCCACAAGCAATTCCCCAACGCATGTATCAACTTACTCGCTTCAGCTGAATCAAATGTCCACCCAAACCCAGACTCGTTAAATGGATCGAATGGTCGAACTGTATCTCTCAACCCGCCAACTGCATGAACCACAGGAATCGTCCCATACATCATCGCGTACAGCTGGTTCAACCCACACGGCTCGAACCTGGATGGCATCAGCAAGATATCTGCACCGGCAGTTATCCTATGCGCGGTCTTCACACAAAACCCTACCCAACCTCTAACTTTGTCCTTGTATTGCCCCTCCAAGTTCTTCAACATTTCCTCCAAATCCTGCCTTCCTGTGCCAAGCATCACCAATTGCACATCCTGTTCCACCATCCACGGGATCGCCTCGGCGATAAGATCGACGCCCTTCTGGTTATCGAGCCTTCCGATAAAACCAATCAGTGGAACTTCTGGCCTCTCGGGCAAACCGAGCTCTCTTTGGAGTGCTGCTTTGCATTGTGGCTTTCGGGAGCGAAAAGTTTCGAGCGAATAGTTTGTGTAACCATCGGATTTCAGGTGGAGATCGTGACGTGGGTGCCACTCTTGAGTGTCGATGCCGTTTACTATTCCTCTCAGCTTCCAATCGTTTTCGTTTATGATGGTGTGTAGGCCCCAACCGCCCTCTGGTGTTCTCAGCTCCCAGGAGTATCCTTGACTAACTGTTACCACTCGGTCTGCCGCCTTCAGACCAGCGGCGAAGATGTTGAAGTGCTCACCGCCCACTGGGTCGTAGAATTTGAAGAGGTCGATGTAGTTTCCCGGCAGGTCCACATACCGGAACTCCTCCACTGGTCCCCGACCCTGGATAAAGTACAGAGCTTTTTGAGTTAATACTCGTTTACTTGCAGCGTTGATTTGAAAAGCAAACACGTCACTAGATTGAAAGTTGAATAGAGGTACGAACTTGGTGAGCTATGTTGTGAATCACGAGGACAGATCGTGTGAATTGCATCAACCCATTGTCGCGGTAGTATGCTTTCAGATAAACTGGAAGCAGAGCTGTATGCCAATCATTTGCAATGAATGCCAAGTTTCCATCTCCATAGCATACACCACCGCAGGGAACATACCAAGGAACCTGACACCAGAACAGATAACTTTCTTCACACTCAAATGAAAAATGGACCAAATAGAGCTTGTATCATCCCCGATAATGTAACTATTAAGTCCTTAAACATAAAGATTCTCTAATTTTATGTGATATAATCAACAGAACACAGACAGTTAAAAGTGCTGAAGCAAGATCTGCAGGGAATGGCACAAGGACACAGCTAGAATAAGCATTACAGGAAGATATTTGACAGTTATGGAAATGTACCTCGACAGCTGCTTTGCAAAATAACACCATGCGCTTCAGAATATCCTGCAGGATGAATAAAGGACCAGTAAGACTCCAGCTTCATGGTGATGGCAAAGCACAAAGTAAAGCAAAAGGAGACCATATCAAACTTACCATTCGGTTTCCTCCATATATATTGTTCCCAAAGTGGCGAAACCATGGGCAGTCTATGAAGACAAAGTCCACACCATCAATATAGGCTTGGAAGTAGGTGACCTCTATATCCTGAAATTAAGTATCACAGACCGTATTTATGCCATGCAGAAGAGTATGAGAGCATAAGTTTTATTCAAAGGCTGCAATGTGAACACACCTGACCATCCACCTTATAAATCTTTCTGACTCCAGAGTGTTGGGCCTCAGCATATTCACCATATCGAGGTGCAACAACCTAAACGACAACATAACTTATGTTATAAACAGATATAAGAATGAGAAACTTTGTGGTCTCATCATGGGGAGTCAAACATTTTTTATTATCTGATTACTCATATAATCCACAGTTGAAAGCAATAACTATTACTCTCTTTTACCAAACACCTTATATGTTGAATATTAGCAGGATTGGTTCAGCTAATCCGGAGCCTATGACAATTTAGATTAAAAGATCAGAAAATGTTACATTACCATAACCCTATGTCCACGTCGGGCCAAAGCCTTTGGTAATGAACCAGCAACATCCCCAAGCCCACCTGCAAGAACCAACAATCCTTCAGTGTGTGACTAAGAAAAGGGTGCATCCCCAGCCAAAATCCGAATGTAAACACAGGGGATTTGAAGAAACCTGTTTTAGACCACGGAGCACATTCTGCAGAAACCAAAATGACGTTCATGACATTAGCCCCAGCCAAAGGGGGAGGCTTTGAATCTTCCACATTTGAAACACCTTCAACATCATTGGACACTCTGGATCCATTGATATCCACAGGCTCCACAGTGGGTGCATTTGATCGGACTGATATGGGCTCCTCTAACTGAGCTATTGTATCATTCACACTGGAATTTCCTTCAAGATGATTGATCACTCGTAAAGTTGATTCATTGACAGCTTCATGCTTCACACTGTCAATAGTAGAAACTTGGGGCGTATTTGCAAAAACTGATGTTTGCTCATCCAGCTGCACTGACCTTGGCAGTATTTCTTGACTTCTACTCCATCTTTGACGATAACTCCCGCTTGTATAAGCATTCCCAGTTTCTGGTTCACCATCCTCATAGCTGCTAAAAACATTCTGTGGCTCAGTAAACCCCCCAGCATCTGCTGAAGCAGGTTCCGCATTAGTCAAAGATTCCTCATCTTGCTTATACGAAGATTCACCAGCAGATTCTGAGTTCATAAAGCTTTCTTTAAAAGAAGACACCATTTTCCTTCTTTCATCGATCTGCGAAGTCATATCTAAATTCGTCACATGAACTACCCACACTGATTATGCCAATGCGAAAAGAAAATAGGTTTCAACACAAATGTGCAATCGATCACAATGGCAAGGTAAACCTAAGAGAAAACTAAACAAGTGCAATTTGACAAAATTACCTGCTGAAGTAAGTTCCTCTGCGCAGCAAGAACCTTCTTGCTCTTCTCAATCGTGGCCTGAAGCGCATCCACATGTGACTGATCATCATTCTTCTCACTCTCTTTCCCAATAGCTCTGATACTCCTAAACCTAGGCGGCAACCCATCACCATAAATTCCAAGGCTGATGGACGATTTCCTATTCGGCCTACAGCAGAGGAAGTGAAACATGGTGCGGCCGCTCTGGTTGTTCTTGGAGTTGAAAAGAACAGAGCTATCTGCCATGACTTCAATGCGAGGCGAGAATGACCCAGCACCAGACGCCATTGAGAAAACCCACCAAGATAACTAATCCCCTTAATGCAAAGACCGAAATTTGGAAGCAAAAAACACAGTAAAGTAGAAAATTGGGATCTTGATTGAAGAAGCAGAGAAATTTTATGACGACAATGATTGGGGTAGGATCATCATGATATAAGAAGAAGGAGGGTACAAGAGAGGGTCCCAGAGCAAGTTTGGGAAAAAGCCATGGAGTAGGAGGGGATGAAGAAAATGAATTTGCGGTTCAAGTTCGCGGAGAAACAGGGAGAAGCCGTAATTTGTGAGCAGAAAGTGAACTGAAGAGTGAAGAAAGAGAAATTGGATTTTCTGTTTTAAAATTTTATTTTTATTTTGCGGATTTAGATAATAAATTTTGCGGTGCGGAAGCATATGAAGAGAAATTACTGGGCCCAATATCCAAGGTGGCCCAAACTTCTTTTAACTTGCTGGAAAAGCCTATCTGGTCTCTGCCATCTGGAAATTGGAAATTCAATTCAAATTTTGTTTCCGCAGTCATTTTCCACGTATGGAAACGTGGTAGTTGTGTGATACACATTTGTGAATGAAAACGTGCAAAGAGCCAAAGATGTCTATGGACGGTGGAAGCCTCTTCCGAAATAAGCAGCCCCTGATTATCTGGGCCTTTAGGCCCACCGCCATTGCTTGATCTTGGCAAATGGCAATGGTGAATAGGGCAGTTCAATGTTGAATGAAGAGGTACAAAATGGGTGAAGGCTGGTACTTGGTTAACAAGTTACTGTGATAGGCAAAGGCGTGTTCAAGTTGTCCTGTGGAATTTGGGATAAAGGTAAATTTGGAGGACGACTAGTTTAGCTCGTCAAATTCGTTAATATATTGTATATTTTTATCAAAACAGGTTAAATAGGAGATTGAGATATTTGAATAAACATATATTTATATATATTGAAACATTCCACAATATTATTAGCAATGATTTAGATATTTGCTTCCTCGGAACATTGTCATACTAATTACTATTTGAATTTTAAGAGATTCGGAATTCTTATCTTCTATCAATACATTAGGGCGAGTGTGGCTTCCAACTACTAAGCATGAACCCTAATTCAACAATACATGTTATTGAACTAGGCTTTAAGTACAATTACAAATCATCTGAAAACTTATCCAAATTCAAGGAGGAAACAATAAGAGTGCATCATCTCTCGAGCAATGCCTTACAATTTTACCATCCTGACATTCAATTTTGTCCAGCTTCTCCTGGCACCATTTCAGCTGGCAAGTGGTGATCACAGACAATCGGAGCACTCTTGATATGAGCTTCATGTCTATCAATGTGAACAAAATCTCTTTCCTTTCACTCTCTTCTTCCACATGGCTCTCCATTTTCCTGAGCCAGCGTCTTTGCTTCCCTTGTAAATCTCTCAACCACATTTCCTTCTACCGTGTCAAATATAAATGGCAGTGTTGATCAAATGGTTGGGAAATAAGGATGGATACTTGTGTAAAATAGACTGATTCTCAAATAATAAATCACCTTTCGAAATTGTCTGGTGAGATCGTATAGCAATCTCATATCTCTTAGATCTTCTAAACAACTAGTCGAAATAAGAGAGCTCCTTAGTTTCCACCAAGGTTTCTTCTTTATCGTGTCGGTTGTGATGAATGTCCAGAATGTATTGATACACTTTTCTAAGATGTTGAAGACATCTTTCACTTGCAATGTTCCTTCTCCTCTTCCTTCCCTATCAACAGTCACTATGTGTAGAAAAATGTATAAAATAACAAAACATAAGCACTGTAATGTCATGTTGCATTTTTTCAAGACGGGCACACATTTTTTGGTGGCAACCTACATGCCTAGCCTAGGGAATAGCTAACAAACACAATGGACCATGTAAAATCAAGAGTCTAATTAATTAAGCTCAATTGGTTCAGCTGCCTCAAATGGAATATCACAAGATGCATATGTCAATACAAGACACCGAACACCAAACAAACGATATATCCTATATCAAATCAAACATGACATCATTACAGTCTACAATCATTCCCTTGTTTGCAATAGCCTCACGGAGCATTTGTTGAACGAAAAATTAATAAATTGTGTCGAAAATTCAAAGTACCTGAAAGGTGAGGGACTTGAAGAAGGCTGTCAAGGGCAAATCTTGCTCTAACATAGTTCCAAACTCGTTTTCCATGGCTCCTTTCATCTTCCATGAACCTCTCCAAAAGCACCTCAAAGTTTTGAAATTGTTGCCCAATGTTATGGGCATCACATAACACACTACTACTACTACTGCTGCTGTTTTCTTGGGAAGCAAGGGCCTCAAGTTTCTTGTATTGGTGACGGAGGGCCTCCCATGAGAGGCATGATTGAGCAACATAAATCAGCTCAAAATCATTCTCCATGCTTTGCATTAGCCTCTTCTTCTCTATTTTACTCAATGGCGAGACAAAATTGAAAGGAGATGAGGGGAAATCTTCTGGCAGTTGGATCTTTTCAAATGGACTTTTATTGCACAAGTCCACTTGCTTGTTTAGGACGGCACCTGCAATTAGTTACCAAGGAATGATGACAAATAATCTATTAGCCTCATAAATTGGACCTTTTGTTGAAACCCACAAGATGTAATAGCTAGCCACTTACTCACTCCAGAAGTTCTGTCTTGGTTCAGAACGTCAAACCACCTCATCCTTTCAAGGTACATCTGGTAGAATGCTGCATCTACACACACTTCTTGTTCCTCTTCTTCTTCTTCTTGTTGCCGGTTAAGTTCCCCTGCTAACAGACTACTTGAATAAATACAATCAGTTGATTGCCGCCCTTCTACTAAGTCACCGTCATCATCATCCTCTGCCTGCGACGGCGAATCAATCAAGCCACCAACAACCATTGATGATGGTGATGATGAATCAATAAAGCCACCACCACCACCAACATGATCCTCGTCGCTTCCACTTTCAACATCCTCCTCTGAACCAGCTCCAAGGGGTTGGTTTAGCAATAGTGGTTGAACCAAAACGTCCAACTTCCTCAAGTTGCAACTATCTGTGCTGACCACATCGGAGACGGACTTCTCTGTACAGTAACAGTAGCTATTATTTACAACTGCAACAGGAGTACTGCTGCTGCTGCTGCTTCCAACTTGTTCTGATTTCTCAGCTCTGCAAATGTTGACCGCGGTCGAGACTATGGTTATTACCAGTTTGTGGAGCAATCTGGTGGTATGGGAAATTATGTTAAGAGGGTAAGAGAAGAGAGATACGAGACATTGTAGGAGAATTTTGAGCCACAGGAGAATCTGGCAAAATACGAGGAAAACAGGGTGGATGTAGAAGCTGAGAAAAAACCACTTCAGAAACCCATTTGGGATCACCCTCGATTCAACTATCAGCCAACATCTTGCTAAGATGGCCATTGTTAATATGACCGCCGGCCAACCTAATTCATATCTCTGTTGGCTAGATAGATCACTAGTTTAGTGAGAGTTGGCGTCTCACTTTATATAATTGATCTTCACCTTCAGCTAACTACAGATGGAAAAAATATGTATATTTTCTTGTCTTGTTCCCTCCATTATTCTAAGGCTTGAACTTCGTGGGGGGAAAAAAGGATACATTTGAATATCGCCTGGAAATGATAAGGTAATTAAGATCGGAAAGGAAACAACAAAGGAGCAGTCAGGAGACATATGATATACCAAAGGTGTCAATCAACCCTTAGTAGTAGTTGGAAAACAGTACTCGTGCTGCAGACCAATGAACTCTGCACTTTCTTCGCAAGCCTCTTTGAGCTTTTCCAATAATTTATGGAGCAAGGGAGAGTAGACTTGCCGAGTATTAGGGTCAACTACGTTACTCTTTCATTTGTTAAGTGTGTTTTGGTCAGCATCTTGCTTCATTTGCTTACTCGGATCTTATCTCCAACTTCCAACTCCTAATAAGTTTAATCCAACTTGTCCATATGTTTTCCATTTTCGGCTGGAGTACTTCTCCAAATTACAGGGGAAAGGAAAAACACCTACAGGTAATATACACGTTGTCCTTCTGCTATTTGGTTCCTAGTGACACTCTTTTTAGTTTTTTCTTAAAGATTATTATTCTGAATTGGTCTATTCATAGCATTATTTCTCTTGATTGGGTGTGTCATTCGAGATTAAACCGTTGAAAGATAATTGTTTTTAATATGAAAACTTAGGAGTGAAAGAGAAGGGTTTGTGTTCTATAAACTACACCTTGTGTTTTAGAATTAGGCCGTATGGGAAAAGGATGATTTGAACCCTGAATCTTCAAATATAGGAAGACGGATCAAATTATTAGAATTATTAAGCCGCAAGCGGCCAAAAATTACCAAATCTGCAATTTTACTGTTCATTATGAAATTTTCGCACGCCACTGTTCACAAAGGGGCTGAGTCTTTCCCTGTGGTATAATTTACGTGAGCCCATATGTCCAAATGTTGGGCTGGCCAAACGTGGCCCTTGATGGATTTTTTATTTGTAAGATTGATGAGCTCACAGAAATAACATGCACCTGATTCTCTCTCCTTCATTTCAATGGACTCCTCATCTCTCCTCCTTTCCACCTACCCCTCTTCTCTCCTCCATACGAAAATCCAATCTGTCATACCTTCTTTCCTCCTTCAGGCAGCTCCCTCTTCTCTCCTCCATTCCAATCGAAGAAATAACAACGGCAGTGGCACGCATGCGAACAACGACAGCGACGACATGTGTTCTCCAATTTCTCCTCCGCTCAGACAGGAAAAACACACCGATGAACGATGCCCAATTTTCCCTCTCTCACCTCCCTAAACACCGATGAATGGCACGTCGACGGGAGACAGTGGTGAAGCCAGATTGCTGGATTAGGTGAGTCAACAACTCAATTTCCCATCTCTCTTACCCCCCTGAACCCGTTGAATGGCACGCCGGTGGGAGATGGCGGCGATGCCAGATTTCATATCTCTCGCAGAGGGCACCATTGATTGTTGGATTATGTTAACCAGCAACTCTCTCTATCCTTCTTTACCTTTTCCCCTGCCCTTTTTGTTTCTGTTTCCATTCTTCTCCGCAGTAATCCAGTTATAATCTTTCGATGCTGAGATTTTCCCTTCCCTCTAGCTCATCAAACACCACACCTTTCCTCCTCCTTCCATATCATCCGCCTCTATTTAACAAATCCTCCACCAACGTAGCCTCCTCCTTCCCCAACCCTGGGATTGACGAGGACTCATGTTACTCAGATCCATTGTTCGCCGGATATAGCTCTCTGCAAAATCGAAGGCGCCATAGAGGAGTTGGGCCCCATTACCGAAGTCAACTGTCGAGGGTTAGAGGAGGGGAAGTCAGAGCTCTCCATGGACACTAAGCATTAGTAATCTTCTGACAAGTATTCATGCTTTTATCCTAGATCCATCTCAAGTTGCAATTGATTACCGTGAAACTTAGTACAATTGACTGGTAATCTTACCTCTCCTTTAAATGATTTCTTCTATAGATGGGTTGTTAATTTCCAATGGGATGTTAATTAGATAGATACTGCTCTATTATGGGTTGTTAATTTCGATGGGATTCTTATTCTTTTCATCATTCCTTTTAATTCCTTTGGTTCGCATAATCACTGCCTGTACGTGCAAAGAATTAGAGATATTTAAGTTTGACCTTCCCCATGAATTAGGAATTGTTTTTGTGTTTTCCTGCTATCCCCCCCTGTTTATTGGGTCAATACGTGTAGCGTTAGCATCTTATAATTGTATGGTTTATTGTTGCCTTTCCTATTTGCCAACTCTTCCATATCCAGGGCATTGGTTCCTTTCTTCAAGATGGCCTAAAAATCTTTCTTCTCATAATCAACATCCTTGCATCTCAGTTCAAGATTTTGGATAAGCCTTTCCATGATTTGTAGTTCACCTAGGCCATAGGACATTCATTATATTCTCAAGACTGTTATGAATTGAATGAATAGTACTGGCAAAGAGAGTTGCAGACTGCATAGTTGATATATCAAAAGAAACAGATATTCTCTAAGTCATCTGATGATCACAACCTTATGGTTAGTATATATGAAGGGAATCTATTTCTTTTGTTCCCCATTTCTCAATCGTTTGCATTAGTTTTGACATGGTACTACTGCAATGATTTTCTTGCTCTTTCGTAATAGTCTCTCAGTTGGTTCATGTTAGCTATTAGGATACTGTATACCAAGTCATGAATATATGGTTCTTTATATGTGGACTTTGGTTTGTGATAATGGCTCAAGGTTGAAGTAATAGGCAAGTCTTTTGCTGTTTTCCTTGGCTCAAAGTTTAACTCTTTTTCATTAGGTGTCTTATATATGCTTTTATATGTGGTTGTCTTTTGTTGTTGCTCCATCTACTGTGTATTACTTCATGCAGTCTTGCTGAATGTGACTTATAAAAAAAAAAAAAAAAAGAATCACGGTTTCGATTCTCTTTTGCTTGCCTTTTAAGACACTACTATATAGCGGCCAAACGAATGAGGGAAATTCATTGCAGCGTGAGATGGAAGAGGCATTAGCTGCCGAGCTGGGTGCTCAGCTGAGCTCACACACCAATTTGAGTTGTCAAATCCGATTTTGGAGATTGATTGCTTTGGAAGGAATATAAAGCGCCCCTTGCAGGCCTCGGAGAGGAGTCTGTTCTCATAATAGACGAGAAGTCAATGAAGCAGCTCATATCACGACACGCGCAACAACGCAGTGGAATAAAAGTGTGATTTGCATCGAAAGACCACTGATTTATTTGGTAGATCCAACTAGATCATGCACAAGTGACTTCTTAGTCTTAATTTTGATTCTCTGCCCTATTCTTTCATTTCCCTTTTCGGTTGCTCTATATGACTATATGTTATTCTTTTCAAGGTAGGTGATGGACATGATCATTTTACATCATGATATACAAACATGGAATGGTAAAATCCATTCCTTAAGTGGAACCGGGAGCAATTTAGATAGTTATGGTAGTATTGAAGTTTGTGCTTCGGGCTTAAGGATTATAGGTAAAATGATTTGAATATATATATCAAGTTCACAATCATCAATTATGAGTGAGCAAATGATTTTACAAATTAAACAAAATCAAACATTTCTATGAATCACAAATTATGTGGCCAGAGCCATTAGTATTGGCCAATTTAAAATCATAACAGAGTGAGATCTAGGATCTATATCGAGTTTTACGTTTCTTTAATACGACACAAATATGGAATATTTAAGAAACCGGGAAGAATAAGCCTTGCATGTAGAAAGACTCCACATGTTTTGATCAACAAAACAAATCGAACAAAAAAGATATCCAATAAAAAAATTAAAATCTTGAAATGATAATGTATTATTACGTCATATTCTTTAAAAAAAATAGATCAAATAATCCGCTGCATAGCGCGGGCTAAATAACTAGTACTAATAAATACAAGTAATCTACAGAAAAAAACAAAAACAAAATACAGAGTCATTTGTAGGGAAAAAGAATACCAGTGATTGATATGCTTGCCTAATTTGTACTATAGTTGCAAACAGATCCACTCAATACTCTGCAGTAACTCAAATTTATCTGGCTTAGAGCAGGCCCTTCAGCTTGACCTGTGCTTGAATCCCTCCCCTTGGGCATTTTAACAAGCCCAAACGGTAGCCCATGCTTAGTTTGAACCACCAAAAGAAGTCCGGCCCATGATTAACTTCTCAGACCAATTTCACGTTGACCCATATAAAAGTCAATAAAAACACGAGTAGCCCTATGAACCACACATAACACATTCAATTCGTACACCTGTATAGCAGTTGAAGCATATGGGGGAAAAACAGATCATCCATATTATCCCGCTTAATTCATAGCACTTAGCAGTGAGCAGCATTTTTAGCTTCTTGTGAAGGTCTTCAACAATACAAATATGGTATGTAATGTGTTTACATTTTTTTTTATGGTACACTTTTGATTTTGGGTGCATTATATCATTTGGATAACTTGATTTATCTCCTAAAGATATCAATGTAAGTTAAGACGAATATCATTGACGATTTGTTTGTAATTTACATATTTGATATTCCTAAAAATATTTAGTGGAAATTCAAAACTTTATCTGACGATAAATTTACAATAATTTTATACGAATCATTTGTAATTTTCAGGCCATATCATCATCTTAAATAAATGTTGACAATTAACATTCACCGATTGTAGAATCTAGTTTTTTTTATTAGTTTGTGTTGTTGATATCCAATATCAACAACATACTATGGACGTACTCTCGTTTAATAATCGATTGTGAAAATTGTAATATCAATGTCAAGTTGTTCATCCACAATATTAAATTGAACTTTTATCATAATTACAGACCTAAATTGAAATTTATGATGAATTTGTTGAGTATTTATTAAATCTAAAGATATGTGGATGATTGTTCGATAGTAAAGTATTTATTATTTTATTTTTAAGTTCAAAGATGAATTATGACTAATTATGTTAAGAAATTAGGAGATGCTAAACTTTGACCCTATTCAATATTCATGCATAAAGGGCCCAAACGAGTAAAGGAGAAGAGAAAAGTGAAGCAAATCGGAAAGCTTTTGTATGTCATCGGCGAGCCTGAAAACAGCTGATCTGCATTAACTTTCAGTGGGGACTTGCAAAAGCTAAACTAAAGTCGAGACTCTTTCAAGTCCAACCCCAAAAAACCTACAAAAGTCCAGCTCCAAACACTGCCTTCTCTCCCCCCACCTCTGGCTCACAAGCCTCGCAAAGCAAGAATCTTTTCATCATCATCGGCTGTAAACTTAAGAATTTACATACAGTTTTTACCTTTGGAAATCTTTCTCCATGTTAGATCTTTGGCTTCATGGTTTCTTCCCCTCCCTCCAGTTATAACAGCTGGTGCAATATCTGCACCAGAGAGATGTACGTCCCAAACACAACAATGATGACACCTAACACCACTATCCCCCAGAGAAGCACCGTTTCGAGCGAAAACCTCCTGTAGCTGCCGGAGATCTTCAAGTAACATCCACAGGGAAGTATGATGGACGCAGTGACGCTCAAGAACGCTCCGACCAGCGACATGAGTTCACCGAAGAAAGGCAGTGCTAGAGCTACAATTACTGTGCTGATGACGAATGCAGTGCTGATGAACATGCTGAATGGCCTCTTGTTGCAGTAAGCACGGAACCTCTTTTTGGCTACGTTCACAATGGGGGTGACCATGAGAGCGTACTTGGCAACTGGGTTGACCAAAGTAGTGTAGATTGCTAGCTTCGCGCTGAACTTGTTCGTTGGAAGGTCTAATGTTATCTGGGATTGGACATGCGGTCCAAACATCATGTACCCGAGAACAGCCATCGACGCGTAGCAGAATGTGCAGAGGATGAAACACAATAGTAGGACCTGCATTGTGATGACAAACAGTCAGATTGAATAATAAGATCATTGGATTTTATCCGTATTCAACATATGTTGTGACCATTAGATATTTGATCATCAACCTGGAGTAAAATCGTTAAAAGGCATAGATTTGACCGAGTTCACTGATTCTTCCACTACTAAAAACATTAAGATTCTATCTATAGCAGACATATGAACAGACTAGATTTGGTAAAGTAAACTCGTAAAAACATAAGCTTTTTAGGAGTTCACACAAGACTGTGACCTGCTGCGAGTACCCAAAGTGTTTCCAATAGCTAAAAGTCATTCACGAAGGGAATGGTTTCTTACATTGGAGAACTGTTGCTTATTCTTCATGGATGTGTAGAGAGTTGGGAAGACGGGATGCGCACAATAACAGAAGGCATACAAGCTAACCGCAGTTGGGATTCCACCCAAGTTCAATGGCGTACCAGTATGACGAAACCCAACTCCCTCGAACGCTCCTGTCCAGAAAATCGAAGCAAGGATGATGGCAGAAGCCAAAACTCCACTCGCAGAGACGTAGGAGAGCAAGCTCAGGTTGTCGAGCCAAACTGAAGGCAAAATGATGAGTGCAACAAGTATGACGAAGCTTTGCCTGCCCCCTAGGTGGAACCCTGCAATTTCTATTGCCATGTCTGGAAACAAGTTCACCAAGTTATCCCCTTCGAGTATCAGGAATCCTGTTGCAACCAAGTAAAGCTCTACATTCATGAAGACCGATACCACGAGCCGTCCTTTCCTGCCAAATGCACGGTCTCCTATGTCGGGATAAGTTCTGATGCTGGAATCTTCCTCCATGCATCTTTTGATTAGCAAACCTGCGTAGAAGGTTGCACCGGCGATTACCATTAGGAAGATCAAGCTCAACCATCCTCCCGATGCTAGAGCGTATGGGGTTGAAAGTATCCCAACACCTGAAAAACGATAAACAACAAGGCAGCAATATTAGCAGCCGTGTTTCAACAGAAAAAGAAAGGAACTTGAAACATGTTTATCCATGCTTCGCCAAAGTATTGGCAGTTTAACCTGACAAGGCATTTAAACCATGGAACATGGTCTTGAAGGTGGAAGTTTTGCCTTCGTTACGAAAACTATAGCTGGATTCTAAATCATCATCAAGTTTGCAAGCATCCCGATGCTGCTCTTGATCAATTATCAGAGGCACATCCAGTGAAGAGTCACTGTGAGGAAACGCCTCCATTTTTGCAGCGAAGAGATAAGAGACAGAAAGACTGGAACTTTCAAAAGCAAGAGGTTTTGACTTGAGAGAAAACTAATGCCCGGAGGGCTTTATAGAGGCTGCTAATTGCTAAAGGTGGCTGGGGAAAACATGTTAAAGATGAAGTAACCAAAACACATGCTTAGTCCTCTTTGGAACCACCATATTTATGGCGATGCAGCCAAATGGGAAAGCAACAAAAGCAGGGAAATAGACTCGAAGTAACCACCCGTACCACACTATCAGCACTAACTTTGACAGACGTGTCAAACTGGAAACACAAAACACATGGGAATTAGGACCCCAGTTTAATCAAACTCCCTAATTCTCATACTTTGCAAGACATCTCACATTATAAAGACCCTTCTTCGCGTTTTGACAGTACCAATCGCTCCCCAGGACTGGCTTACCGGAGCTTGGACAAAGCCCCTTCCTTTACTGTTGGACACATTCACTAAAAGGATAGGACCATCCTCCCACTTGCCAACCACGACAACCCCTTATCTTCTGGCCAGTTCATCCCTCTTGAAACTGGCAAGTCAGTGAACCACTCTTAACATGACCATAGGAAACATGGCTGGTAGCGCTTGGAGACTATTCATAATGCACATATTCCATATACCAAGAATTATCAAAATTATGCGCAAAGTTCTTAACTTTGTTGCATAATATTGGAAAGGCAAGCAATTATTATGTCGACATCAGAGAATATAATTCAATGCCCTCTCCATACCTACTCTGGACCTTAGTGGTCTTAAATAGGATGTGCTCCAAATTTTACGGCTGCCTTATAATTACTAATCATGAAGAAGATGGGGCCTTCTGACCAGGAATGAGAGCCAGCATCGTCACACATAATCAATATAGCAAGTTCTTTCTATTACAAGAAGTTAAAATTTCAAAAAGGAGAATAGCTTGCTGGCTGCTGCAGCAGCTTACATGCTTGTTTGTCTCACCCACAGAGTTGTAAAAAGGGATGTGGTTCCCAGATTTTGACAGGTTAACTTCTACAGTCCGCTCAAGTTCTGTGGACCATCCCATTAGAAAATCTGAATGCCCATCTCTTAATTATTTTAGTACCTACCTATGTTTCACCATTTTAATCATGATTTTAACCTCGAGATGAAAAATAGGTAGCTGCTCCAATCATTGATCATTTCGACTATAATCAGTGCAAATCATCATCCTGGCTACAATCAATGGGATGAAAAGTTGAACAAGGCAAGCCTTAGCTAGATGAACTGAACAGAGAAAGACAAACAATCAGCTTGTTGGCAAATTGTATGAGAATGTGGAAGTAAGCATCACGATGTATGAACATCAGAATTTCAGAAAGATACATGTTAAGATACGCATGAAAAAGATATATACTGCCAAGTCATCATTGTTATTCTTCATGTTTCATCATTGTTCTTGGAAGGATGACAAACTCTTGACATTAATCTTCTAATCCAAACTGTATACGTAACCATGAAGTGGAATTGAGATAAGGTGGCAGAGAAATGTTTAGTGGGTTGGTGAATCACTAGTCAAACATCCGTCTTTCTATAACCAAAACAATTAGACAGGTTTGGCAGGCGACTTTGTTCTGACAATTCAAAGGGTGCATTTATCCTCCTCTAGCTAGGGAGAAACACATCTAATAGAGAAACAACAAAACAACATAACTCTCTACTAGCATATTTGCTACTCAAACAAGTAAACACAGAGGTCAGAATCCAATGTTTCAATGACACTCTCATTCAAATTCATGTGATGATGTCATGATTACTGTACAGGGAGCTTAGCTCAGGATATGTAAGCGTTCCCCATCAATTCAGAACAAAAAAATGAAAAGGATAAAGTATTCTTCAATGAGGTTGATGACTCATCATCAAGAACTAGAGGGCTCCCCTGTTTCCAGGGAAAAAGAGGTGCATATATCCCTGTCTTGTTCTGTTCTGTTTGACGTCAATCTAAAACATGGAGGTGGTGTAAGTGTACAACGACAGCTAATATTTTTCTCCATTCATTCTCTAGCTAAAGCACCGCCAGAAATGTGAATCGATTCTGAAACAAACAGTCTCTCTTTGGATTCATACGAAACAGAATATAATCTACAAACAAACAAGCCCTTCACGAGAAGCTCGCACGATGACACGAATAAACAAGTAAATATTATTTCAGTGGGTGCATTAGGTCACAGCGGCCGCAGCAAAGAGACAAAAGGAGTCGCAAAAAAGCGATACCCTTTTGCCCTCTTTTGGGTTCAATCACGTTGGCGGAATGCATAACACATAGAAATCGCAATGGAAAGCTGAGATTAATAACCTGACAACGCGTTGAGGCCATTGAAGCAGGTGTTGAAGAATGTGGTGGTGCCCTCGCCGCCGCCGCCATCAGTGGCGGAGTAGTGGTGGTGGTGGAGTAGTATTTGGTGGTGGTGGAGGTGATTGGCGTTGCTGTAACCCTTGGCGTCGAAATGCTCGGGCTTCTTATCAGTGTCGTTTTCGGAGGAGAGAATGAGAGGGATTGTAAGCGACGACGGTGGACTGTCTCGATGCCCGGCGGCGCCCTCCATTGCCCGGCCGTACCTATTCTCTGACGGCGAAGAAAAACAACAAACGGAGGGAGAGAGCGAGGGAAAGAGGGAGTGGGATCTTCTCTTCTCTGCTCTTTTTGCCCCTCAATGGCGGTCTTGAAATACTACATTGACATTATTATCCCCGTTTCGTATCCCGCAACCAGAACGTTCACTTCCCGGTTCCAAAAAATTACCATGTCTGAGCACTGAGCTCCACATGTCAAATATCCTTTATCGCCATGGTCGTATGTGACTTGCTTGTTCTCGAGAGGGTTTAGGGAAAAGAGACAGACTGCCACGAGATATTTAAAAAAATAGCACGAGAAGGTTTTCATAATAATTTTATGAAGTAAACTCAATTACTCATTAGAATAAACTATAACAAATAGTTAATGATGCAGATTTTCTTTTAATATATGAAATTCTAACTGGTCGTTACTTGCTTGCTTCACTTGGCTGTCCTCCATATATATGCTTAAATGCATCACATCACGTGTCATTCAAGTATAGACTATATTGCACTATGCACATTAATTCACTGATTTGTATTTATCACTACTAAATTATATATGTCAATTTTTTATTGAACTAAACAATTTTAATCGAATTTTGATTGTCCCATTGCAATTTTTGTATGCAGAAGACTTGATAATGGATATCAAAGTGTAATTATTGTGCTAGCATTTGAATTTTTTTAAGTAATTTCAGTGAATAATCTTGCTATTTACCCCATTATCAATTTATCATTGGGGATCACAATATCAAATCAAAGTGCGAATGAGAGGTACAGACGAACATCACAAAGCGAGACACAATTGACTTCAACGAATCCTTTGTCACATCTTCCAAGCGCGCAACAACTGAAAGTAGAGGAATTTTACAATGCTTTAGAGCATTGGTGCTTTAGTTTTTGCCTATATGGTACAACTTGAAGTTGTACCTTTAACGTTATGGTACAACTTTAGGTTGTACCTATACTCTTTTGTAAATCTCTTTATGGTACAAACTAAAATTGTACATTTAAGTTATGGTACAACTTAAAGAGTTGAAGTTGTACCACAACATATAGATCGAACTTGTACATTTATTCGTTGTGGTACAACTTAAAGTTGTACTTTAAAGCACCAATACTTTAAAGTATAGTAGAAAGGCTCCTGAAAGTATTGTGTGAGATTCATAAGACACACGAGAGGGAAGTGATGGAGTGGTGTAAATGAGTCATGGGGCTTTGTACCCATAGACTTAAGGTAATGCTAATGTTGTTAAACATCCCAACTTCCTTTTCATCATTATTGTTATTCAAAGCCTTATGACGCCTGTTTAGGGTTTTCAATTCTTAAAATCATATCATAGTGGTCTTGATTTGATTTTGCCGTGCTTGTGAGTTGTGAGTTGTAGAACGATAATAAAACTACATAAGACTCTAATTGTCCAATTTATAGAAGAGGGTGGATGAAGGGACTGACAATAACCCCTTGTTTCCGAAGTAGGAGAGGAAAAGGAGGGGAGGGGAGAGAAAATTTGGAGGGAAAGGGAATTGAAGAGAAAATGTTGTTGTATGGGGAAAATGAAAGGAGAGAGGGAGGGAAAAAGTATATAGGAAAAAAAAAGAACCAAATGCATTTTATTAAACTCAAACCGAAAACTATTATATTCACTTGGGATTGGCGGAGTCCTTCTTGGAAAATCTATTTTGAGTGCATGTTTCTCCGGTTACTTGGGTTGGGGATTGTATGGGGCTAATATTCTTTTACTTCAAACTTCTTCGTGTGGATCAAAATTAAATTGACAGGGCAAATGACATAATAACTGCTAAACGTGCTCCCAATTGTTAAAAGACGAGTAACCAGTTCACAAGATAAATTTATTGACAACGTGTATAATAATTGGTCGATCATAAGTTTGATTTTGTTGGATTGTGTTTACGATTACATGAAAATGAGACTAATCGAAATATTTGATGTACCAAAAATTTAAAAAATAAGTGTGAAATACACCTCTGACATGTCCAACTCATCAACCTTTGCCATTGTTTTTCGTTGGGACCATATCGACACCCTTAGGTTGGGTCAATCAGTCCGAGTCACTTTTGAGGTCAATAGCCCTGACCCTCAAAGGGCAATACCGCAATAACGTCAATCACTCTCTGACCCTTGTGTCGCAAAACACCTCTAACGTTAATTAGTTCGCTTACTCATGGGTAAATTCAATTTTTTAAAAAAATTTAACTATAAATTAACCAATGTAAAATATAAATCAAAACTCATTCGGCCAATGACCGGGTAAAAACTAGTCGTTTATAATAATAGCAAAATGAAGGGTGTATTGTTTTGTTGGAAACATTGATTATTAAACATATTCGGATGGTCTTGGAAACATGATGAGTTTTTTTTTTCATATAGCAAATTGAGCTACGTTGCATTCTTTTTTTTCTTTTCTGTTTTCGAGTAATGCCAAGGCAATAGTTAGAAAGAACTACTACTCACAATTCCTCCCTATCCCACTAACAAATCGCCTTACAAAATGAAAAGAAGCTAACTCTAACCGAGACAACAACAGGGCTTTAAGTGCCACTCTATGAGCAGTCCAGTTGGCAGTCCACGGAATCGCACTAAATTATATACAATGAAAAAATACTTAAGAAAAAGACAACAATCTTGAAGGATGACAACTTCTGCATCTGCTCGAGGATGACCAAGACAAACTTCAAGAAGCTGCAAGGAGCTATGCAAGATACGTGTCAGAGATCCACTGTTGCTGGACACCCAAGGCCAGAAGCACATGCCCGTCCGAGCCACGAACAACAAGGCCAGACGAGCAACCAGAAACTTTGACAGCAGCATCGAAATTGATCTTCAGAGGGTCTTCAGGAGGACCTTCCCAGAGAGGACTAGCATACACAGGAGAACGAGACAGAGATGAAATTTATAATAAAATTATTATTCTTATGGTATTGTAAATAAGATTGAAATTTAATTATTTATTGTGTTTATCAGATTATTATACGAAAGGGATATAATAAGTAGACCTGGCAATCGGGTCGGGTTGGGTAATTTCGGGTTGGGAATCTCGAGTTACGGGCCTTCACGGGTCGGGTCATGATGGGTTTGCTTATTTCGGGTCAAATATTGACCCAACCCATCGAGTTTCGGGTCGGGTTTCAGGTCATTTCGGGTCATGAGTGTTCTCAGAAACATTATCAAATATGCTTCATAAATTTTTAAGGCAAAATACACTTCCATAGCCATAACTTTCACGTTTATGACAAATATAGCCATAACTATAGAAAAACACAAAATAGCCAATTCCGTCCATCTCTTTTACGGTGTTAGTTAACAATCTGATTGTACTGACGGAAATGCTGACATGGCGACTTTTCGTCGGACACGTGGATTAACAAAATATATATAAATCATAAGTGCACTTTTTGATTTAATAAAACAAAAAAAAGAAATAAAATAGAAAACACTTCATCTTCCTCCCGTACTCCTCTACCCCTATTCCCCACCATTACCCAGCAACCCTAAATTGTCGCCGCCGCCATCAACACCATCTTCATCCCAGCAACCTGCAACCCACAACCTAATTCCCCACCAATTACCACCAACCCACAACCCTAAATCGTCGCCGCCACCCTCACCTATGGGAAAATCAAGAAGCAGTTGTGACCCTCACCCCCACCCACAGCGCTGAACTCTCCCATTGTCGGTGGTGGGCACGGCTGTGCCGGCCGCGTCGAGGACTGCGCCACTGCGGAGGACCTCCTTGGAAGGGAACATGAAATTGGGAGGAATTTCATCGATAGAGGAGCCGAGAAGTGTAGCCACGTCGTTGGAGTCGGCGGGAAGATCTAGATCCGAGTCCAGGGATGGCTTTCGGGCGGCGAGGATGGGGTTTGTGTCGAGCTTCCGTCGTAGGAGACGAATGGTGGTGCTAGCTGCTAGAATCAATCCATGATTCCTCTTCCGCTAAACCATCCAGATCTCTGCTTCCTTTTTTGGGTTCAAGGTTTCTTCTCTCGCTCTGTTCTCCTTAATCGCTTTCAACTGCTGTGAGACTTGTCGTCGGGGGTTTATTCTGGTTTGTTCGGCGGGTGGAATATGAATTAGGGTTGTTGTTACTCTGCTCTCTCTGGTAGTGGTAGGGATTTTGATGCGGGAAGCTCTCCGATTGGTCTTTGAAAGTAAGTACTGGTTAGGTTTTGTTTTGGGTTTGTTTCGATGATGGATAAGCAGACCCATCAGATCCCAACTGCGAGAGAGCTGCCCAGAAGGTGTAAGTCCCGAGAACTTCTGTCGGGCAACGGCGAACCGTCAACCCATCAGATCCCAACTACGCTTCTCTTCTTCCCAGGAAGCGGCGGCGTGGTCTCCAGCGGCGGCGGCGTGGTCTCCAGCAAGTGCGAACACTAATTCGTGAGAATTTGATTTTCGGGGATAGGGAAGAAGGAGGAAGGGAAGGGAAGTCAACATAATTTTTTTTAATTCTTTACGTGGCATTCCACGTGTACAGTTTGCTGATGTGTCAATGATGTGGAGGTGGGATTCCATCCTCATCAGCGTTCCGTCAAATGATTTAACGGAGTCGCATACGGTTTAAAGTTTTTAACGATTTTGGCTAGATTTGTCACACTACCCTTCGTTTTTGGGCTATTTGTTGTTTTCGGATAGATATGACTATATTTGTCAAAAGTGTGAAAGTTATGGCTATACAGGTGTATTTTGCCAATTTTTAAAGAACACAAATTTTTACGTATGTGCGACAATAGTTTGCCTAGCACATATCAATTAACAAATGCTTAACTTCTTCCATGCTAATGAAAAGAAATACAAATTGTCAAAAAACAATGACGAAAGTAATACTACTACTATAAACAAATGTTGTTTGATTATTTTAACACTCCAAACTTGTCTTTCAAATCCTAATAAATTTTTTTAAACATCTCACCAAAGTATAAGTGATTTTATCATTTTGAGAGTGACATATGCAATAAAACGGGTCTAGCGGGTCGACCCAAAAACCAACCCAACCCGACCCAAAAACTACGGGTTAATCGGGTTCGGGTCATTCGGATTTTGGGTTATAAAAACCTCAACCCATTCTCTATTTTTCGGGCGGGTTCGGGTCGGGCCTCATTTGCCAGGTATAATAATAACTATTAATAAGCCTGCGTGAAACATAATTTGGCCCAGTAAACATAAAAGCCCACCAGAACCGGGGAGAGCTAGGTCTGAGCAAACCCTAAAATATATCAAGTACGCGCAGCCGCCTCATATATATGTGTTATGTGGCGAAGAAAAAAAGAAAAAGAAAATTTTAGGTTGGTCAAATCAAATAAGTACAACAGCCTGTAAAGTAATGGGGTTGAGATTTTCAACGTACAGAACCCATCGTATCCATCCACGTGCTATACATTGAAAGTATCAATTAATCGAACGGCTGCACGTCTCCCGTTGAAAACATAAATTACTTCTTTACCCCTACAACCCTTCTACTTAACCTGACACAACCGGCTATTCTAAAAGACTTCCCCCACTTTGCGTCACGCGTCTAGCCTAGCAACCAGACCCTCATTCCCTCTCTCTCTCTTCCTCTCAATCTCTCTCTTTTCTTTTAAAGTTTCTTCCTTTCTTCCCGGCCTTTGACAGGCGGATCTGCTCCGACCGCCGTATTTAACTCAAGATCTACTTGATGGTAACATCTCTGCCGCCTGTTTTTTTTTTCTTTCAATTTCTCTTCGTATTATTCCTAGATCTGATCTGTTTTTATTATTGTTGCCAGGATCCAATACTCCCAACCAATCGTCAAAGGCCGATGGCCTTCCCGGCGACGGAGACGAGTCTGCGGCGGGATCTGTTCCGACCACTGTATCGGTAAGATCTCTACCGTGTATTATTTTTCTATAATGCTTTTCATTAATTGATAGATCTGATCTGTTTTTCTTATTGTTTCCAGGATCCAATAGTACCAAACAATAGTCGAATTCCGATTTTTTTCCCGGCGATGTAATCGAGCCTGAGCCGGTACGTTTCAGTCTTTTTCTTCGCGTTTTTGGTTCAATTGGGTGCGGAGGTAGGCCTGATAGCCATTTTTTGTTTTTTTTACCGAAGCACTTTTCTTTTGTTTTAAGAACAGGCCGTATATGCATTTCATCTTCTTCATTTGGGCTTTGGCCTTGTTTTTTACCTTTCTGCCGAGGCCCACTTTGTTGCATTGAAAGACCCAAACCATATTTTCACTCTCGATTCTAGACTAGTTTTTCGTTTCTCTTAATATCTTGCCTGTAAGAGTGGCGATTCAACCGGTTTAAAACAACATGAATTTTCATGATCCTCATTGGTTTACCCGGTTGTTAAGGGTCAATTTGTATTTGCTTTTGTCTATTTTGCCCCCCTCTTAAACCCTAGGGTTTGCATATAAATTTATCTTGTTCTGGGCTAAAATCTCATTTGAGATCTGAATTTCGGGAGGGAGGCACGCTATCAGAAACTTCTCTGCTGCATTTCAAGATCAGAAGCGGTTGGTTAACAATGTCGTCGTCCTATTCTAGGGTTTTTGATGAGAACTGGAAGTGCGACATTTGCAAGAAGGTGATCAATAGGGATCTTTACGTCCGCCACTCTGAGGGTCATAAGAAGACTTATCGTGAGGTTTGTACTTAGTTTTGCCATAGGTTTTTTCAGGTGATTTACTCGCGATTGCTAAGATTCTCTTGTGTCATTTTCTTTCCATAGTGTAAGATTCGCGAACTCAAGCATCTTCTTGGGAGATCTGACGATTTCTTTGGCCCTCTCAATCCCGGCAAGGTAGTATTGCAAAATCTGTTGATTTGTTTATCTATTGTGGCCTGTTTGGTTTGTTTCTGATAGTTGTGTATAATTCGTTTAGATGAAGATCTCATCTCTGAAGAAGCTGCTGAGTGCTTCTGGTGATCTGGCAGCTAAGGTTTATATGGTTCCATCAATAGCGATTTTGAATGTCACTGTTATGAATTGCAGACCGTTTGAATCTTCCTTTCCTTAATTATACCAGGATGCCAGTGTTGAACCTGCCAAGATCGTGGTGACCAAGATGCAGGCCAAGGCGAAGAGGGTGAAGTACTAGAACACCACCATTTCATAATATCCATGAGAATCGTATGAAGTGAATCTATCAGATTTTCTGGTTCAGACTCTAATCACTTTACTAGCTATGGCATATTTTGATGAGGATTCTGAAGGACGGGATGTGTTCTTGGTTGACCCCCTTTGATTGTTTTCCCTAGTATGCTGGTGCTATTTCTCTAATGTGGATGTCGTTCAATCTGAAACTTAGTGTGATTTGAATGGTATTTCATTGTTATGTTCAGCGTTTGTCCTTGAGACTGGTTGTTATTAGGTTGGTTAATTGCTAGAAATATCTTAGTATGCTGATTCCACTTTGAGTGTTTTCCCTAGCATGCTGATGCTATTTCTCTGATGTGGATGTTGTTCAATCTGAAACTTACTGTGATTTGAATGGTGTTTCATTGCTATGTTCAGTGTTGTGCTTGAGACTATTTGGTATTAGGATTATGCTTTTAGTAGTACTTGATGCAGAAGGTAGTTATACCACACACTTGAGCAACAACCAGGCTCTCTAGATCAATTAGCAAGGATGTTATAATAGGTTGAGTTATTTTGCTTGAAACATGGTTGTTATTAAGGTTGGTTACTTGCTAGAAATCTCTTAGTCCTTTTAGGAGTACTTGCAGAATGTAATTATACCACACTTAAGCAATGTTGTCTACAATAGGTTAGATACTAGGCCTCCTGTGTTTTCTTGTTCCTCTCATGAATCTCGAAGGATTTATCTTTTTTATCTATGAGAACACCATTCAGTTTTTCCTTATCATTTGTCCGTTATCATTCCTTGAATCTTCATTCCACTTCTTTCAGTTTCTGGCTCGTTCCTAATTGTACTTCATGGCAATTGATCTCGGAGCTAGTTTTGTCTGTAGTTGCCAATCTTTGATGGAATGAATGTACAGCTTCTCATTTAGTTCCTTATATAATTTCACAACTGTATTGATCTGTGTCTCCGTAGATAATTATTTCAAGCTAAGTAGCCTGTTAAGTTTGTCTTCCATTTTTCTGTGATTCACAGCCTCCAAAGTAGCAAAGCTGCTGCTCAAGAAACTGTGTTCGTTGTTCAAAGTATCTATATGCAAAAATTAACGTTCTTGCTGGTCGTCTTTATTTTCTTAGTAACTCGTGCAAAACTTATGTCTCTGATATAGACAAGATTACGTCGTTCTGGCTTTTAGTGACTAGTGAGTATCTGCAAAAGTAAAAGTTCTTTGTCGTTGCCTTAATTATCTTAGTAACTAATGCAAAACCAAGTGACTTATGGATACCAGATTCTTCGTTCTCGCGTTTTGTGAGTTCTGTCTCCAAATGTGCTTGTAATATCTCAGCCCATCGGTAATCCTTTTGCCAAAGGCATTCAATTTATCGACCAATGTAGAAAGTTCCTCTATTCGATCTGCATTACTTTTGCAGAGTAGAAGCTTGAATTCATGTATACGTATTCTTACTGTTGTCTCAAATTGTGCATCACATCAAGTCTAATTACACGTATGAAGTCTGTGTTTCCCTACGCAATTCTTGTTGCTTAATATAGTACGAAACAAAAGGCAGGTGAGCTTTAATACAATTTGTTACCTGCCTCAATCGTGAATACCTATTACATGCATGTAACTAAGCTATTCTTGAAATGAATATATCACTAAACTGTAAACAACACTATTGTAGAATCCAAGAAAGATTTTATAGCTTATGTCGTTTTACCACGAAGATTAGTGAAAATTTAGAACTTTAAAGAATAGTAACATTTATAATCAGAGAAAAATGAAGGGAACTTCAAAGCTGTATAAGATTCAATTAGTCGCAAAGGAATAATGAAATTTCAGGGGTTTTTTATAATTAGAAAGACAAAAGCATCTTTCTAAAATCAATTTGAAGACTGAAAATTTGAAATTAACCATATCGGGGGTATAGTTTATGTTAGTTTTAGGATAATAGGATTCAAAGTATTAAGCATTGTAGTGCCATACTAATTGATTGTGCTGTGATTTCTAATAAGAAACCAACAACCAAAGCAGAAGAATATGACTAGAGAATTCAATTGTATTATATAGTCTGAGTGTGGTGGATATTTGTACACTTGATTTGACCACTTAAATTTTCATGAACATAAAAGTGACTTCTCATTTCACTCAAGATTGCAAATCGACACAGATGGTGCAAATGGACAGGACAAAACTGTGCAAGACGTAGAGTGAAAAGAAAGGCTAAAAAAAATTTGGGAGACGTGGGATTTTTTTTAAAATCTGTATGTTCGGTTTGCCCGATTATAATTGTATAAAACATGAAAAGGGAGTACGCTTTTTCGCCCCAAAGACTCTAAACACTGTTTCATTTCTTGGCGTCTAGTGTCCAAGTATTGGCTAAGTATTGGAAAAGCTCATTCCACGCACTTTCTTCTCCAGCAAACGTAAGCCACCGCCCATACTCCACAGTCCGCGCTACAGTTGCCATACCTTTCCTACTCTCAATTTTCCGCCGAAATCAAGCATTCACTGGTCCGTGGTCGGTCATGTCTATCTCTTCATCCTTCCATTCTGCAGTCCCCAATCACCAGCTCCCTCACGCAACCACCCATAATTTCTGCGCCGCTTGCTTTCCTTTAATTTGTGCGGAAAAAATTGCTTTCTTCTCGCCCAAATGGTCCTCTTTGGTTCCATCTCTCATTATTTTCTTTTGCTTCCTTTTTCCTGTAGCTCAACCAGTCACGACCTCGCTTTCTATTTCCTTCGCTCTGTGCGGAGAAAATTGCTTCCTTCTTCATGCGTTGCAGCCTAGAGAAGAATGACTCTGGATTGTCGAGATGCAACCTTCTCCACGTTCCACCAACCATTTTTTTCGGCTGTGGTGCTGCGACGGAAGGGTTGCATATGCGAGGAGAGCTACCTGTGCCGTTCACCCCGGTGTCACGACAGAAGGACCACTCGCCTGTAGCAACCGTGAGACAATGTAAAGTTGAAGGTTTGGGGATGTTCGACGAGCCGAGGAGGATTTGCATCAGCGATAGCTGAGGTATTGGTTTGCCCGGAAGGATTCCCGGCGACGATGGCGTAGAAGTTGTGGAAAGGAATTGGGGGATGGTCTTTTGAAAGGAAGTCGGGCTATTGCATCGGAGAGAAAGTCATTTGAAAGGCCACAAGGTGGATTGATCAGTGCCCAGTCGAAATCAGTTAAGGGCGGGTGCCCTCACCTTACTTTTAACTCTGTTCCAGGTAGATTTGTGTTGGTTACCTATATTATTTGTTCTTGATCCTGTTCTATTGGCTGAAGCTGTGTTTTCTTTGGCTTCTTTAGGCATACCCAACACACATTCCGTTTGTTCCAAACTTCATACCTCAGATCAACCTGTAAGTTTCATTATTTAGCTATTTGATGGTATATATGTTTTGGCTTCCATGTTCTTCTGCCGCTGGCCCTCTTAAGCAAAACCTAAGATAGTTTAAGCCTGTCATTGATTTCTTCTGCCCCCCTAACATGAAAACGCTGCTTGGAGTTGAATTGTTGAATTGTTTGTATATATCACAAAATCACTGTCGTTGAATTGTTTGTATATATCTCTGTCGTTTTCAGTTCAAAGATATTCTGGATCTTCTTTTGTTTTAGTGCTGCTGCACTTTCTTTCTACCGGTGCCTATGCACTTTCTTTCCCGGTTACTCTACAAGAATGCTAGAGTCTTCTCTGATGTTTGTGCACTTTCTTTGCTTTGTCATCTTCCTACTCATTCATATATATTGTCACTGATATGATTTACATAAAGTGGTATGTGTTCTCCTTGCTTCAGGCACTTACCTGTAACCTATTGCTGATTTTCTTTTATCTGTGAGCTAGAGAGTGTGTATAGCAGGGACTAAAGATTACGCTAATCGAACACATAGTTGTGGTAATGGTCATTCAAGTTGGTTGGCCAGTTGATGATTTGTTATGGCAGTTCAAGAGTAGCTTTGGTAGTCGCTGAATAAACAAGTACCTATGGACTATGGTGATGAGAATGCCATGGAGAATTTAATAATGATGGAGGAAGACGAGCTCAATAAGGACAAACTCAGGTAGAAACTCCCAAGGAGATTGAGAATGCTAATGAGATGAAACTAGTAACACCAGTTATGAAGATGAAGCATAGAGCCAATTGACCAACTGTTTTTATTCTTTTGTTGTCTTTGTTTGTTTGTTTAGTCCAACAATCAAATACCTGTTGCTGAACGAGAGGATGTGTTACCAATCCATAGGTGCATTGGTAAAGTGTTGGATGTTTAATGTGACTTCTTCCCAATTTTTTATTTTACTTTTAGGAAATTGCCAGTAATATTGTTGTACTTGAGTTGCACACTTTCACGGAAATGATAAAGTTGATGTTAATTACAATGATCATATGAAACAATTTCACACATTTTTAGCATAGTCAAAACTTTTAAATCCTCAAAGTTGCCAGTAGCACGACAACACCAGTTTGTCATACCTAAATTAGCCACAATGCGATCATGTTGCCTGCGGCGTAGCCGCGGGTATTGATTCTAGTGTATATTTGACATGCAAGAAATTGAGATTTGGTCCAGTTCTTTCTTCCTTTTGTATCTCTATACTCGATTTGTGTACTGATCTTTCCAACGGTGGCATGGCCTTCCGCCACCGAACCCGAACGGTCCCTCGCCCCCGCTGAAAACCCCAAAATCGCCCTTCGGCGGGACAATCGGATATTGCGAGGTTGCTGATCGAGAGGAAATTTTGGCGCGGGAGAGGGAAATTCGCAAGCCCAAATCCTAGCCCGGTTCGCTGGCAATTGCTGCGACTGCAACAGCGACCAAGGACAGTTCCATAAACATTTTTCGGTTCACAAAGATACCGATAGTAGTAACTAATCGCAGGGGAACAGAGCAGGGATTAGGGTTAGGGGACTGATGAGCCGAAACGTCGATGGTGGAGGAAGAAGAAGAATATTTAGCCTTTTAGAATATTATTATTTTTCCTTCAATTTTCTTTTGTATTTAATAATTTATTTTTTAAATTTAAAATATTATATGGGAACTGCTATGTGGGAGCCAGGTCAGTATCATAAAGTTTAGCCAACACGCCGTTCCCCTGCACGCCTCCCCTCCCTCGTTCCAAGCTTCCACCAACCCGCCAACCCTCCCCTGTCCGCTCCGTGATTAACTGGGGAAGAGATGAAGCTCTATCACAACTGTCTGTTCCTCCATTCACAGGATGTGAAGCCTAGATGGAGAAAGACGGGAGCAAAACCGCAAGATTAATTATAAACTATTCCAAACTTAAATGAATCGGCAAAATGGAGAAGCAGTACGAGAAGCTACATGACATATGAAGTTCACAACTCATACTGAAGAGTGAAAAGAAGCATTATGGGAGTCATTGGGCATTGTGATAGTCCCAAGTCCCAACTATTATATGCATAAATGCACACCACAAGAGAAGCATATTCAGATATTCTCAATCATGAGAATGATAAGAGAAGTCAATAACAAGAACAAACTTGTACACCTCTGTCCATAGGCTCATCTAGATGTGGTCTGTCTTGTCTATTGGGGATAACACTTGAGATCCAAATACACTAACTTGAGCAATGACAATACCTTGTATCTCTATGTTTTAAGGAAGAATACATAGCAAGGAGGGACATGATAACAAAAAAAAAAAATAAAAAAAAAATGAAAACATGGAGTAAATGGACTTCATTATAAGAAAAAAAGAACAGGTTGTGACATTACCTTATCTTCCTCTCAACTGCATCTGAAAATCATTCCCTATTGCTACAGCAAAACACTGGGGAAAAAAAGGGAAACAAAGAACCAAGACCATATTAGCAAACAAAATAACTGAAAGTAACAAAATATCTAAAAAAAAGGAGAAGTATGCACCAATTGAAGAAAATGGATTCGGCCAGAGCCCGGATGTAGAGGTTAAGTGATTGATGTAACCAAAAGAAAGTAGAAAGCGAGGTTGCATGGCGGAACTAATAAGCAAAGTCGAAGATGTAAAATCAAACAATCCACCCACCACAACAACAAAGATAGAAATTACACTGCAATTTTGGTTCCTCTAATGCTTCAGCGGGTTCGGAAGTGAGCAGATCCCTCTCCTTCAGTCGTCCTGTATGCAACCTCGCCTTCTTTGCAAGCATCTGTAAAGAAAGAGAGTCCAATTAGACGGGGCAAGTGAGTAATGTGGAATCGAGGAAATGATCAAGGTTGTAACTCCGTTGGAGATGATAAGGAGTCCTAATAGGACAGGAAGTGGCCCATCAAAGAACAAAAGGCTAGAAAACCATAAAGGAAGTAGTTGATTTTCAATATGTAGTAGCAAAAACGAACTAATTACAGATGCATGAGGAAACATTACTCCCGGCTACAAACATCTAACGAAAGTAGCATGTATTTTACACATGGACATTGGAGTCGTTGTCACAACTTGCAGTAAAATGAAGGAGAAGAAAGCTCAGAAAAGCATATAAGCCAACAACTACCTTCTCTGTCAAGTGTCAACAGTCCCAAAGGGGTACATCCAAGGTAAGCCAACGATAATGAGTAAGCTGGCTGCAGAAATAGACTTTGTATCAGCAAGAACTTTTTGTATCCATCAAATTGACCCCAAATACATACTTCCTTCAAAGCATGCAGAAATGAACTGAAAATTCACAAACTATGATAAAACCAACCTCATCGAAAGAACCAGAGTCTCAGAAAAATCTTTCAAAGAAATTATACTCATTTGTTGTACTTATAATCCTCTGACCACTGAGTTCATCGCCGGCACATCTGTGTTAGGATTTCAAGGAATCCAAGAAAGCAGAACCCCTTGCTATCGTCCTCCAAAGTCCTCTACAGCTGGACCTTGTCATCATCTTCCTCATGTCAAAGAAAACCAATGACAATACATTAGGCTCTAGAATACAAATTATGACGGTTGCATTTGCAGTCATACAATGAGAGAACTAACATTTGGAATTCGGAAGCCTTCAAAATGATTACTATGTGCAAGTGGATACAAGAAGTGATATCTTGTTGGTCAACTGTATTCAGTGCAAAGAGTGTCCTAGAACAAGCTCACTTGGTGCAAGTGGATACAAGAACATCCTCATTTTTAGCATCTCAACTTGGACATGATCCGAAAATGTGATACAAGGGACAAAGTTAACTATAGCATGACCTTTTTCCTAATGAGCGAACTCCCAAGAAAGCATACAATATATCATTGTATGAACAATGCTTGAATATAGAAGTTACTTTTCATCAGGTAATGGAGGTAGAGAGCAACCTTTAGAACGCTCTTTTATGTCTTCCAAAACTTTCTCCTCTAGTGACAACAGATTTTGCAGCTTTGGGACTTTATCTTCAAGTTGTGGGATCAAATTTGTTGATTCCTCGCACTCCTTTGTTAAGTCATTGATTTTTGAGGAGTCCTGTTAAGGGATGAGAAGTTAGGAAGTGCACTCTTCCTCTTGAAATTACACACATGTGTACCTTTTCAAGTTTGTCATCAAGCTTCTTGATCTTCTGCTTCCTGTGCTTCAAATCCTCCCGGTACTTAACATCCTGTCTTTCAAACTCCCGAAATTTATCTTTGCGGGTTTTGAGATCATCGTTTAGTTCCTACAGTATTAGAAAGTTTTAGCAACATACCTAGAAATATACAATAAATAGCATAGAAAATAGGATAACAGATAGACATAAGTTTTACATCATTCAAACGGGATCACTACTTATTCTTCTGGTATTTGTGCAAAGCTGTAATGATGGCTATACAAACCTAATGTCTTTTCATGTACTTATTGTGCACAGTTTCAAGCTCCTTCAGTGTCTTGTTATTCTCCTGAATCTTCACTCTAGACAGAATTGGCAGAGAAATATTAAGCTCCATGGGCTATCTTTGGTTCAAATTCTGAAAAATGCATAAAAAGTTTGTCAATGCATCAACCTGTCAGATTTCAGGCTTTCTTCGAGGGTAGATATGTTAGTTTCTACTTCCCCCATTTCGGTAGAGGTATCTTCAAAGCCAATTTAGAGGCTTTCTCTTGCCACTTCAGGTAGGATAACTCTTTAAGCATGTAGTTCTCTTCTTCATTCTTCACATCCTATTCAACAGAAGACAAATAGCTTAGTGGTTGAACGTAGTTGAGTAAACTAAAGAACAGTCGCAGGTACACACCTCCAAACCATCCCTTTCTTTCTCAGCTAGCTTTACCATTTGTATATTACAGACAACCGAATTGTTGCAGGATTTCAATCCTCAAACTATATTCTCGCCAACGATATCAACAGAGTATACGATTTCTTAAAAATTACAATAGCTAAGGGAAAGTGGCATAACAAACGGTCTCATGTATATACATTTGAGTTTCTTATTTCAAACAATATAGACCATGCAACTGGACGTTTCGCTCCTGATCTTTCTGGAAGCAGTAGTATACAATAATTTATACCAAGCTGCCTGTCAGTGGAACTCCCAACTCACTATAACCAGAATGCAGATACTATTACGAACACAAATTATCAAATGAAGGTAGTAGTATCATAAAGATGGGGGGAAATTGGAATTTGCTATCATCATCAAAAGGTACCCACTCCTTGGATGCCTCGTCTATTTTCTCTACACATTTGTTAGTCCCAATTATGTCCTCCAAGTATTCAAGAAAACCTTCATCATGAGGACCTTGAGCTTTTGGCTTCATCAATGAAATCTGTTCGACTTCACCCTAATCATGAAAAGAGAAAGTCTCCTTCAGAAATGTAAGAAAACAAACTCCTAGACCAAAACAATGCCAGAAAGTAGGAAAACAAACCTGAAGAATAAAAAACCGGTTGTTATCAAGGTCCATTCCCTTTTCTCTAAGTTTTTTTTTTTGTGACTTCTGTAAAATTACTCGAGCGATCATTAATATAATACTTCGATGAGTTATCCCGAAATGCCACTCTCTTAATCACAAAATCACTTCCTGGAACAGCCTCGTAGTTACCATCATCCTGTAAAGAATATGTATTAGGCCATCAATCCTTGTAAATGCCTGGAAAAGCAAATATATGCTTCCTATTAACTCATACAAAAAACCATAGAACAAGAGTAAAAAGAAAGAAAGATTACCAGGTCTATAATCTCCTGGAAGTGCACAGAAACATACCCAGAAATATACGATAAATAGCATAGAAAATAGGATAACTGATAGACATAAGTTTTTCAACATCAACAATGAACGGGTCACTACTTATACTTCTGGAATTTGTGCCAAACTGTAATGATGGCTATGCAAACCTCGTGTCTTTTCATGTACTTATTGTGCACAGTTTCAAGCTCCTTCAGTGTCTTGTTACTCTCTTGAATCTTCCCTCTAGACAGAATTTGCAGAGAGATATTAAGCTCCATGGGTTATCTTTGGTTCAATTGGGAAAAATGCATAAAAAGTTTGACAACGCATCAACCTGTCAGATTTCAGGCTTTCTTCAAGGGTGGATATGTTAGTTTCTACTTCCACCATTTTGGTAGAGGTATCTTCAAAAGCCAATTTAGATGCTTTCTCTTGCCACTTCAGGTGGGATAGCTCCTTAAGCATGTAGTTCTCTGCTTCATTCTTCACATTCTATTCAACAGAAGACAAATAGCTTAGTACTTGAATGTACTTGAGCAAACTAAAGAACAGCAGCAGGTACACACCTCCAAACCATCCCTTTCTTTCTCAGCTAGCTTTACCATTTGAACTACTCCAGATCTTTTATCATTAAGAGCCTCCAAACTACAAACCAAATTTGAATGCATGAGAAGTCAGAAAGTACTTGCCACCACCTTATAAGTTTCACTGGACCATCCAGCAAATACTGCAGACAACCAATTAGTTGTAGGATTTTAATCCTCAAAATATATTCTCACGAACGAAATCAGCAGAGTATACCACTTCCATTATCATTATAATAGCTAAGGAGAAGTGGCATAACAAACGGTCTCCTGTATAGACATTTACTTTTCTTTTTCCAAACCATATAGACCATGTAATTGGATGTTACACTCCTGATCTTTCTGGAAGCGTTAGTCTACAATAATTTATTCCTAGAGACCACTGGAACTCCTAACTTAAACTAACTATAACCAGAATACAGATACTACTCCAAACACAATTTATCAAATGCAGGTTCTAGTATCATAGAGATGGGGAAAATTAGAATATGCTGTCATTATCAAAATGTACTCACTCCTTGGATGCCTCGTCTATTTTCTCTACATATTTGTTAGTCCCAATAATGTCTTCCAAGTATTCAAGAAAACCTTCATCATGAGGACCTTGAGCTTTTGGCTTCATCAATGAGATCTGCTCAACTTCACCCTAATCATGAAAAGAGAAAGTTGCTTTTAGACATGTCAGAAACAAACTTCTGGACTCAAACATGACAGACAAGTAGGAAAACAAACCTGAAGAATCAAAAACCGGTTGTTATCAAGGTCCACTCCTTTTTCTTTAAGTTTTTTTGTGACTTCTGTAAAATTACTCGAGCGGTCATTGATATAATATTTTGATGAGTTATCCCGAAATGCAACTCTCTTAATCACAAAATCACTTCCTGGAACAGCCTCGTAGTTACCATCATCCTGTAAAGAATATGTAGTTAGGCCATCAATCCTTGTAAGCGCCAGGAAATCGGAAGAGCAAATATCTTTTCCTATTAACTCATACAAAAAAACCATAGAATAAGAATAAAATATTAGGGAAGCTTACCAGGTCAACGATCTCCTGGAAGTGCACAGAAACGGCAGCACTGCTCAAATTCTGGTGATTTGTGGAGTTGTGAATAAGCTCCGAAACTTTGTTAAGCCTCATCTAGACAACTCAATGTCAACACAAGAAGATGGTTAGCCCCAAATCAAAAACCCCTAACCATTGACTGTTTTCCTGAATCCGCCAAGTCAAATGCACATACAGTTTCATAGTCCCAAAAATGTGCTAATTTCTGCAATCTCAATCATTCAACATGAAAGAATTTGAAGGTACCTGCTTTGCTCGCTTCCCAAACACGAACAACATTGCATCTATCACATTGCTCTTCCCGCTTCCGTTGGGTCCAACCACTGCAGAGAAACTCTGGAGTTGACCAATTCAGCCACCAAGCCGGAAGAAAACCAAACACAGGAGAAACCATTTCAGCAATAGGAATTAGGAAGACACAAAAATTTTAAAAACTACCAATTACACTGCATTTTTTCATTTCCTCAAGTATACCGATAAGAACTTTGCCAAGTGGAAGTTGGCAACTCAGAATTGCAATCAACTGATTAACTCATAGAATTAAGCAACCCACTAACTCGAGTAGCCCATAACCAAGACTAATTTGCAGCTGGATCCTACGAGTATCTCAGAACCCTAGATTTCACAAAATTATGCTGGCAAAAGGAAGAACGACGAGCAGGAATTCCACCCAAAACCCTAACCCTATGGAAAGGACCGACGCGCTGTTCACCGGCGTAAGACTTGAAATTAGAGGCCAAAAAACGGAAATTCCGTCAACTACTTTTTCGACCCAAAGAATGAAATACTTACCGAAGCTGTTATGGACAACGAAGAGGTTGATGGGTCACGAGCCAGTCTCTCCCCGTCCGGGAATCGGAAATCCTACTTAATTTCCTCATCAGAGTGGGAAACGGGAAGGTCTCCTACAATATAAATACACTTTGAGCCCAGCGATTTATTTCATTGCAACCTCGCTATCAATCAGTCGATCAATCACTTCAATGAAGTCGCCGTCGTGCAAGTTACCGGTCTCTACCAAAGATGTCCCGTGGGTAGTCGTTTTCAACGGCGAGAATCAGACTTTCTATTCAACAGCAACATTGGATCGCAATTGCAAGCAAACCCATGTGTATCGTCGTTGTCGGATAGCTGAGTTTCTTCCCAAATGCAGCCAAATAATTCAGCACTCCCCTTTTGGATGGTTAGTTTTGGGGAGAGTTAAATCTGGACGGACTGCCATGAATTTGGTGAATTCGGCCACTCAGAAGGTTATTAAACTACCCAAACTGGCGGATGAAGGTTTCAACACTGTTGTATTGACGTTGCCCCCAACCCACCCCGACTGCAAAGTCATAGCGGCGCACGGGAAAGTTCCAAAGCTCGCGTATTGTAAGCCGGCTGCTTCAAAGGGCAATAACGGTTGGACTGTGCAAACTTTTCGCGGAGTTAAGAACTTCTTTCACAGTCTTGCAGTTTGGCAGGGGATCGTTTACGCAATCACAGACGAGAATACGTTGTTTGCTATTAATGAAGACTTAACAGGAAGTAAAAACAAGCTGGTGGTGTCAAGAGTTCTAACAGGTAGCTGGCCTCTGCTGAATACCTGGGCATGGGAACTCCGCTTGGTTGAGTCGGCTGGGGAACTATTTCAGTTTTGTATTCGGACTACTAGAGAGGATGACCTCGAATTCGTGCAAGTTTTGAAGCTGACAAAGTCGGAGTCGTCCTTGTCTTCATCATCATACTCATGGGTACAAGTTAAGAGCTTGGAGGGACGAGCAATCTTCGCCAGTGATTTGAGTGCTTTCTCTTGCAGCCCTTTGCCGGGCCAAAAAGGACCAAAACCCAATTGTGTTTATTTCTTTCAACATCGTTATCAAATCACTGCTTTTGATGTGACAACAGGACAATCGTCATGTTTCATGCTTGCCCCTGCCGAGGTGGACCTCTACCATGATTCTCCCACATTTTCCATGGCTTTCCTCAGCTACGATCGTGGTCAAGCTACTACTACTCCCCATTGCACCTCGGGTGGTGAAGAAGTCTGTCCTTCGACTAAAAATGTCGACACGAAGAAAGTTATTGGGAATAACGAGGAGGATGAAACTATATCGTCGTCCAATACCATATTGGACCTTCCTTTAGACATTCTTCAACACATAACAAGACGATTGGTTGTGGTGGGTGAATACAGGAACCTGCATTGTTCCTGTAAAGCATTTAAGTCTATAGCTCCGTTAATAACTTCTGGAGATGATCATGGCGATCTAGTACTCCAGTCTCCTTCCTCATATCCATGGTTTTTCTTCCTGCGACGCCACATGGGAAACCTCCATCTCCACGACTTGAGATGTCGAAACACATTCACCAATAAACACCTACAACTTCCCACATGTTCATCGGCCCATGATGATACTCGCATTTTCTTCTCAAAGGAGCGTTGGTTGCTTGTGTGCAAGGTCCATAACATCTCCGACCCCGATTTGGATCCTGATTATGAGTATCAGTTTACGTTTTGGAATCCTCTTACAAAGGAAGTTCGCACTATACCTGGGATGATGTGCCCTCCTCTTCCTATAAGCATTGGGGTCTCAGCTGCACCAACTTCTCCACATTGTTCTATCATGGGAGTAGTGTCTAATACTATCACAAAAGCAGGTGGTGTATATTTCTTTTTCATCAAATTGGATGCGGGGCACTGGCAATATACGCTAGATGAGCAACTGAATTTTCAACCAAGAGACCACAACATCTCAGTTTTTATGGAGGATAAGTTCTACTTCCTAGACAAGAAAAGAAAATTGGGTGTTTTTAGCTGCCAACAAAGTGTCGAGGGGTATGAATGGGAGCGTCATGTGTATCCGTGGAAGCTCCTTTCCAACAATGTTGACACTGTGATGGTGGATCCTCATTATGATTGTAAATCTGAGACAGCGTATCTGGTGATATGTGGAGGCAAAATCCTATCTATACTAGTGGGTGAACTTGGCAGGTCCATTCTAATATACAGGTTTGATCAAGAGAAGAAGGGTTGGTGGAAGGTCAAGACTTTAGGATCATACATGGTATTTGTGAGTCACACTTCATGTTTCTCTATTAAGACCACAATTCCGGAAATGAGGAACAAAATATACTTCCCTAGAGTGTCTGCTAAAGGAAGCATTGTGTTCTATTCGTTGGATACGCACAAATATCACACCTTTGATTGTGACGAAAATCCGATGGATGATTTCCAGCCAACTAGCGAAGTGCACCTCTGTGGTTGGATAGAGCCAAATCCAGAAACATAAGCTTCTGATGTGTTATTACTATTTCACTTGAAAGGCCAGTAGCTAGCTTGTTGAGTAATGTTATTTTTTTGGGTGCAATGTCGAGTAATGTTATGACTGAAGCAAGCAGTAATATTTCTATTTTGAAGTAATAATATTGGTATTTTATATTAGTATATTTCATATTTTCTTATACGTTTTTACATATACTACAAATATGTACCCATTGTAGTCGAGCTACTCTAATAGCTTATTTTTTTCCCCGCCGAGAGTTCCTTTGCTAATGGACTGGCTCCTGCTCTGCCCACTGGTTTTCTCATGCTCCACTAATAAGTAGACAGAAGTACCTACCCAAATTGATTTATTTTATACGTGAGTGAAGGAGGAGAGTAGATGACAAACCTTTATCCATGAAACTAGCATTGGTCCCGGCCCGTTGGCCGGTGGAGTATAAAATCGGCAAGTGTACTCTGTTGTACTATACTGAACATCGAACATTGCTTCATTGGTGATCAAGAATACCAGTGAGAAAGCGTATTTGAGGTGTTGATCTATTATCCAATCTATTTGATCCATGAATTGGTGTCCATATATCCAATCCATTTGCAAGCTCTATGCATCCTTCATTGGAATTTTGCTGGCTGAGAGACTTTTAGTTTCAAAGATGTTTTATTTCATAAGATAATTGTAGTTCAAATTGTCATACACCAAACAATCAACTAAAATGGGAGATTACTTTATAGCGATGTGTGCAATGAGGGATTTGCTGCGAAAGAAGGCCAAGTCAGAAGTTAAAGTTGCTTTTATATACTTACCCTTCCTTTCGCTAAAACAGGTTTCAAAAAGTAGCACCAGTTTATGTTCTCCCCGTCATTGATGGAACGTTGACACATGATTCTTAGCAGTTGCAGCAACAAACTTCTGTGACGATTACATGAACTATTTCAATTAGATATAACTCAAGTAATCATACCTTGCCAATGATATGAGTTGTGACTTGTGAGGAAGCGGCCACAGGACTGGCCAACTGGAGTTGGCGCGTTTCATTTGTTAAGTAACCAAAATCCAAATGACATTACGCAGCAAACTCGAGCCCCCAATTGGATAATGAACTATAATGAAGCATCTAATATATATAACATTTCAGATGCAGATAACACCAAGCTCAATAAAGCTAAGTAAAGGACAGTTCAAATGTTTAAGATAGAAAAACCAATCTTATAAACCATTCTACTTGAAACCAACAAACTACTCAAGACCTTCAACCTTCTAAAGTCAAACGCCTGCACCATTATGATCAACACCGTCATATTTCTCTCCAATCTTATAGAAGTCCCAACTGCCGCTTATGTAAATATTGCCGCTAACTGGCCTGTGTATAGCAGAATCTGTAGCTAATGGTAGCTTGTGAGATTGTACTTCGTGGAATAGCAGCTACATTAGGCACTATCACCTGATAAAGAAACATCCATATGCAAAACACAATAGTTACCAATAAATACTTGCTTAAAAAGAATCATGTTGATGACAAAATTATACAGATCTCCAATTCTCCAAATTGATGAGCAAAGAGACCACATCAACGGCAAGAAAGACATGAAACCCACAACAATCACATTACCCAAAATTGCAGCATACCTTCTCAGTCGCTTTTCAGTTATTAACATACAGAGTTCCATTCAAACTCGGCTAATCTTGAGATCGATTTGGCAGTGACCAACCCAACTTGAGAAACAAAACCTTAAGCTCGATAAATAAATACCAGCTGTTCAGTTTTTTGGCTTCCAAAAGCTTTACATTACAAATATGAGAAATAAAAGCCATACATAAAAATTTGCAGGCAGAAAGCAAACTGTTGCTATTCAGGAGGAGACTATTCAAAAGCTGAGAAAAATTTGCAGGCAGAGAACTCCAATGGATCCCACAATTGAAGCTCAACAAAAGACCATCCGTATAATTAAACCAAGAAAGATGAACTTGACCTACTTTTATGGCCATTGATCTTAGTCGGAGAGGGAGCATAGGGGAAATAAAGTTGTTAGGGGGAAAACCTAGAAACAGAGTTTCCAGGATGACTTGAGATATTTTATTTCTTCCGGATACAATATCTCTTCTCCAATGTAGTCAGCAAACGACTGAATAGAAAGAGAGAGAGAGAATGAGTTCCCAAACCCTGGAAAACAGGAAGGAAGGCGAGATTTCGATCATAGACTGCGGTTGGGAATTGAGATGAGTCGGCGAGACTGAGTTCTTTGCTTTTTGATGAGCAGAGAGATGTCGTCGGAGTTCGATAAGCAGAGGTATCGACGGGAGAGATTTTGCTATGGCAGAAAGGACGGCGGGGGATTTTGGTCTCAGACTGTGGTTGGGATGAGTAGGTGAGCTTGAATTCTTCGTTTTCTGGTTTGAGGTTGGGGGTTTTGAGTTAAGATTGCGGATGAGAAGTAACGGCGGATTACAGTTTTATCTTTCCGATGGAAAACACACAGCGAGGAAGAGAGGGAGTTTGAATTGACAAAAGAGACCCTCCGCAGTGTGCGGTCGTTTGAGCAAGCGATGACGTGGCAGAAGCTGTTTTTTGACATTGCTTTATAGTGTTTTGTAGACTTCTAATACAACTTATGTTCATCATTTAAGCAATACTGCATAACTGGCTTTTATTTTTATTTCTCATGAAAGCTGCCAGGACGATCTCAATGATAGAAAGGTTGTTGTTTCCAGAGGTGAACAGTACACTGTGATTAGCCCTCAATGGAAAAGAGAATCCCCTGAAACTCATACGACAATTATGAAAAATCCCCTGAATGAGGTTGTACTACAATTAGAGAATCCACTGAATGATGATACTCTTGGCAAGAGCCCATGGCGAGATGACTTCAGACGAGGCTCATGAACTTCTCAGCTTCTTCGGTCTTCCGTTTGTTTTAATTTTCGTGTGAGGGAGGCTGTGCCATTTGTTTAATTTCATTTGATTGAGGAGGTTTGGATGTGGTACATTTGAGCTTCGTATTGAGGGAGGCTGTGCCATTTGTCTAATTTATTACCAAAATTCAAAGTATTAAGCATTGTAGTGTTATAGTTCTTTGATTGTGCTTTGATTTCTAACAAGAAAGCAAAATAAAAGCATAAACACGAGCGTCGAAGAAGATGCTCTATATGACTAGAGAACAAAGTATGCCATCACCCACAAATCCTTCCTCCCCACTGCTATATAAAGACACATAATATTAGTCTGCACTAATTGAACAAATGATTCTTTTCTCGTTGACATTTTTTTTATGTAATTGTATCAAAATGAACCAATCTCTTGAAATATGAATTATTTAGGAGTTCATGAGTATAAAATTGGGTCCCATTCCCATATGCTATTTATTAATGCTCTACCATAATTTTTCACCACAAATGACAAATTTACTTATATTAACAATACTTTTGCAAATACATCGATACGTAACATCCAATTAAAGACAATTACATCAATTTATAAATATTGAACTAAAACTCATCCTTTGGTTTTATAATTGATTCACATAAACCAATAAGCCATGACTTCGATATAAATGGCTCCCGACGAAACTCAGTTTTGAATCCCAGTCAGTCGTGTCCTAATTGGACCCGCGGAGTCAATGGACGGCTAGGCATGGAAACATACATTTGATGGAAATTTTACTGTCCGATCAGCCTACCATATTCTTCGTGAGAGCTGTGATCATCAAGCTTCTACATCACCACTCACGCATAATCAACCTGCCATCAACAATTGGAAGTGGCTTTGGTCGTTGGCTCTCCCACCAAAAATTCGTTTCTTCATCCGGAAATGCTCTAAGAGAGTCATCCCTACAAGGGAAAGACTTTTCTCCAAGTCCTGTGCACCAAGCCCAAATTGTCCCATTTGTGACGCACCAAAGACGATTTTGCACAGCCTCTTCCACTGTCAGCATGCGTCGGAGACTTGGCATCTCTCAGGTTGATTGCTCCTCCCTCTCAAGATGCCTCCTTCTCGTCGATCTACGACTCCCGGCTTTTACCGACGGGATTTGCGCCGACCACCCGATGATAAGATTTGTACCTCCTTGTTTTATATTTTTCCTTATTTTCATATTGTTCTTCTAGATCTGATATTTTTTTTTCTTTGTATTATCACCAGACTCCCGGCTCTGCCGATTTAGCCTATCGGCCACTCCCGGCTATGCCGAATTCGCCTATCGGCGACTCCTGGCTTTTCCGATTTCGCCGATCCGGGACTCCGGCTTTTACCGACTAGATCTGCTCCGACCACCGTATGGTAAGATTTGTACCTCTTGTTTAATGTTTTTTTCATACTGTTCTTCTAAATCTGATTTTTTTCTTAATATCCTAAGCAGATTTCCCACATGGAGGATCTGGTCAGCCGTACCTTCATGGATGGCAGTAGAGAGAAGCTGCCGTGGTAGGTTTTTCTCTCTCGTGTTATTAACGTTTTGGCCTATTTACTTTTTGTTTTTGCAACCTGTTCATAGGCCACAGTTGATTAGAGGCCGTTTTACATTGCATCATGAGCCGAGCCCACAATTCTTCCAAAACGCCCAACGGGCCTCCCACATTTTCAGAACTCTCCGATGGTACTAACGGTCTACTTTCAAATGATTTTGTTTACAGGGCCCAAATCATGTCTGTGTTCATATATAAATGTCGCTAGTGATCTCAGCGAAGAGCAAAATTATCCTTATTCGCCGGTGCTCTCGCTAAACCCTAGCAGACGATTTTCCAGGTTTTCTTCTTCTCTGTACGGTTTCTTTGCTTGGTTTGAAAATGGAAATGGAAGCTGATTATCTTCTTCTATGATTATCCTTTGTTTGGCTAGAAAATGAAAGCTCATTTTCTTCTTCTCTCGACGTTTCCTTTGCTTGGATAGAAAATGGAAGCTCGTTTTCTTCTTCTCTCGTCGTTTCCTTTCTTTGGTTAGAAAATGGAAGCTGATATCTCTGCTCTATCGTCTAAGTTTGCCTTGCTTGTTTTGAAAATGGAAGCTGAATTTCTTTTCTCTGTAATTTTCGTTTGCTAGATTAGAACGGAATATCTCTGCTCTATGGTCGACGTTTGCCTTGTTTTGATATTGGAAGCTGAATTTCTCTTCGCTGTACTTTTCGTTTGCTAGATTTGAAAGGAAGTTGATTTTTCTGTGAGGTTCCATTTGATGCTAGTCTACCAAATGAATTAGATAATTCTCCACTTGTAGCCGGATCTGCTGTATGAATTTCTGTCCATTTTTTTGGATCTTAGGGTTTGTCTGATTAGAACGGATGTTGATTTTCTGTTTTTGTGGAGGTTCCCTTTGATGCTAGTCTACCACGAATTGGATAATTCTTCCGTGTAGTAGGATCTGCTGTATGAATGTTTGGCGACCTCATGGTGTTTGGTATTCTGTCCATTTCCTGGATCTAAGTGTTTGCTTGTTCTTTGATTTGATTTTTGGGTGTTGTTATTTGTTTGATGATTCTTATTCATTTTTCTTTTGTTTCCTGCAAGTAACATTCAAATCTCTTTGATGCTTATCAGGAACTCAATCGATAAGGAGTAAGTATCTGCTGTGTGATGGGTAATTCTCGCCAGTCAAGGTCAAATGAGCTTTTTCTGGTCAACTGGAATTGCATATCTGCTCTGTTATTACGAGTCGCTGTGATTTCGTGAAGCAGATGAGTGCTCATTACTTGTCCTACACTAAGGTATATATTGTTTTGTAGGACAAGTAATAAGCACTTATGCGTTTCACGAAATCACAGTGGCTCATAGTAACAGAGCAGATATTGCAATTTCAGCTGACCAGAAAAAGCTCACTCGACCTTGACTGGCGAGAATTACTTGTCCTACACTAAGGGCAATGCTGAGGAGGAGGAGTTCGTGACTGCACCGGTCCGGTTCAAGAAATTGAAGTAGTCTTTTCTTTTGTGGTTTTGCTCATAATTTGACTGATGGGACGTATATGTTGATGAGTATAGGAAACCTAAAGTCCATATACTCTTCTTGAGTGTTTTCATATCCGGATTGAAATAACATAAACTTGGTACTTTTTTTTAATTGTTTCCCCCTTGTTAGCTTTCATTTAGTTATTTTTTGCAGGTTTAATAAATTGATTTTAGTTTGGGGTTTTTTATATGCGTCAATTTTTTAGCGATTTTTAAGGGTTTAATATTGATTAAATCAATAAAATGTTAATCACTACCCCAGTTTTTATGGACGGTAAGTTTTACTTCTTAGATAAGAAAAAGAAATTGGGTGCTTTTAGATGTGGTCAAAATGTCGAGGGGCAATATGAATGGGAGCGCCATGTATATCCGTGGAAGCTCCTACCAAACAATGTTGAGACTGTGGTGGTGGATCCTCACGATGATCGTAAATCAAAGTCAGAGTATATTGTTGAATGTTGAGGCGAAATTCTATCTATACTAGTGGGCGATCTCGGCAAGTCCATTCTAGTTTACAGGTTCGATCGGGAGAAGAATGGTTGGTAGAAAGTCAAGACTTTAGAATCCTACATGGTATTCGTGAGTCACACCTCGTGTTTCTCCATTGCGGCGACAATCCCCGAAATGGGGAATAAAATATACTTCCCTAGAGTATCGGTTAAAGGAAACATTGTTTTCTATTTGTTGGATACGTGCAAATATCACACATTTTACTGTAACGAAAGTGTGATGGATGGTTTCCAACGAACTAGCGAATTTCATCTATGTGGTTGGATAGAGGCTAGTTCAGAAACATAAACTTTTTATGTGTTATTGCTACTCTCACTTGAACAAATGATTGTTTTCTCGTTGACATTTTTTTATGTAATTGTATCAAAATGAACCAAACTCTTGAAATATGAATTATTTAGGAGTTCATGAGTATAAAATTGGGTTCCGTATGCTATTTATTAATGCTCTAACATAGTTTTTCACCACAAATGACAAATTTACTTATATTAACAATACTTTTGCAAATAAGAAAGCAACAAGAAAAAAGCATAAACACGAGAGCCGAAGAAAATACTATATATGACTGAAGAACTCAGTTGTATTGTACATGTGAGTGTGGCTGGACATTTGTACACTTGGTTTGATCATTTAGATTTTTCAAGCACCTAAAAGTGACATCTCATTTCACTCAAGATTGCCACTCTACATGAATAGTGCGCGAATGGGCGAGATCGAGCTGCGTTTCTTTTTGCTTCAATCCTCATGCAAGACGTAGAGTGAAAAGAAACAGTAAAATGATTATTTGGTCATTTGGATGACTGATCTGGGTGTGGGACTTGAGTTAACATTTAACATATGCATTATTTAGTTCAAAATCTATATGTTTGGTTTGCCCAAAAATAATGACATTTGTGATCGATTACCCTCATTTTATGAGGACCGATAAACCCACAAAACTCATCTATCTTTTTGTCATATTTTAAATTCAAATCATTGATTTTTTAATCGTACTCATCCAAATGACTCTTATGAAAACTCCTAAGTCCTAACAATCATCTATTCAAACTTGAAAGTATATTATAATCAATAAACGCAATATCAACCCCCTTTTTTCTTTGATAAAGTATCAAACCTTCTTTACTCTTTAGTTAGGCTTTGACACAAAGAAAATATCTTTGACTCCCATTTTTCTCCTTTTGGTAATTAGCCTTCATTTTGGTGACTATAATTGCCTTCCAATAACAACGTTCCTAAATGTATGTAGTGGAGGCTGGTATATGCACATATATCTGCTACCTGTCCCAACAAGATATGAATTGAATGATTTTTGGTCAATTAATCAAAATACTTAAATCCTTTCCTTTCCTTTCCGTTGCTATATAAATTAAGGCACATAAAATTAGTCTGCACTCATTGCTCTACACTCTCTAGTCTCTACAAACTCCATCTCCCCCTTGGCTCCCTTCTCCAGTTCTCCCCCACCTCACATACTCTCTTCTCAATTTGTTCAAACACACGCTTTGACGGACAAAAATGGCAGCACCGAAAACAGTATCAGAGGATGTATCATCATCAAGCCCTGACAACAGCCTGCAGGTTTCGCAGTACGAAGATGCTGCAGCCCAATCACCATTGCCCCAACGTCTCTTCAAATCATTCCACCACCATTACCCCTCTGGCTTTCTCAGGAAGGTATGGGTCGTCAATAGGGCTGACTATTTGGTCCGGGACTGTTTGGTTTTACCCGAAACCGGATCGTATAACCCGGACCAGGACCGGACCGTATAGCAAACAATCCAATCTCATATTCGAGCTTAGATTTGAGGTAAAAGATCGGATAAGAGACTCCCAACAGCTAAAATCAAGATCAAATTAGGACCGGACCGGGTCAAGACCGGATTGTATCCAATCCAATCTTTGGTCCTTATATTCCCGAAAAGACCGAACTGAGACCGGATCAATTTGGTCCAATTTAACTGGACCAGACCGTATAGTCACCCCTAGTCGTCAACTGCAAGCTCAGCTCAGGCGATGGTGGTTGAACTGATCATTTGGGGAAGGTCTTAGTTTGAACAAATTTAATCTGATTTTTCGTTTGAACTGATCACTAACCTCGTCGGATGGAGTTCTCTCGATTTAATTATTCTTATGGTCGAGGTTACTTCTTATCGTAGATCAATGTCTTAGAACTCGTTTGATAACGATGTCAAGATTTAACTTCCACGGCCGGCCTTTTTATCAAAACTCATTGTTTATGTTTCTCTAGCGACTTTTCCCTCGTTATTTATGAGATTCATATTTCGCATTATGGTCGTGGTGTCCTCGCTAAAGGGCATAATTAGAATTTATTTTTGATGATCATGATTCATGTGGGTGTTAATTATGTAACATTATTATTTTTTTTTCGAAATTGACTCGCAGGTGTTGGCTGAGGTTATAGCAACGTATCTGTTGGTGTTCGTGACATGTGGGGCGGCAGCTATTAGTAACTCCGACGAGCACAGAGTGTCAAAGCTGGGGGCTTCCGTCGCCGGCGGGCTAATAGTGACGGTGATGATCTACGCGGTGGGACATATCTCCGGGGCACACATGAATCCTGCCGTCACCACTGCTTTTGCCGCCGTTAGACACTTCCCCTGGAAACAGGTACATTCTCAATTAGAAATTCCCGCCGCTAATTTCGACAATGTATTCATTTTATTTTAATAATATATTGTTAAGCGTCATATATGCCAAGGTTATCTTCTTGGAGATACTCTATTTTTGTTTTATTTCTAGTGAAAATTAATCTGAAAGTAGTTTTTTCTTCCTTCTCGTAAAGATCATTCGTATTGATCGAGAAAACAACCAGTAAAATAACAAAATCAGACTTTGGAAGTAGTTTGATTGGTCATGTTATTATGTTAATAAGATAAACCAAATTGGTGGTAGAGGATGGAGATTGTGAAATCCCTAGTTTCATTATTGTCTTTTCTGAAGAAATGAATTATTCATAAGTCGGTGGTAGCTAGAGGATGGAGATATATGGCAACCAGTAGCCCATATGGATGATGAAGATGATTGTAGGGCAGCTCTGAATTAACTGGTTTGTCGCCCTGACGAATGCTACATTGCATGAAAGTTCAGTATGCTCTTCATGATGTTTTGTTCCCAAATTAATTACAGACAACGACTTGATGGTATGGTACGTAGGCGCCATTGGAATTTGGAGGGACTCTTTGTTGAGAGCTGATCAGTAGCTTGTTCTGAGCAGAAAACTTTGTGAACAGTGATCGGTAGCTTGTTTTGAACAGTGATAAAAAATACTTAAAGAAAACGTAAAATATTTGTTTCGCAAGTCTTTGGAACTAATCTTATTCTTAGCCACAAAAAAATTCTAAAGAATCCCAAACAAATCAAACCCTCTACATTGAGAGCTAAAATAATGAATGTTGATAAATCATTTGAATTTGAAATTTACTGTCATCGTTGTAAAAAATGTATCACTTATAAAGAATATCGATCTCGTTCTTATATCCAACGAAAGATCGAAAAGAAATTTTTCGAAAATTATATAAGGGATAAGCATAAAGACGAGAGGGCAATTGAGATCGAAAAGGAAGGGACAGAGCTGCAAGTAATAGCCTTATATTTATGGCGAATTATATTTATTGGCCGTCAACCAACCACATGGAGAACCACAGATGGACATGGTTGTCCTCTCAAGTTTTCTATTGCTATGTGTTAGGTACAAGAATGACTTGTCCCTTAATTCTTTGAAAAGGAAGAAGATGAAGAAAGAAAAGAAAAGACTCAATAGTGGAATCAAATAACCAATTTTGAAAGAATAATATAAAAACATTAAAAAAAACCATCATTATTAGTGGAATATGCAATTATAATAATGGTATGCGTCTTGAAGTTACTGAATGAAAACTACAAGTGACTGAATAAAAACTACATTAATTTCGGATAGGGGAATTCAGAGTGATCGAAGTGATTGACGGAAGGAAAACTACATTAATTTTGTATGCCTTGATTTAATTGTCTTTATGTCTTAGCCGCCGATAATTATAATAAACACAAGCTTATCTTATTCTCTTAAGGGTCCATCTTTAAGAAAAATCGTGAGTTATTGGATTGAGATACTTTGTTTTTGCATATAAGATATAAAATAGTGAATAATTCAACGTTACATATATTAAAAAAAAAAAATGGACAATAGATATAGGAAGGTTTTTTTTATACTTTAAGAAAATCATGGAGCACTCTAAATCAACTTATCCGAGGGCCGCTTTATGTCTATGGGGATTATTTAATCGTAAAGCATTTTCCTATACCCGTTGCATAACATGCATGAATTAGAATGACTGGTAATTATATATGAGTCGCTAGCTATAAACGAAGTGCAGATAATTAACTATGGTAATTACTGTTTATTATCAGGTGCCATTTTATGCAGCAGCCCAACTGGGAGGAGCAATTGCAGCCAGCTTCACCCTTCGAGTTCTGCTTCACCCCATCGAAAACGTCGGCACCACCTCCCCCGCCGGCTCTGAATTCCGGGCTCTCGTCATGGAGATCGTCGTCACTTTCTCGATGATGTTCGTCACCTCCGCCGTAGCCACCGACACCAAAGCTGTAAGAAGATCAGAGATAACAAACTCAAAAGCAAAACTCTAACACAATAATATTAATAATAACCGTCATATAAATTGTAATAGAGTAAAATAAACCGGCGCTGGTTAACTGGTTCGGTTAGGTGGTTGCATACAAAACCCGTAACCAAGTTGTTAACATAATGATTAATGAACAAACTTGATAATTTTGACGATCCATTAAAAAGTACATAAAAAAAAAAAAATTGTTAAAGAGTTCACCTACTCGTACTATGTTACAATTTCGATTACATGCTTCAGACTCGTAACCGAAATACAACTCAGTTCAAAATTGAAAACCGATCATTTAACCGGTTCAGTTAATCAAACAACCTCCAAAACCTGTTAGAATCCCATAATAATTCTACCTCGACCATCTTCGCCTTCTTATTACTTACTGTATAGTATATTCTAACCCTGCAGGTTGGAGAGCTGGCAGGCATGGCAGTTGGTTCAGCTGTATGCATAACGTCAATCTTGGCCGGGTAAGTACGTACCAAATTTTCCAAACCAACTATTTTCCATGTACAACCAGAAACATTCACATTCTAACCGGCGGTCTGGCCGATACTCAGACCGGTTTCAGGAGGGTCGATGAACCCGGCAAGGACACTCGGACCGGCTATTGCTAGCTCACACTATAAAGGGTTATGGGTGTACCTAGTTGGACCCATAACCGGAACAATGCTGGGAGCTTTGTCTTACAATTGCATCAAAGTGGCCGATGATAAGGACCCGCAAGCCATTTCCGCTCGGTCCTTCTCGTTGAAGCTTAGAAGAATGAAGAGCGGCAATGTTGCTCCAAACAGAGACCCTTTTGAGCATCTCTAAACCGATTAGAGGTGCCAACCATGATCACTCTCCTGAAAAGAAAAGGGGGGAAAAAATGTTCTAAGTTTGGGGTGTATTTCTATCATTTGCCAAGTGGAAGGGTCATTGGATTGAATATTAAGAGTTAGGGATACTAAATTGTCAAATTGTAAAATATGTGAGGGACAAATGGGTTTGTGCATCAACAGGGGCTATAATGTTTACTCTCTTGTAAAATATTCTGTTATTTGGACCTCGGAGAGTATTTGGGTCGTTTGTTAGCTGTATTGGGTAACCGTCAAAAGTTTGGGTACTTCATTATGATATGCAAAACAGTGAACTAGCAACACTACATATGAACCATTAGATAATTTCTTGATGAAGTAAAAGCCTTCTACTTCTACATGATGTTGGTGCAAGATTCAAACCTAAAGTATAATAAAAGTTGTCACATTCCATGACAACTAAACCAACCTTCTGTAAAAAACAGAATAAAAATTGGGTCAACTTTTGAACTATTTTCTGAAATTGTTGAAGTTTGGCTGTCTAAAACAGAAGATGCAAAATATTTGGATAAAATTTGAAATCTAGACACAACAGTTCTATAAACATCTGGAAGTTTAGGTACTAAAGTTTAAAATACTAAATACTTCTGTACGAGATAGTAATTTAGGAGAACATTCGCAATATGTAGAGCCGACAATGATTCAAAAAGAGACTATGCTCTATGAAGTCAACGTCAATTGAATCACAACAATACATAAACTTCGAAAATGCTCATAAACAGTATTGCCAATAAATATCGAGTTGATATCATTTTGCATTCTAAGAGTTACATTTGTTACTTACTACGCACACAAGAGTAACGATCATAGGTCAAACCGCCTTTTCACTCACTGCAAAGCTCTTGGGATTTATGGTGATGCTTTTAGTGCAGTTATCGGTTTTGTAGATCCCCACCAGCCGATCTGCCAACTCAAACATGTTGTTCCTAAGACTGCATAATATAAGGCAACAGAAGATCGGTCCAAATATTGCAAATCAGTAGCTTGAGCATCAAGGTTCTAAGACAGTAATGGCCAGGTAACAGAATAAAGGAAAACAAACCAAACATGGTTAACCATACCTTATGATGACGAATTGAGCATCCTTTGTGCGGTCCTTAACGTAGTGCCCCACAATTGAGACATTCTTGAAGTCTGGATGACCAAGTGAGTGAAACAACCAAGTTAAAAAAAGAGAATGGATGTGAGAAACCCATGAAAAAGGCTGTTCAAGAAGGGACTGTGTTCGTGGGTTACCTAACGCAGCATCGATCTCATCCATCACATACAGTGGTGTAGGCTTGTAATGGTGGAGTGCAAAAACCAGAGCTAGGGAACTCAGAGTCTGGAGGTCAGAGATGGTAGATGTTAGTATATTCCGCCACCGGGAAAAGGCTGTTACTATTTTGACTCAACCGAGGTCAGGTTCAAGAATCTAGTAGCCAGATAATGGTAAAAACTTGTATGGAGATTAACCTTTTCGCCACCGGACAAATTAGCAATGTTCTTCCAGCTTTTCTTTGGCGGCCTGACACTGAATACAACACCTTCAGAAAACGGATCCAAAGAATCCACTAGCTCTAGCTCTGCATCCCCTCCAAGAGTAATCATCTGAGCCGAAGGTATCAACAGAGTCAGACATAACGAAGTAACAGCAGTAATAATTTGGAGTAAGTTGGCTGAGGGCAAAATGCTAATGGAAAAGACTGTTTTAGTAAAAAAATTGTTGAAGGGAGTTAAGGATATCTCAAGCGAGGAACCTGATACATCTCCTTCAGCTTTAATGATATGGCATTGAACCCAGCCATGAACTCATCCAGCCTGCTTTCAAAAAAACAAACTGGCTTAGCTGCTGAATCATAATGAAATAAAATACATTCCACAAACATGCGTATAAAATATAACTAAGCAATGCCTTACCTCTTCTTTCTCAATTCGTCATGTTGCCTTTTGACATCATCACGGTTCTGAGTGACCGCATTGAGCTCCTCAACTCTTTCATTATAGAGGGCAACCTTTCCTCGGTACCTGTCAGAACCCAAGATATTAATAGAGGGCCGGCCAAGTTTGAAATTCAATTATAATGGTTATTGTCAGAAACATCAGTAGTGAAAGAACATAAGGAAACCATACTCTGTGATTGAATCAAGATTAGGATTCATCTCTTTCAGTTGTGCTTGCAACAACGTAACCATTTCAAGGGCCTTCTTCAGATCACAATCCTCAGAAAGATTTCCATCAGCTAAGGTTGCTTGAAGCTTTTCAGGGTCCACGAGATCTTTCTGGATTCTGCAACAAAAGAGCACGTACGCACTTTTTCAAGATCATAAAATCAAACTAAAGGTCCACCTTTTAAATGTTAGAATAAACATACTGTTCCATTTGTAGGGTAATTGCATTTTGCAAGTCATCAAGCTTTTTCTTATAGCCTTTGCCTCTAATTTCCAACTCCCTGTATCCTTTCTTCATATCTTTTAGCTTGAAGTCAGCATCAACCTGACCACAAAATGTAACAGTCAGCCATGAATTCCATTCAAATTCCAAATTGACTTAAAATTGCCAAAAACAGTTACCTCTGATGCACGCAACTCATCGACCACCTTCTTCAATTGCTCATAATCATCTCTAGCTTTATCCAAGACTCCCTTATGTTCGTCAATTAACTGCCATAGACGTAATAAACCACACTTAAGCCACAACAAGACTCTGGAGATAGACGTAATAACCCACACTTTATCCAAGTCTCCCTTATGTTCGTCAAAAAGCTACCAGACCTCCTGTGTTTTCTTGTACTTCTCTTGAACATCAAAGGCTTTCACTTCTATATCTTTGAAAACACCTTTCAATTTTTCCTTTTCATCTTCTAGTCGTTCCTTTTCCTTCCTTGAGTCTTCAATCCCCTTCGTCAGCTTCTTTATCAGTTTCTGACTTGTCTCAATTTGCACTTTATGGCGATTGATCTCAGAACAACTTTTATCTATATCCTAATAAATAGAAAGAGCATTTATCAGCAATTGCACGAGACTCTTTAAGTAATTTCAATATTTCAAGGTGAATGATCACTTACAGAATGAATACTTTGGACCTTTATCTTCTGATCATTCAACAATTGACCACCAGCATTTTCAATCTTTTTCTGAAGCGCGAGAGCCTGAAACAAGAAAAGGCTGCAATGAATTATCCGCCTTCTCATTTCAGTAAAACAGCAATTGGGAAAAGAAACCAAGCAAAACATATTTGCAAACCTTCTCCTTTAGCTCCTTAGACCCTTGCACAAGTCTATCAATCTCTTTCTCCTCCGCAGATATCATTTTCTCAAGCTCCAGTAGCCTATCAAGCTCGTCCTTCTTTGGCTGTGACGCAGCCTCCAAAGATGAAAGCTGCTTCTTAAGATAAGTATGTTCTGATCTCAAACTATCAATCTGCAGAAAGAAAAGTTATTACAAAACTGCTTTCATTTTCTTAGCAACTCATACAAAACAAAGACTATGATAGACACAAGATTACCTCTTTCTGGCTTTTAGCAAGTTCCATCTCCAAATGTGAAACCTGCTTCTCTGCTGATTGGTAATTTCTCACCGCATCAGCAATTCTTTTGCCAACATCTTTCAATTTCAAAACCAATGTAGAGAGTTCATTTTCTTCATTCTGCACGGCTTCTGCAGACACACTAGCAGCTCGAATCGATGTACCCATCTTCCCACCCCTGGGTTTACTTCCTCCACCACTCATTGTACCAGCTGTTTCAAAAAGTGCACCATCCAGTGTAACCACACGTCGAAAGTCTGTGTTTCCATACGCAATTCTTGTTGCCTTGTATGTTCAAAACAGAAGTCAGTCTAGCTTCATTTCAATTTGTTACCAGCATCAACATTCAGTAGTAAATCCCAATTACATGCAACGAACCAAACTATTCTTGAGATGTATATACCAGTAAATCGTACACAACACCATGGTAGAATTAATGAATATTTTAAAGCTCTAATCGTTTGATGATACGAAAGTTAATAAACTAAAGTCGCAACATGATCAATCACATGGAAAATCACCATTTAGGTAGCTAAGATCTACTCAAAGATGCTACAATTCTGACAAATGGAATTGCTTCTGCAATGTCTTGCCACAAAGATTAGTGTAAAAATAAGACTTTAAAGAAGCGCATAAATTCTGATCAGAGAGAGATGCAAGGAACTTCAAAGCTATTTTGGGACAGGTCATGCCAATATCAAACTGGAAAAGATCATACATAAAAGGTCTGAACTTAAATGATAAATCTACCAGTTGCAGTATGGAACCAAATTTATTTCATCTTTATCTGTTGCTAGAATATATTGCAAGAGATAGAATAGGAAACTAGATGATACCTGATCCAGATCCTTTGCTACGACAGTGTTTCGCAGTACAGCATAGAAAGCAACTTTCATTCTCTTATCCTGAATCCTCACCAGATCAAAAAGACGTGGAACACTCTCGGGAGTGCTCACGGTCTCTTTCATTTTTGGCAGTAAGTCAGCTTGTTTTTCCTGCATGAGGGAAGAGCAAAATAGCAGCTCAGAGTTCCTAAAACATCAGACCATATCCTCTCCCCCCAATGAACTGTATCACATTATTTTCTCCAATTCCTAACCAAAACTGAAACAACCTTATCAAACATCCGAGGACATAATACAGCTCCTCCAAAAAATTAAGACCCCAATAATAAATCTGATGAAGAACAAAATTGGCAAAGAGGAACAACCACTATCAGTGAAAGGCATTTCCTTTGGCATTGTACAATACGGTCCCCACACCAATTTCCTAACTAGTAAGTCGTTTTTTTGTATTAACCATAAATAGCGCAACCAGCAATAAAAGAAACTCATACCAGTATCATGAAAGTTGCAATTCCAAGGTTCTCCCGTCTAAGCAATTCAACACATGCTTGGGCTGCCGCAGTCGTCTCAACAACGATATAATCAAGTCCACCGCAGGCTGTCGATATGGCAACATCATACTTTGCTGCAATAATATAAGCACATAAGTTATAGGAAAAGGCCCCTGGGACTTTGACCATAATATCATAAGTAACATGCAAAAGACTTGAACTGCTAAAGATAGAGGTTTACAATAACAGGCACCATTCACAAGACAAGTTGGTCCATGGAACCTCAAAATAGAGAGAAACACTTTGTTGGTCACTTTTAGAACTACAAGTTCTGCTTCTTCCGGCAGTCTAACAAACAATAGCCAACGGCGAAGTGACTTTACCAGGGATTCAATTTATGTAAATATGGGCGATCGGATCTCATTCTTGCAAATGCAGGATACTTAGTAGAAAGTTGAAATACCAGGAAAAGTTATAACTCACCATCAATGGCACCTAAGTCGCCCATTCTTCCGTATATCCCCTCTATGCTTTTAGATTCTTTGGCATGTAAGATTGCTTTCAGGACAGACCCCTGACTTTTCTCTGAATCAATGATTGACTTAAGTTCTGCAACCTTCTGCCTTGCCGCTTGTTCAAGTGGAATCAGTCTTTCTTGTTCTTTGATGCACTCCTGCAAAGGGTGGAAGTTTTAGCACCAGGTTTCTAGTCAAGAACAAGAAACGGTTGGAACTAAGTTAGATAATAATCAAAAGCACAAACTTGCTCGGTTTTATGAGATTCTGATGCTTCAATCTTCTTTTGTTCAATTTCACTTTGCAACTTCTCAATGTTCGCTGTTTTTTCTCCAATTGTTCCATGTATGCTGTCCATCTGCTTACGTGCATTCTCAAATGCTGCATGACCAGCTTCATGCTGCAATAATTTACAGAGCAATATTAAGAAACTATATCACATGCTTGAAAACGAAATCACTAAAAGGAAGGGGGAAAAATGGTCAGTTCTCAATTTGTAGAATTTGAAATAATCTGTTTGACCCAGAGAGTCCATCTTAATTCAACGCATTCTGGCTGGTCACATTGTTTTCTGTATAATGGTTGCTGCTCATATTGTTAAACAACAATCTGACAGTGATCTTCAAATACACAGGTCCTACCAGTAAACATATCACTAAGAAAAGGCATGCGGGACCTATATGCAGAAATCAAGGGACTTCTGAACAAATATACAAGATTTGCATACTGTCTCGAAAACCAAGACAAAGTTACCTTATCAGTCAAAAGCTTGCTCTCTGTGCGAGCAACTTCAAGTTTCCCTTTGTGATCAATCAGTTGCTTCTCCCAAGGTTCTAATTCAGCACGAACTATTGCAAGCTCGGAACGGTACGCCTCCGCTTCACCTATTTACATTAAATAACAAGTCAAAAGACCCAGAAAATAATAAACATTTCCAAGCTCCATGCCTTAACTCAAAGTCTGTTAGTGTAACTACGGATGAATTCATACTTTTAACAAACCATTTCCAATTCAGGCTGTAACCAAAATAAGCCAGCTTGAATATGAGTACAAAGGAATGAATACAACAAAACATACTCGTTTTTAGCATCTCAGTTTGACATGATCCGAAAATTGTGATATAAGGGAAAAAGTCAGCTATATCATGCCCTTTTCCTATTGAGTGAACTCCCAAGAAACCATCCAATATATCATTGCAGTAACAATGCTTGAATGTAAAGTTACTTTTCATCAGAAATAATGAAGGTAGAGAACAACCTTTTGAACGCTCTTTTATGTCTTCCAATACTTTCTCCTCTTGTGACAAAAGATTTTGCAGCTTTGGGACTTTATCTTCAAGTTGTGGGATCAAATTTGTTGATTCCTCGCACTCCTTTGTCAGGTCATTGATTTTTGAGGAGTCCTGTTAAGGGATCAGAAGTTAGGAAGTGCCCTCTTCTTCTTTAACTTACGCACATGCATACCTTTTCAAGTTTGTCATCAAGCTTCTTGATCTTCTGCTTCTTGTGCTTCAAATCCTCCCGGTACTTAACATCCTGTCTTTCAAACTCCCGAAATTTATCTTTGCAGGTTTTGAGATCATCGTTTAGTTCCTGCATATGAGAAAATTTGAGCAACATTCCCAGAAATATACGATAAATAGCATAGAAAATAGGATAACTGATAGACATAAGTTTTTCAACAGCAACAATGAACGGGTCACTACTTATACTTCTGGAATTTGTGCCAAACTGTAAGGATGGCTATGCAAACCTCGTGTCTTTTCATGTACTTATTGTGCACAGTTTCAAGCTCCTTCAGTGTCTTGTTACTCTCTTGAATCTTCCCTCTAGACAGAATTTGCAGAGAGATATTAAGCTCCATGGGTTATCTTTGGTTCAATTGGGAAAAATGCATAAAAAGTTTGCCAACGCATCAACCTGTCAGATTTCAGGCTTTCTTCAAGGGTGGATATGTTAGTTTCTACTTCCACCATTTTGGTAGAGGTATCTTCAAAAGCCAATTTAGATGCTTTCTCTTGCCACTTCAGGTGGGATAGCTCTTTAAGCATGTAGTTCTCTGCTTCATTCTTCACATCCTATTGAACAGAAGACAAATAGCTTAGTACTTGAATGTACTTGAGCAAACTAAAGAACAGCAGCAGGTACACACCTCCAAGCCATCCCTTTCTTTCTCAGCTAGCTTTACCATTTGAACTACTCCAGATCTTTTATCATTAAGAGCCTCCAAACTACAAACCAAATTTGAATACATGAGAAGTCAGAAAGTACTTGCCACCACCTAATAAGTTTCACTGGACCATCCAGCAAATACTGCAGACAACCAATTAGTTGTAGGATTTTATAGTCCTCAAACTATATTCTCACGAACGAAATCTTCAGAATATACCACTTCCTTTATCATTATAAAAGCTAAGGAGAAGTGGCATAACAAACGGTCTCCTGTATAGACATTCACTTTTCTTTTTCCAAACCATATAGACCATGTAATTGGATGTTACGCTCCTGATCTTTCTGGAAACGTTAGTCTACAACAATTTATTCCTAGAGACCACTGGAACTCCTAACTTAAACTAACTATAACCAGAATACAGATACTACTCCAAACACAATTTATCAAATGCAGGTTCTAGCATCATAGAGATGGGGAAAATTAGAATATGCTGTCATTATCGAAATGTACTCACTCCTTGGATGCCTCGTCTATTTTCTCTACATATTTGTTAGTCCCAATAATGTCTTCCAAGTATTCAAGAAAACCTTCATCATGAGGACCTTGAGCTTTTGGCTTCATCAATGAGATCTGCTCAACTTCACCCTAATCATGAAAAGGGAAAGTCGCTTTTAGAAATGTCAGAAACAAACTTCTAGACTCAAACATGACAGACAAGTAGGAAAACAAACCTGAAGAATCAAAAACCGGTTGTTATCAAGGTCCACTCCTTTTTCTTTAAGTTTTTTTGTGACCTCTGTAAAATTACTTGAGCGGTCATTGATATAATATTTTGATGAGTTATCCCGAAATGCAACTCTCTTAATCACAAAATCACTTCCTGGAACAGCCTCGTAGTTACCATCATCCTGAAAAGAATATGTAGTTAGGCCATCAATCTTTGTAAATGCCAGGAAATCGGCAGAGCAAATATCTTTTCCTACTAACTCATAAAAAAAAACCATAGAATAAGAATAAAATATTAGGGAAGCTTACCAGGTCAACGATCTCCTGGAAGTGCACAGAAACAGCAGCACTGCTCAAATTCTGGTGATTTGTGGAGTTGTGAATAAGCTCCGAAACTTTGTTAAGCCTCATCTAGACAACTCAATTTCAACACAAGAAGATGGTTAGCCCCAAATCAAAACCCCCTAACCATCGACTGTTTTCCTGAATCCTCCAAGTCAAATGCACATACAGTTTCATAGTTCCAAAAATTTGCTAATTTCTGCTATCTCAATCATTTGACATGAAAGAATTTGAAGGTACCTGCTTTGCTCGCTTCCCAAACACGAACAACATTGCATCTATCACGTTGCTCTTTCCACTTCCGTTGGGTCCAACCACTGCAGAGAAACTCTGGAGTTGACCAATTCAGCCACCAAGCCGGAAGAAAACCGAACACAGGAGAAACCATTTCAGCAATAGGAATTAGGAAGACACAAAATTTTAAAAACCACCAATTACACTGCATTTTTTCATTTCCTCAAGTAAACCGATAAGAACTTTGCCCAGTGGAAGTTGACAACTCAAAATTGCAATCAACTGATTAACTCATAGAATTAGGCAACCCACTAACTTGAGTAGCCCGTAACCAAGACTAATTTGCAGCTGGATCCTACGAGTAACTCAGAACCCTAGATTTCACAAAATTATGCTGACAAAAGGAAGAACGACGAGCAGGAACTCTACCCAAAACCCTAACCTTGTGGAAAGGACCGACGCGCTGTTCGCCGGCGTAAGACTTGAAATTCATCATCACCATTTCCTTGATGAACAGCCTGGGACCTCTTGAAGAACCTGTGGATCGAGAGACCTCGGGCTCCGTGGCCGTGAAATCATCCCCAGTTTCCATATCCATCAAAAAGGCACTTCCTACTCAAGAGAACTTCTGGCTAGCTTTACTTCAGTTCAACTTCACGGGGTCACAAATCTCCAAGCTGATTCTCGATCTTGAACCTTCAATTTCTATTCTCCTCCTTAGTTCCTTCCGGATGCTGCAGATTGCTCTCTTCAGTCTGCTCCCCTTTGCCGTCGTGATTGGCCCGTCAACGCAATCCACTAGCTGACCTCGTTCTCGCCCTCCTCACTCTCCTTAACCCACTGCTGCGCTCTCCCAATTGTGTGCTTTTCCTCTGCGAAGGGAGACGTAGGAGAAGGAATTCTTGCCGGAGAGACGATTTCTCTTTTGCTTTTTAGTTTTTTGTTTTATTGGTTTTCGCGATTGAAGAGGGGGAAACTCTGGAGGCTTGGCGGGAACATGAAACTGCCAAGAGGTTTCAAAGCTTAGATGTTGATGTGGACCAAGGCCCAATGTGATGGTTCGTGGAACTTTCAGTCCATGGACTATCCAAGGCCCATAGAGGTTTGGACTCTGGGTCATTGATGGTACACGGTTGCCTTTGAGCTTGTTATCCCGCGCCCTTTCACACTGCATTTAGAGCATCTCAACTCTCAAGCATGAGTCGTAATTAAGTTTGCACAGGCGATCATCATACATTGTGCTTTAATTAACTGTTAATATTGGAGGTTGTGGAGATTCGAACGCACGACCGCTTGACCAGATCAGCTCTGATACCATGTCATAAACCAGTTAATCTCAATAACTCGAATTATTGGAACTAACTAGTTTACGATAGAATTGTTCGTTCTCGGAAGTGTCAATATTAGTAGTTTCATTGAATACACAATATTCATAGTTGCACATTTCCTTCCAACCTTCAAATTATAAGGAATATAGATTTTGTCATTTTGAAGATGTCACTAGAATACTCGTATAAATGTCCTTGACAAATGACATGCAGAAGCATAAACTAGTTTAAGTGACACGGTGAACCCATACATACAGTTGAAGGTGTTCCAAGTTCCAACTTTAAATCCTGACGGGTATATATTTACCAATTTTCTAATTTTTTAAAATATTTTTTTGCGAAGTCTACGTATATTTTCAGTTATTAATTTGAAACTATGAAGGAGGTCATGACCTCCAAACCTATTGAGATTGAAAATTCAAAATCATAAACTTAATCTGCTTGTATTTTATAACGATTGTAGAAGGTAAAAAAAAAAAAGGAAAAAAAGAGACGAGTAATAGATGATACAGACATATGCAAAGATTTTGTAAGGTAGAGATAATTGAGATGGGGGATCTGAAACCATAAATGCCAATAATGGACATTGCAACAACAGACAGGGGCATGCTACTGAAACAGAGCCCCTTTTTTTGCCTTTCCTCTTCCCACCATCTTCTACAATTGGTCCTGGTCCTCCTTCCCTGCAACAACCACCTCCATGTCTGACCACTGGATCCACCCACATGATCAACCGGCCCGGGTAGTATTTTGTTTGTTCAAACCTCCAATCAAACCCAACCATGTATAACAGCAGCAGATTACAAGTTACAACCCACAGACTCAGAACTTTAAGGATAAATATATCAGTAGTAGTGAATGTCATCAAGTAGGCTTTTATTTTAATTTAAGGGCATTTGGGGCCGCCTTGCTGGGTTTTCCAGTTGTTGTAGCAAGGGCAGACGGCCTTGTTGCCGTAGTAACCCGGTGGGACGCAGAGGCACTTGCTGCAACACTTTTGGCAGAAGAACATGCACGGCTTGTGGTACTGCGTCCTGCTGCACCTCCTACTACACTGCGACGGACACTCTGCATGCGAAAAAAATAGAAAACGGTAAAAACAAAAACGGAACTTTACTCTCTACTCTAGTCCATCATTAGTCAACTGTCAGCACAGACTGTGCCGTTTGACCACGGTCAAAAAATTGCAGAGGGGAAAAAGAAGACCAGCTAGGTAGCTTACGGTTGCTTCTCAGACTCCCCGGCCCATATTTGCTCTGCATCCAAATTGCAACGACAACCCACAAACAAAGTGAGAAAGCAAGTTAACATTTCAGTCACATTGATAAAAGAGACCCACAAGTTTATGGTTACCTTGTTGTTGTAGTGGTGGCCGCCGTGTCCATGGGAAGCCATAACCTGCAACCAAAGCGGATCGGAGGAAGGAAAGGAGTAAGTACTTTCAAGAAGAGCAGAGTTGACTACAAGTCTTGTTCTGATTACTAACATTGTGACTCTGGAAGCTGAAGCTATAGGGAAGGACGGAAAGTGTACCAGAGTTTGGAGCATGGAAATGGCGATGAGTGCCAGGAGAAACACCATGACACCCAGCAGCTTGGCCATGGCTATGATGGGGAACTAGCTAGCTAGCTAGATGGAGTGTTATGAGAGAACCAGATGATGTGCAAACAAGGATGATCTTGGGGGTTACCCTATTTATAGACTGATGAGAACTTCCTTCTTCTTGTCCCAGTGGTGACATGAAACGGAGGATTGTTTATTCTTTTCTAGGCGGAGGCAAGGGGAAGAAGGCAGCATTGATTTTCTAACACTCACTACAGTAGTTACACCACTTTATATTTCCATTCTCTTCAAAGTTAGTTACTATGATTATAGTTTCAATCAAAGAGACTAATGGTTCAAATCACATTTTAAATGAACTTTTTTACAAGGACAACGGTGTGGACTATGGATCTTCATGTGTTTTGCAGGGTAACTTACTTTGTTTAAGTACCTTTAATTTCCTTGATAAAGGGGCCGTAATTTCATGAGCTTTTGCAGTCCATTAGCAAAGCTACCTACCTGAAAATTAGCATGCGCATTAACAGCACAAAAGAGAGAATGGCCGGCCCTTCCCCATACTGCAGTCCCACATATCAAAGATTCATAATGAATAAGATCAGCAATCAATAAATTCTGATCCATCTTTTGGCATCCACGATAAGGGTAGCAGGCGATCCACCATTCACGGCATTTGATGAGCACTCGACTTGTTGCCCTCGAGATATAATTATAGCTCGCTCTCATCTCCATTTCCCTACTCTGTCTGGGTTGGTAGTGAAGTAGCTAGCTAGGTAGCCAGCAAACGGTTGCCTTGGGGGCTAGGGCTATGCTGGATTTAATTGCGCGCACCGTCCGTTGCACAAACATGGCAAACCAAAATAGACCACTCCATTCTCATGCAAGTGGAATCGCCGCATCCAATCTTCTTAGTAGGTAGAATCATTAACTATATATGGAGTGATGTGTTCATTTGGATTTTGGGTGTGACGAGGGGTTTGCCTAATCAGGTAATCAATTATATGTGTTCATTGTGACGACCACTAGACATTGTATGATCTATCACATTGGGAATTTTACGGTCTAAATACCTTTTATTTGGGTTGCGTGATTTGTGTTCGAGTTGGTACAAGCGAGACATGGTATTAATAATAGGGTATACATTTTGACATTTTTATTCAAGTATAGTTCCAAATTTGGCTAATTGAGATTCATAGCGCAAGATTGATCTCTTCATTTAGTGAACATGATTTTACTTTGTAAATCTTCTCTTAGTATTATGTTGTGAGGAGCATATATATATTTATTGAATCATATTAAATAATGCATATTTATTTCTTCACTAGATAAAGCCTACACATGCTAAAAGTGTTAAACACAAGCTTGATCTTGCTCTAATATCTGCAAAATAATTTTATTTCAGAAGTTACTCAAATATCTTAAGTTTAATGCTACAAGTACCAGATGTAGGCAAAAATGTGATTCTATATAGAAGCGAAAAAGGGGTAAAATCGTAAAGCGTAGAATTAAAGCGTAAAAGAGTAAGTTTTTTTACGTATACTGTAAAATAGCTAAAATTTTGTTAAATACGACATATACTATGTAAAATATGAGTGCACAAAATCCATATAAGCTAATAAATACCCGCAATTCATGTCTAAAGTAGAGCAACTCATAGCATCTTATCAATAGGTTCATAAACATAGGTCTTAACAATAAGCCACCTTCCCCTCTATACTAATGAATTTGGGAAAGGCCTAGCTGGTGAATTAGATTACTCTATTGAAACTTAGAATGCATCAAACTATCTGATATATATCTTTTAATCTCAAATTTATCATATTGTTGGTGATTTATCTTTCAAATATACATTTGATAATTAATTTCATGAAAATGTTATCCATTTAGTGAACTAGAAGTGTAAAAGTGTAAAGCCTTTTGGTGAACTAGAAGCGTAAAAGTATAAGATTTTAAGCTTTAAAGTGCAATTTAGTCTGATTTTATACACTAAAGATTTTATATGAAAACAAAAGTGTTTTGGTGACCCAGAAGCATAAAATCGTAAATTTTCAAAGTTCAAAGCGCGATTTTAACTGCATTGGCTACGAAAGTTAAACTCCTACTTAGCACAAAAAGTAAAACCGTCAAAGATTATGTATATGTTGGGACTATGACTTGGGCCTGGAATGCTCAATGGGTCTAGTGGGGCGGGCAGCCCATAAGAAGTTCAAATTACAAAGGCAGATAAGACTAACTCCAACCCTTGCTTGCAAATTTGGAGAAAGTGAACATTTTGCATTTTTTCATCTCCAACCCACCTTCAATTTTGCTTCCAAATTTGGAGAATGGAGTGTTGGGGTGGATAGATAGAAGCCTCCATGGAGCAAAGGGGCAAAAATAGCAGCTGGAAGGGGGACCCCGCGTGCAGGCGAGGGCCACCCGCGGAGGCGCGCCTAGGCCGCACGCGCGCGGGAGGAAGCCCTTCCTCCCGCGCGCGTGCGGCCCAGGCGCGCCTCCGCGGGTGGCCCTCGCCTGCACGCGGGGTCCCCTGCTGCTGCTTTATTTTTTTTTCATTTTTTGTTTGCGTTTTAGTTTGTGTGGGTGTGTTTGCGTTTTAGTTTGTGTGGGTATGTTTGCGTTTTAGTTTGTGTGGGTGTGTTTGCGTTTTAGTTTGTGTGGGTATGTTTGCGTTTTAGTTTGTGTGGGTGTGTTTGCGTTTTAGTTTGTGTGGGTATGTTTGCGTTTTAGTTTGAAAGAAGTAATATAGTGACAATAAAACGGTCACATTGCAACGGACACATTTTAACGGCCATAAAAAAATGACTAATTTTGCACAAAAAAAAAATATCTCGGAATTAAAAAAAAATTACATCGAAAATTTTGTTTTCACAAGTAATAACAAACTATAAAAAAATTAAAGTGAATTACAAGAATGATATTGTAAATAAGTATGGATTATGTAAATTAAATCAAAAAAAGATGTGGGAAGCTAAATTTGGAAGCTTTTAGGGTTGGAGCAAAAAGGTGTTTTGGGGAGGCAAATATGCACATTTGAGAGCTTGGGAGGCTAAATATAGCTTTTGGGGTTGGAGTTAGTCTAAAGCAATTTGGGGGAGTAGATAATATAATTGCAGATGGGCTGCGTCGGGTCCGGATAATAATCCTTTTTGTGATTTGATTAATACGTTATGTTGTCCATTTGACCAAAAAATTGGCAGTTACTTACACCTCATCCTCTTGTCCTTGAAAGGGTGGTTATAATATGGGAATTAGGAACTGACCCATTCTTGTTTGGACGAAACAGAAGACGTTGAATATGGTTAGGGATGTACATGTACGTATGTGTGACCACTTACAAGATTACTTACTTCATCAAAACAACCGTCGACCAATTTCTCCACTTCTGATATTTGACAAACAGGTCCTTATAGTACGATATCTTACAATTATAAGTAGTTATTGTACTATTTATTTAGTCATTCCCCAACATTTATAGCTACTAAGATTGAGAACTGGCATAAAAAAATGACAAGGCACAAAACAAACTTGTTCAACACCCTTGAAGCCTGTCATTTGATAGAGTAAAACAACCTCAATATACAAGGGGCATAACCACTAGACTAATCTCATTATATCTAGCTAGGGAATACCTATTCTGACAAATGTCGACCAATCTCGAGATCATCCCCGAGCCAACACGTGTGATAAAATGCACGAATAGAATTCAGAGTATGAGCCAAGTTAATCAAGAGTTTCAACAACGCATCTTGGTTTTTCCATATAAATAACAACTTAGTGGCGATTGAATTTATTTTCAAAACATGTTGGGGATTCTTCACTCATATCTAGACCCATCGTAGAGAAAACAAAGAAGAGAAACTATAGAGGTGGAACACAATAAAACAAACATATGAGTATCTATTTTTTAAATTGTCGGGATGTAAATGAGTTGTCGGATGAAGGATGAGAAAAATGAAGAAGCGCCTTGATTTTCCCGATTGGAAATAGCGGTAAAAGGAAATAGGGAAATTTCGAGTTCAATCAGGTTAATATAGATATGATTTCGATTCCAACATCGACGGATGGTTCTCCAAGCGGAAGAACTATGTTTAGCAATTTAACATATTAAAGGGACAAGTTATATGTTAACCCTACGAGAAACTATGTTAATTATTATGCTAATAATACTAAATACTAATATACACCAACAAATATGCAACTCAACGATACCTTGACACAGTGCAACCGAGATATGGTGTGTTCAAGTCTCACCCCGTCAACTCCATGCAGAGTTGCAAACCCTTCCAATCGATAGACTGATTGTAATTTTTCTAGATGAGCAGTGAAAAAGGAACTCTTTCAAGCTCATCAAAATATAGAGCAACTAAGAGCTAAATAGCTTGCTCGCTCTCAAGCTCAATCTTCTCCATGGCATAATTGGATCTTATTCTTGATACTACCCCAAATTTAGTTGAATGATTGTACCTTGCTTGATGCTTCCCTGCCATAACGACTAGGTTCATTAGTGCAGCAACCCACTTTCTGCTTCCCTTTCAAGTAGGATATGAGATAAGATTATGCTTAATTCTTTTGCCAAATGATTGTCAACTAGTGTTGCAACTTACATATAGAGACAAACAAGATGAGTGGGTTAATAAGTATGATCGAGATTAAAAGGGTTCTTGTTTGACCCAAAGTTAATTAAGGTTCTTGTAACTTTACCTCTTATTGGATATTGTAACTCACAACCCACTAAAGTGGTGGTTTGTTTATCTTTATTATGGTCCAAATGACTTGAAAGAATTCCCCTTTTAAGGATCTTTACTGTATTTAAATATTCCACAAGAATATAATAAAGCACAGCCACATTGAGGGCAAGAACAAAGAAAGAAACCAATTGATTCTTCAAGATAATAAACATAATCCCAGATAAGATATGACCATTGACCACATACATATATAGAGCTTCATTTCTATATTTTAATTTCCATCCTCAAATCAGAACCCACATCTAATAATTGGGTATGTACCCCCAACAAGTGACCAAACCCCAATTTAGCTAATCAATAAACTAATAAGACACCCCTGAGCACCCCCAATATAATACCAAATCCACCCCAAAAGGCCATCATCCATTCCATTCATTCCCTAATTAAATAATCAGATTAAGATCATCTTCTTTCCATTATTGTCTTAGCATAAAAGTAATCCTTCCAAAACAAAGAAGTGCATAGAAAGAAATCAATCTTATATTATAATGACACCACCAAATCGTAGATATGTTAGGATAATATAATAGTATTATGTAACGGTCCACCCCAACCCAACACACCACCTTTTTGCTGCATTCACCCGGACACGAAGAAGATAAGGGGAATCAATCAATCCTTCCCATCGCACCACCAAACCCCATTAACAAGGAATCATGATACTGAAGAGTGAAAATCAAGCATAGACCCATTTCTCAGATTTGGTTTCAAGACGCGTTAAGCCAAGCAAAGCAATCTACCGTCGACACAGATCTACACGCAAAGAGCAGCAGTAACACACGGGTTGATCAAGATTAAGCTGAAGATTCTTCCTGTTCTAATCATGTCAAACCACAGCAGTAATCATCATTAATTAAGCGCAAAAAGGCCAAAAGGAAAGCTCTAATTAGAATACAAAATCAGGAAATTAATGGAAAGGGAGGAAGAGACAGAGAAGAGAACTGGTCATGGAAAAAGCCTTAATTGCTTGCTTGCTGCTCTCTAAACTACTACCTACTCATAAGTACTTATTAATTACCGGCCAAATCATCGATTTGGATGGAGGAGAGATCAAGATTCAAGATGATGAAGATGACCCATTAGCACCACCGACATTATCACTCTCAAACAGACGGTGGTGGTAGTGGTTGTTGTTGTTGCCCTGATTCGACCCATCTCCGTTATTACTCACGCCGCCGGCGATTCCGCCGGCGCTGTGGTGGTGGTGGTGGTCTAGGCTATTATTGGTATTACTACTACCACTGACCCGGGTTTTGGCGAAGGTGTTCTTGTTGTTATGCATCCAGACCTTGAAAACCCCTTTATCTACCTTGACCTCGTTGCAGAATTCCAGCACCAAATCCTCGTCGCTCTTCTGCATCTTCCACCCGACCCGCTCCGCGAACTCGTGCATCCGCTCCTTCTGGTGCTGGGTGAACCTGGATCTGAACCGCTTCCTCGACGACGAGCCGTGTTGGTGTGGGGAAACGGTTGCGAGATTCGGGTTCGGGTTTTCGCCGGGTCCCGACCCGGACAGAGCCAGCAGCATGTGGGGGGCGGAAGGGTAGTAGGAGGACGAGATCGGAGGCGGGGAGGCGGAATTCGGGCTCCGAGGGGGCGCCGCCGAAAGCGGCGCTGGCGGCGGAGGGTGGTGGCGGTGGTGGGGATGGTACTCGATGGCGGCGAGCGGCGGCGGCAGAGCAAGAGGATTATGGGTGTTGGGGTTGTCTTCCGGTTCGCGGCGGTGGAAATTGCGGTGGCAGCCGCAGGCGGCGCATTTCAATGAAGTGGGATCGGTGGGGGTGGTGTTGGGGGAAGGCATGAACTCCCCGCATCCGTCCAAAGCGTGGCCGCCCAAAGAAGCGGCGTGGTTCTTGAGACATTCCTTATAGGCGACGGCGGCGGTCGGCGGCGGCGGCGGGCGGAGGTGGTGGTGGCGTTTGAGGACTCCGTTGGTGAAGGAGAGCGGCTTGGGTGGTTGGATCCGGGTGGGCGTCTCGGGTTCGGGCTCTGGGGATTTGGGGGATGGGCTGTTGCTGTTGTTGGCGGTGGTCGGAGCTGGTGGGTGCGGTGAGACGGATGCTAGTACCTCCATGGTTCAAACATTCAAAGCAAGCTACATGAAATCAAGAAGTAAAACTACCCAAGTAGAGGTTTCTGGGTGGCGATGGAAACTGTGGAGGATCTGGCCATGGAGATTTGGAAGTACTTTGGGAAAGGTTGAAGCTTGAAGGAAAGTAAGAGAGAGGGAGAAGAGAGAGGAAAGATGATTAGAGATGGGATGGATGGGAATGGAGGGATGATGATGATGATGATCAGAGAGTCAGTGAGTGAGTGATGATGATGATAATTTGGTGGGTTTTTTTTCTTATTTATTTTAAAATTTTGTAAGTCAAGTTTTGTGGTTGTGCCTTCTTAACCTTAACCCAACTTGAGATGGGGTTCATGAATCATGATAAAGTATGAACCCTAGTTGTAACATCTTTGGGTTAAGTCACCAACACAAGTACACAACACCATGGGACTTGGGAGTGGTATTGATTACTATGCATGGTTGTCACGTCGGCCGGCGTGCCACCGGTTGTACCGGGTTCAACCGATACCGGTCATAAAACCGGTGTGACACTACCGGTATGATCGGCATGACCGATATACGAATTTCTAAGTAAAATGACCTTATTTTAGAGAATTTAATTGATAAAACTTATTTTATTATTTATTTTATGAGTATAAAAGTTAAATATTGATGTTATTTGTTGGATTCAAGTATAAATTTTAGGTATTGACGTTAAATGTCATATTTAAATATGAGTATTTATAATTTTATTTGTAATATTGACCGGCATGAACCGGCACAAACCGGTATGTGCCACCGGTTGAACCATTCCACTTGCTAAACCGGCACACTGGCAAAAACCGGTTTGACAACCTTGTTACTATGTAATAAATGTTAACCCACTGCTTATCTTTGACCCTTGCATAGTGTTACATCAGGCATCAGCCATCTTTGAAAAGGAAGGAAGAAGTTACACAAGTCATGTGTTGATATGACTTGAATCGGATTATCAGCCGCTACAGTGTATGAGCTCAATGTTATTTGGGTTCGGGTTCTGGGCCTGGTCTGTAACCGTTTCCTTTGCCATTTTGGATTAGGTTCAGACCCACATGGAAAAGTGCTATATATACTTCTCATACTCCTCTGTAATCTGTAATCTCCTCGATATAGTGAAATTGGCTCTCTCTTGCCCGTGGACGTAGCTAACACACATCGTGTTAGTGAACCACGTAAATCGTGTGTCGTGTTTTCGATTCACGCTTTCGTATTCTTGCTTTGTCGATTCCAGTGATTTCCCGATCCGTAGCAGCGCGTTTATAACACCATATAATTTATGTAATGTATCTATCTATTGTGCTTTTCCTTTTCAACTCTCTTGTTGCAATATGCCAGTGGAAGAAAGGAGAAGTGGGGGTGTGGTGTGGCAGCGTAGGGTGGAGAAGTGGCAAGTCTCTTCAGAAAGTCAAAACTCATATGTTTAAGCTAAGGCATTGACTCATCATCATCATTGTCATCATCATTGTCATTGGCTTAATTTTGTCCATTAGGGAGTAATAATGGACCAAACTCTAGTAAATTTGGTTGGCTCCTCAAAGTACTTACGGATTACATTGATGTTGAACGTGTCATGGCCATATTTATGTTTACGCGCAGTAAAATTATTTAAATTGACAAATGTATGATAACTAACATTTTGGTTCGACTTCTATCGGAATGATAATTTACCGTCATGAGTGGCATTTTCCAACCGTCTCTTTCCGCTAGTCCAACCCCAGGTCTCAACTCTCAAGTCTCAAAGTCTCAACCATAAACCTTGACTTGCATTTGCTACAAGATTTCATATGTTAGACTACAACTAAAAAAAAGGGCAGATTTCAAATGCTCATTAAAACTTCCAATAGTCAATTAATCCGAATCTCACCAGCTTTCTCTCTAGGATCACGAGTGCGAGAGTAAAAACCATGACAATCTAAACCCTAGTAATAATTCTAACATATGACACATATCGGTAGGCCAAATTCATCTGTCGCTCGCTGATAACAATGGAAATCAAAGTGTAAAAAGAACAACTTCAAATAAAATAAACAAACTATAGTCCCAAACATAGACATATATCATATATGTGCATATAACCAAAGTCGTTTCCTACATCGACAACCATTTTTTTATGGGAACATGTGTTACTTATTATTGACTAATAGTGGTAGTTATATTATCCAACTGTAGTTGGTCAATCAAGATAATCGGCGGTCTTTCTAACCATAGCCGATAATTTCCATCACATATGCAACCGCATTAACTTTTGTGTTTATATTCAAATTGTCGTTCACAAGTGAAAAAGACTTGGCCAAACAGTTTTACTATTCATATTCATTATTCAACCTGGAAATTTCAGGTTCTAATCCTTTTTAGTAGCACTTAACAAATTAGAGAAATTACATTTTTCAGTAATTTCGCAACAATATTTGGTAGTGTGACAATTGAATTCCAAAAGGGTGAATGGAAGGCAGCATCCTAAAGACTAAGAGTATAAAACGAACCACAGTTTGTGAATCATGCATACTTAGCCCTAGCTGCGGCCTGCGGGGAGGTGGCGCATAATGCTTTTCCAGGCCTGGTCCTCTTAACAACGCCCAGCCCAAACCATCCTGAGGGCTCAAACCCTCATATCGGCCTAGCTTTTCACAGGCCCAATTCCCAAATTGACCGTCTCTCTATCCCCAGCGAGCTTCTTTGGCGCCAAACAAATGCAGTAATGCACTAACTATCTTGCCTCACTGATTGATTTCTTGGGATTGGGCCTAGCACAAGTAGATGCATCCGGCCTCATGGCCCGGTAAACTAATCCCAACGTATATTCTTTGGCCCACAGAAGGGAGGATTTTAACTAATCCGAATTCCCAAGCAACTAGCCACAAGGGTGGATATATAGTTGATTACCTTGTTCTTCAAATACAAAAAATTCTACAAGTTTAATCTTCATGTATAGAACAAAGTTTATTTTGTGGGTAGTCATGCGGCGTTAAGTCACTCGTATATTATAGTTGAATTCGTGTCATATGATTAACTGATTATAAGTATCCTGAGGAGGTTTATGTATGTTAATTAGTATTAGTGTTATTTATTGGTCAATATTTTCATGTACATCTATACAAGACATAGTATATTAATTGTTAAAGTAATATTTTTGTTCTAAAAATGATGAAATAAAGTGCTAATGGATTAGCTATGATGATAATTGAAAATGATGGATAACATGAAAAATTGAAGAGATAATAGATAGTTTTTATTTCAAAATTTGTTAGAAAGATATTAATTTTTAAATAAATGATGCTATGGTCATTTACTTTTATTATACTTTAACAAATAATATGGTATCACATCTCAATCATGGACGGAGCCTCTAAAATTCATTTGACGGTCCTGTTAGCCATTTATCACTTTATGTGACTACGTGTGACGAGGGATTAAAAAAATCCAATATGATTTGCATTGAGTTCATGAATCCGAGTTGCGTTCTCAAACCTGCATGTACAAACAATAGCTTAGTAGCAATTAAGAAGCACAAACAATATGATTTAACTGATAATTGCTCTAGACTACTATGTTGAACGATTTGATTTACTATCCCTTATACTTCATGTGTCAAACCAATGAGTACTGTCATATAAAATAAAACAAAATAAGAGAGATCATGAAGAAGAAGAAACTTTTTGTGTATACATTAAACTTATTCCAACAATGTCACATATTTAAATTTATATTTTGTTCTGTTGTCAGAACTCATGTTTAATGCATATATATTATAAATAAATAAATAAAAATACAAGAGCTACAGAGTAAAAATCTCCATATGGTTGGTACGTAACTTCGTATAATAATCCTAGCCAACCCGTACTAGACAAGTCCTTCATCCCAAAGGAATGCATGCCATAACGATATTTTCTCAGGATTGATATGAACCGATGGAGAAAGCTTTTTAGGGGTCGTTTGGATTGATGATTTGAAAAACCTGTTATTTGAGGCCAAATACCTACCAAATACTACATAGCCAAATACTTGTTATTTGGTATATGATATTTGTTCCAAATATCATGTTTGGAAAGGATTAGAGATGTGTTATTTTGTGATGTGCTATTTGGTACACAAACTTAGAAAATACCAAACTACCCTTTGTAAAGATGTAAAAAAATTAAAGCACACAATTGATCCCTTCCTACACTTGTTCATCGAGAGTTCCAAACAAAAGTGTGTTCTGGCTTCTGTTTCTCCATCTTCTCCTCAATATTTTGTTTCTACCTCCATTCATCATTCATTTACAGTGAGCCAAACTGGGGGCTACAGTCCTAGAAAGATTCATACGTATGCCAACACAGTAAAGCAACAATCCCTAAAAAAGAAAAACACAAGCTGCAATTTATATAAATATATGCATTTCCATTCCATTTACACCATATCTACCATAAGTTTCTGTTTTCTAAACCATCTAGCACTTTACAAAATAGATGCTTGTCATAGGTTTGCAAAGACTGTCATTACAAGTGCTTTATAATGACAGATACATAGGCAAAAGACTCTTTGCAAACTGGACAAAGACATCACTAATCCTAAGACAAGCAAACCACATCTTCACATAGACAGAATATCAAGCACAAGGGTCATCTTGTCCTCCTCTGTTTCCATATTATAGAAGGTCTTCAAGTCTCCCAGACTGTTGTTAAGCCTTCTGCAAGCAAGTACCATTTGAGACCTGGTAAGACCCTCTAGCTTCTCTAAATTCTTCATCAAATCGAGTCGCATACTGTTCTGCAACTCGCTCTCACCCAAAGCACGAGCAATCGTCTCAGCTGATCGGTCTATGAGTGGCCTCATCTCTCTCATCTCAGCTGCAACTTCAGAGGTACTATCATCGGCTTGCACTTTCTTCTTCTTTTTTGTCGAATTAGGCTTTGATGAGTGCTTCCTCTTGCTGCAGTTACGAGCTTCAACCCCTTCATTTATTATATCCGCCATTACTTCCTCTGTAGTGTCATTGTTAAAGTCCTCGACATGAAAAGGGACAGACTCCTCAAAGCATTCTGGTTGCGGCTCTTCACCTTCAGCGCTAGTATAGGACGAGTTTCCATCATTTCCGGTGAACCCAGTTTCACCATTAGCACGACCTTTGGCAAACACTGGCTCGAGTGCCCAAAATTGTGGAAATGGTTTTTTGTTCATTCCCTTGCAGTGTGTATGGACCTGTAAAACAAACACATGCAGCTTGTAAAGCAAATAGTGGTAGCATTTATAGATGTAAAGGCCTTCATAAATACAAACCTACCAACTAAGAAACTACCCCCAACATACAGTGTGAGACATTTAATGGAAAATTCACATTGACAGTCACTAAAAGATACAATAAACAAAAAATAAAAACAATTACCTTCACATAGTCATCAAAGGACTTGTCATCAGCCAATATATGGCAGCGTATAGGGTCCCAACCCCACCCGCTTACCAAACGCATCTCAACGGTGGCATGATACTTCTGTTTCCACTTCTTGAACTTATTCAGAATCGTGGGTTTCGACTTCACTCCACAACCAGGCACTTTGGCTTCCATCATACGTTCTAGTTCCTTGTATGCACCATTCTTGCATGTGCCGTCACTAATCTGCCCTTTCTCAGTTAGTTCCAATAAACATTGCAGAAAAGGCTCGTCGTGTTTCGAATCCCACACATTATACTCCCGTGAAGGACCACCAGCATTGTCTACAACTTTCCTCTTCTTTCCCATACCTACTAGACAAAAGTGTAAGTTGTATGTATAATGAAAAATACGTTGCAAGCACCTAGTAAAGAACATCCCCTCCAAGATAGTAACAGAAAGAACATCCAACATTCACATATTTAAGTACAAACTTCAATAACCATAAACAACATCCATACCATACAAACTTCAGTACATAATTAAGGTCACAGAAACATCACATTAACAAAATAGGGGACTATTTCATCTATTAGGCCTATTTTCCCACATGGAAATTGCTATTTGGTTCCTATATTGTGTCCATTCCGGACAAGGATGCATGCTGCAAGTATCAATTGTCTCAACCTCAGTTGAAGGATGATGTTCCGGTTCTTCATCTTGATATGTTCTCTCAAATTGATCGGCTCCTTGTTCCCTCTTGATGAAGTTGTGTATAATGCAACATGCAACCACAATTCGAGCAACCTCACGAGGAGCGAACCATGATGAGTCTCTTAGAATAGCCCATCGCATTTTTAAAATCCCAAAAATGCGTTCTATGACATTCCTAGCTGATGAATGCTTCATATTATAGAACTCTTCGGCAGTTTCAGGTGGATTAACACCCCATTCTTTGAGGTGGTACCTTTGACCACGATATGGGGTCAAAAATCCAGGACTATTTGCATAACCAGCATCACAAAGATAGTAACAGCCTATAGTAAAACAATACACACCAAAATCAGTTTGTTTAGAGGGGTTTCTTTTTTTATTAAGTAAACTTGTACGTTAACCTAGTACTATCATTTACCTTGTGGGACAGTAAAACAATTTTGCCTTGTCAAGGCATCTCGTAAGACCCTTCCATCATGGGCAGAACCTTCCCACCCGGAAAGACAGTAGATGAACTCCAAATTTGGAGTGCACACCCCCAACACATTCATAGAAAGTTTCCCTTCTCTGTCTCGATATCTAGATCGGTCCTCTTTCAATGGACGAACACGTACATGAGTACCATCTAGGGCTCCTAAACAACTCTATAACACACAAGAATAACCATTTTAAAGATCGAATGAAACCAACTTTTAAGTATTGAGTAAACCCGTTTAAAAAAATGTCCAAACCAACCTTGAAATATTTCCATCTACTATCGGTAGAGTTTTCAGGAATCGGGACAGGCTTCTTCATTAACATATCATTTAGGCGAATGACAGCCCTTAGCACCCGATGTATAGAGCGAGAAATGGTCTCTCCCGATCGTCGCAAATTCAGTATTAAAGTTCTGTTCTTCTCGTTGTGAGAAATAGTGCGAAGAAAGGTGTAAACCATCTCATCTATGTCAACATTCCTAGTTCTTTTCAATCCTCCTTCAGTAATAAGAAGGTGACAGAAAGAGTTGAATAGGGTTCGGTTCATCCTAACCCTATCATACGCATATGTGTCACTCCTACGGATTGCCAGTTCAAGGTGTCTTTGCCTGTCATAATGTCTAACTAAGTCGGTGTCCATGGGCTGCCTACCAAGTCTTGGGTTAGATTTTCGTTTTTCTATGAGCTCGGCTAATCCCATACCTAAATTTACGTAAATCATAATCAAGTTTAAGAAAGAGCTAATTGCTGCTACCACATGAAGCCTACGTGTTGGAGACAAGGTAGGTAAGCGTGCCATCCCTATTATATGAAAATAAAGAGACACTTTATCAGTTATATATTCACAGGAAATTGACGGAACCAAACATCCAACCCTATGCTATATCATTCATACAAGTTCAATGCCTTCACAAATTACCCAGACAAGCAATCACAAGCTAACAAACAAAATTGCATTTGAGAGAAAGCAGATGAACAAACGTTGGGTCACTTTATTGGCCAACTACACATATAATTCCAATCAACCAACAAATAATAAACAAAAGAACACCCATTTAATCAATTATGTGACTATCATCTTTGGAAGAGATATCTCGTTCCAAGAGGTTGGATTAACTATTGAGAGAAGCCCTTTTCACCGACCTAACAATTATAAAATAATCACAATATTTTGGGAGAAGAAACAAATACCCAGAATCTCCAAAGAAGCAAAAAGGAAGGATCGATCATTATTGGGGAAGTTCTGATCGGAGCAAACCCTATTTTCCCTTGGAACGAGAAGGCGTACCTGATACTTCAGATGCTTTCTGCGTAGAACGCAGCACCACCAAACGAGTTGTCTAAGCCTACGCCAACGCCGACGAACGCAGAATCAGACGGTGACTATGCTCCCTTTGCTTCAGCTGCTTGTGTTTCGATAAGAAAAGAGGTATGGAGAAGACAAGTTAGAAGAGCATATTCGTTTTTCTTTGGAGAAGGAAAGTGAAAAGGTGCTGCAGATAAAGCAAGGGTAGTATGGGTTTAGCAATAAAATAATGAGGATAGAATCGGAATGAAAAATACAAGAATGTGGTGTTTGGACAATACCTGGACCCCCTCAGTTATTTGGCAAACACCACAAATGTGTTATTCTCACAATAACACACTCCAAATAACACACCAATTTTACTCCATCCAAACATGTTACTTGGGCTCAAATAACACATTTTGTGTTATTTGGGCCCAAATAACACCCTCAAACAATCAATCCAAACGACCCCTTAGTTTCTTTCCCGTTTGATGATGAATTGTGGAAGTAGTGTATGGTTTTAAAGGTAGGCATGATTTCCAATAGTTGGAAAAAACAATAGACAGATGCCCAATTTCCCAAATACCAAAACGTACGTATACCAGAAGCTTTGTTCCCCACTCCACGCCCCATTCATTCTTTCCCTGCAACCCCATTTTTCCCACCTCCATCCATCTCCTTAACCCACTCTCGCCTTTCCCCCCAACCACTACCAACTCACATGCCACGTCGAAAAATATTCAAAATCGTCCTTGCAACACGATTGAGTTATAGATTGAAATATCTAAGTATGTATTATATATAGAACATGTGATAAAAAAAAGTTAAAAACATACAAGAAGAACAATGCAATGCAAGAAACCATGTATTCTACACGGTCATGTGACAAAATTGAAAATACACATGGTTTTCCAATGACCGTTGGCTTTTGGTGATTAATGGGCCTTTTACGGGTTGGAGCTAAGTAGGATTAGCATGATAACAACCAGCATGATTAGATGGATGGGTGCGCCATCTGTCTGCTGGTCATGTTTAGTAGTTGACACTTGCACACGACACAACCTTTAATTCAAGCTAAGCTGCTACTTCTTTGGAGCGTCTGGTGGGTTCTTGATAATTTGGTGATATGAGTGCTATTATATATTGTCTAATTTCCACCCTTTTTTTCCACTGATTGATGGGAAGTTTTGTGGTACTAATTCAATGGCTTACATGAAACTGGTCTTACTTAGTTCAATTCACTATTCAAGGCAAGTTGCTTCTCTTTTTATGATGAGGGTCCGGCCGGTCGCTGATATATAAGGTAAATCTCGATCGGCCCAAATGACTATTCATGACTAAACCATAATAATAAGTGAATCAAAATAAACAATCCGATCAGTTTTCCATCGGATGTGTTCTTTGATAATTCCAGCTGTTATTTTGCCATTGTTTCTTTAATTGCTCAATTACTTGACACCAGTACTTTTTTTTTGCGCAGTTTGCCCTTTTGGCTTTGCCTTGCCAAACACAAGAAGAAAGTGGGCCTATATATATAATTGATTACCTCTCTAATCCCAAAGTGATTACCTCTGTTCTGTACCATCTGGTCTGGCATTCATTAATAACCTTTTTTTCTCTTGCCTTCCATTGGTACCGGAAGAATCAAACACAAATAGATGATAATAAGAAACGGCTCATCAAATTCAACTGATTAATAACAATCATGCACCATAAAACTAGTTAAGGATAGACAAGCAGAGGACAAATACAAAGAATACCTAACAAAATAACGACACAACCATGTTGGGCAGCCACTCGTGAATCACAAAATACAAGGCAATGACAAGAAACTACATCGGAGCACCATTTCATATGTCGAACCCATCATCACTTTCCTCGGAATATTCTTGTTGTCGACAACCATTGCCCCAAATCAGTTTGTCTTAGTGATAACATAAATGGAGTATAATGAAGAGGAGCTAGGAACCCTCGCAAAGAAGAGATGATGATGGGGTTTATCTCGAGTGGAAAAGAAAAATGGAATACATTGAGTTTCAGTTAGGAGTAAAGTCACCATTATCTCTCTCTGGAGTTTTTCAGATTATGGGGTTATCTGTTGGGTTCGATTGTTTTCTACAAGAATATTGCATAAGGAAGAGCCCATATATAACAACTTGGCGCGAGATGGAGGATGTAATGAAGAAGAGGTTTGTGCCTCTCCATCATCGCGTGTGAGCTTCACCAAGCTTTTCATTCTTCTAGACGCGTGATTCGAAGAATGTGAAAGATTACTTCAAAAGGATGGAGACCCTTATAATTCGAGCTCATATCAAATTAATTAGGAGGCTACGATGACTATGTTTCTCAAGAGAATTAATAGAAAAATTAAACAAATCGTGGATCTTGATGGAACGAGAGGGATGATATATAGCCTCAATTAGTAGAGGGCCAAAATACAAACCTAGTTTTCGCTTAATTATTAACATATACATACACATATAATCACCTCGCACCAAATAGTAGAGGGCCTAAATACAAACCTGTCTCCGAAAATATATAAAGAATATATCTTATACAATCCTCATCCCTAACCAATTCGTGATCGAACAAAAAAAAAATGATGTCAACACACACCATCACGATTCACGAAGAGCATAGTACTCCAATTATAAGAGTACATAGCGATGAAATAAAAAATTTTAACTAGGATAAAATTATGAAATTACAACAACATAAATTCAGCATATCAAATCGCTTGATTTTGGAACAAAATGGTTGATAGCTTTTGGTCGACATATGTCATATATGCATACATATATATATATAATGATCCAAAACCAAATATATCGAGAAAGACTAAATAAAACCTCCATCGATCTCTGAAAACATTTATAAATCTTACCCAATCCTAATTCACGAACTTCCGAAAAATTTGATGTCTACCATGACCAAAGATTGGAAAATTACAAATCAACTTCCAGAAAACACACACATAACATAACCCATACACCAAAAAAAAAAAAAAACCGCTAGCTGCTTGAATCCATACCATGTTGAACTCAAGAGGTAGGGGAAGAACAATCACACACAACCTCCGTGTCGACTTCCCTCCGGTGGAAGTTCCTGTGGCAGCCACAGGCGGCGCACGTCAGGGCCGCCGTCGTGCCTTCCTCACCATTGCTAGCCATGAACTCCCGGCAGCCGTCGACGGCGTACCCGCCGACGCTGGCCGCGTGGTTCTTCTGGCACTCGCCGTACCTCACGCTCCTCACCGTGTAGCTGGACACCGACGACGAGTTGTTGTCTGCCGTGCTACTGCTCCTCGACGGCGGCGCCTCTCCCGTCGACCTCCTAATCACAACTTGCCTCTTCCTCATGATCGGATGAGAGATGATTAACTGCTAAATTTGGTATTAGTAAGATGGAATTGATGGATTTAGGGAAGAGAAGCAAGCAAGTGGTTGAAGGAAGAAGGAAGGTGGGGTGGAGAGAGATAAGTGTAGATTTTTTTTATGTGTTTAGTTTTAGTGTTGATGAAGCATTGAAAGCCCTAACCCTAGAGGATGGTATTATTTATAGCCAGCTTTTAGCATACTTTTCTCTTTCATCACTATTATTATATTTTTGAACAGACAGGCTTATCTCCTTGATCACCCTCATATATATAGTTTGAGGTCCATAACCAAAAGGAACAATGATAAAAAATCAATTCAATTGAGTGTAATTCATATATTCGGTGTTTTAGGTCACTTATTTCACGATGAGACATTTAGACAAAAAAGAATCGTTCGGCTTGAAAAATAAAATTATAATTAGCCATTCAAAAATGCGAAAACCAACCATGCATTTGTGACATTTGGAAAAGATGAAGGAGCTGCCATTTAGAGATGTTGTGTGGTGTCCCCCCTCCCAACCCCAATATATCTCATGGCCAAATGCCTAATTTTGTACATCATCTTCCAAAATGGTCAATTTTCCAAATTACTCATGTAAATGGCTTGTTAAACCATGAGAGTGGTATATTTAATTTATATCGAATAATGCACAATGCTAGTAGGAATTTTTTTTCCTTCAATTTCTTGGTATTCAAATCATGGTAACCATCGAAATAGATTATTTTTAGATTTCATGTAGTCGTTGGTATATTTGGTGCTTGTCAAGTGATACATTTTGTTATACGCACACTTTTTTACTTACCCGGTACTTCTACATTGTTAAACTTCCTATAATTGATTGTACTGCGGCACATGCCCTCACTTTATCGTTTCCTAGTACCATTTTATCGTTTCCTAGTACTCTGACCGCATTACACATCGTTGGTTCACTACACATTAAATTTTCTTTTTTTGGGGGGAGGGGGGGTACTCCATTAAGAGTATATATGTATGTCTATCAGACGAATCAAACACAAGATCTTTCATATTGAGATTCCTTGATAATACACATGGGCTTCCTTAGTTCTGCATCAATATAATTGGACTAAATTATTATCTTTTTGTTGGACTAATATTAGTGCGAGTAAATATCTAGTTCTATACTTTTTTTGTTGTGTTGTTATATAGATAGATAGTAAATAGACAGAGTGTTACAAATTATTCAAAAGTAAAAACCGATAGTCAATCAAGTGTTGATCTACCGATTCAAAAGCTTGTTTTGCCACAAATAAAGTAGACGTAAAGGAGGTCTTCAGCAGCCAAACTTCCTCAAACACCGCTCCACCCCAATCAGGTTGCACATCATTCTCCAAAGCTCGACGAATTAACAATTGAGAGCCAGCAAACAAAATGAAAACCAATCTAGTTCTACACATTCCCTTACAGCCTGTTTGGATACAATTCAAGAAGAAATGGAAATGGAATTCTATTTCCAATTCCTATTTTTATAGAATTCCATTTCCAATTTTAGTGTTTGGTATAATTCCTCCAACTAAAGAAATGAATTGCACTTTTAACAATAATTAATAATATAATATATTTATTTTATCTTGGGAAATGAAATATGAATGATAGAGAAAGAGAGTAGTGTGATAGTTGGTTAATAAAATAATAATAAATAGTGATGGGACCCACTAATTCCATCTTCATAAACACAATTCCTATCACTTTTGATAGGAATTGTAATTCCCAAAACTTAGCCCAAATGGAATTCATTTCTCAACCTTCTTATTCTTCCAAACATAAAATATGGAATTGGAATTGAAAATGGAATTCCAATTCCTGAGTTTTTTGTCGATCCAAACAGGCTGTTAATTAATTATAAGCATGTTAGAGGTTCCAAGGGCCACATTTAAAAAAAAAAGTAGGGTAGATAGGGATCCCCGACGGGACCAGTTTGATTGGAACTGGGATAATTAGATCAGTAATAATAATCAAAGCTCTTAAGACCTAAAGAATAAAATTTTCCCCCCTACTGTTCAGTAGCCCACAATCACATATCCCTTTCTGACCTTTTGAAGCTTAGTGCCACTTAATTATTCCGTCTCCTTTAATTATGTCCGCCATCAAACCCCCAAATCTAGTAGTTGTGAAGTGATCACCTAACTGCCTTCCCCTGCAAATGACAACCGCAAATCAGTGGGCCTTAATCAATAGAATGCAATAAATTACAACTAGTCTATGGTAATGATAATGAAGTTACGTAATAAAGTGGGTTCAAAGATGAAGGGTGAAAACTGAAAACAGAAAGAGATAAGGCAAAGAAAAGAAACCCTATAAATGATAACAAAGCATTTGGTTTCACCTAAAAGTGTGATTGGTTTGAAATAGAATGACCAGCTCTCTTAAACCTAATTTGACAGCTCTTCTTTCTTTGGGGGCCTGATCTCATAGAGGGCAGAGAAGAGAAAGGGCAAGAACACAAATTTTATAGTAGGGTGCATTGTATATTCCTTATATGGTGCCAACACAACACAGCCCATTCGCTGTTGTAACCCTTCCAATCTTTTTACCTAATAACATGATGCCTCTGTTTAGCAACTTTGCCAAACCCTGCTGCTGTTACCAAACTTGCCACCCTTTTTGTTTCCCCCCCAACTTGATTCTGACCATCTTTGAGCTTAAATATCTTGGAAATGAGTCTTTGTTTCAACGAAACAGATAGTACAGGATGATGCTCCATGGGCTGGCTGTGGCGTGTTGGATGCACAAGACGGTAAATAACTATCTGTCTATCCATAGACCAAACTCTGTTCTGTTCTCTTTAAGTATAGATCGAAACCTTTAACCTCGTAACTAAAGAACAAGCTGACCAAATACCAATCACCTGTCAAAGTAAAACGAGAACAATAACACCGGATTTAACGTGGTTTCCCTGAGTGTCAGGACTAGTCCACGGGAGAGCCTAAACCCTCCAAAGTCAATCTTATTACGTTAAGGAAGCAGCTGTACAAACAACTATTTATATAGAGGCCACGCTAAACCCTAATGACTAAGGCTGGTAAATTACACAAAGGTACCTAAATTTAACACCCTCCCTCAAATTGATGTTGGGTGCGCAACATCAATTTGGCTGATAGGTACCAATGTCTACTAGAAGCCAATGCCTTAGTCAAAATGTCTGCGGGTTGATCTTCGGTTGACAGATAACTCAACTGTATTCTTCCTTCTGTCACCAGCTGTCTAATGTAGTGAACATGGACCTCTATATGCTTTGTGCGATCATGTAAAACTGGGTTGAGAGCAATCTGGATCGCACTAGTATTATCACCGTACAACTGCATAGGAACTTTGCAGTTAACTCCCAACTCCTTCAGCAATCTCTGCAGCCAAACCAGTTCAGAACTAACGTCTGACATCGAACGATACTCTGCTTCTGTTGATGACTTAGAGACCCGATCCTGCTTCTTACAGCGCCACGATACAAGTGACCTCCCTACTCTGACACACCAACCTGAGGTCGATTTTCGTGTGTCCGGGCATCCTGCATAGTCGGCGTCTGCAAAGGCCTCTAGGACTTCTTCACCCGTCGAAGGGAAAAATAGGCCAACGTCTTGCGTATGCTTGAGATATCGCAGGATTCTGTGAACTGCATCCAAGTGTTGGCTCCGTGCAACTCCCAGAAATTGACTCACCACCTGCACAGCATAAGAAATGTCGGGTCTAGTGTGAGTTAAATAAATCAAGCTTCCTACTAAGCTGCGATATAGAGACTGATCCTCCATTAAATCTCCACTGTCCCTAGTTAGCTTGAGATTCTGTTCCATTGGGGTTGTACACGGTTTGCAGTCTGTGTAGTGTGCCGTCTCAAGTAAATCTGCCATATATTTCTTCTGTGACACAAAGACTCCCTGTGAAGATCTTTGAACCTCCAAACCCAAAAAATATGACACATCACCAAGATCTTTCAGTTTAAATGCCCCATGAAGCGACCTTTTTAATTCCTGAATACCATCTGAATCACTCCCGGTGATTATCATGTCATCGACATAAATCAACAGAACCACTACCCCATCAACTGTATTCCGAACAAATAATGATGGGTCATTCTGGCTCTGCTCAAAACCAAGCTGCACTATAACTCCATGAAATTTCTCAAACCAAGCACGAGGTGCTTGTTTGAGACCGTAAAGAGAACGAACCAGTTTACAAACCTTGTCCGCCGAACCCTTGGTATATCCTGGCGGCCTCTCCATATATATGACTTCCTTTAAATCACCGTGCAAAAAAGCATTCTTCACATCCAGTTGAAACAGTGGCCAATTCCGCATTGCTGCAACTGCAAAGACACAACGAACAGTTTGCATCTTAACCACCGGGGCAAACGTCTCATTATAATCAATTCCATACTCCTGTAAGAATCCCCTGGCTACAACCCTGGCCTTAAACCTTTCGATCGTATCATCTGGGTTCATTTTAATATTATATACCCACTTACTGCTGATGACTGACATCTCTGGTGTTCTCGGTACCAACTCCCATGTATGGTTGGCATCAAGCGCATTACTCTCCTCCTGCATTGCCTTTTCCCATTCTGGATGACCCACTGCTTGTGCATAAGTTGTTGGGATAAAGATTGGGGTGGTAGCATAACCCACGTAATCATGTAATCTCAAGGGAGGTTGTCCCAAGGTACTACGACTGGAGCGCCTAGGAACAACGACCCCATTATTCTGGGCATCTCCTTCTCCACTTGACACTTCAATTTCATCTCCTGGTCCATCCTCATCATTTGTCGGCAACATAGAAGAGGAGCTCAAGGAGGAACCTGACGAGCTTGAGCTGCTGCCCGTCGAGCTAGAGCTCGTTCCACTAGCCACATGAGAAGAAGATTCCCCTTCATGCGAGGAGCTGGACGCCGACACCGAGGAAGACGAGGACGAGGTACCAGCTGGTGTCGAGGGAGTATGAGGGGCATCATCATCATCAGGTATCAAATTCCC